TTGTTGTGTGCATTGCACAGATGCGCGCGTCCGTTTGTTCTCTCACACGTTGAGAGAGAAAGGATCTTTCTGCCTTTTAATGAGAGAAGAAGAAGAGCCTCAGTCCTCTATGTCTCGGGGCCGGTCTTTCTCTGAAAGCGCCGTGTTTTAACCAAAGACGAACGCATTGTGTCCGCTCGCGACGACCAGCCGGACATGTGTTGTGCATTACCCGCTTGTTTTGTATACTTTGAATGCGATTAAAGTCGAGGCGAGGACGCGGAAAGTACAACAGAAAATTCTGATCTCACTGCAAGCTGCTGCAGTTAAAAGTTTAAATCTTTCACAAATCATAATTTATTTAAACACAATATTTAATACTTTATTTTTATAAAAAACTATTCCAGAAATATTACAATTCATCAGTAAATTATTATTAAAAAAGATAAATTTTTTTTTTATTAAAATAAAATTTTAACACAACAATACTTTTAAATTTTTCCACTTGTTTTATTTTAAATTAAGTAATATTATTAATTTTATATATAAATATTATTTTTTTATAGCTTTTTGGTAACTACACATTCTATTCAATTTATTTGAAAAGATAATTCGATCGTTCTCTCAGCATGAGCAAGCAGTGCAAATTTTAAACACTAGATTTATATTACAATATAAATAATATTTTAGAAAAAAAAACGACAACTGCGTAGCTTGCCGCGCTAGAAATATAGTTCAAATTTTATATATTTTCAAATCGTTACACTATTAATTAAATTTGACTCGAACATAATCAAATGTTTCCCAACGCTTCAAAAAAAAGCTGGGCCGACGCCTGATCCTTTTCGAAATCACTATTTATCCGTATATAATATAATTCATGTCTAATAAGCAATTTATCACTGATTTCATCCGCGAATTAGCATTCCTCTCTTTTCTTGCGGTCGCTGGCTCTGTTAGCAGCGCATACGTGTGCCCGCAAGCTGGGAGCGCGCATTTCATTATTAGAAGTTCAAGATCTGGATCAGATCAAGCAACTATAGGGTATTTATGCACTTGCCGCTTTTATATTAATCACGCGGCCGGGAAGGCACAACGGTGTGACTCGACCACACTTGGCCATAATTATATATGTATTGAATGTGCAGCTCATTGTCGCACCACGCGTCATTCAATACTTGGGTGTTGAGTGTCGTCCGCGTCCTCTGCGTCTGAACTTTTCGATTTAAATTAATAGCATTTATTATAATTTGCTAGAGAATTAGAGATGCACCACAGGCTTTCACCTGCGCGAGTTTGTAACACACCTGCGGAAATGTACAGCGTTGTTGTATGTGCGGAGAAAAGATGCTGCGCTTCTTATTGCGTTTTCAGATATTTAATCGTCTCAGAATATATAAAAGAAAGAAAGAAAGACGACGACGGTGACGCGTGATGCCGATCCGAGAAGCCAAGGAGACGTGCAGGTGATCAGCCGTGAAACCACTCGGCGCACCAGATGCACACTTGCACGCTCCTTTTTTATTCAAATTGGCTGCAGACACTTCAAACAGCAGGGAAAGACGATGTTCATCAAAAAGCGCAGAACATTGTCCAAAGGGATTTTAATGTTTTTGTGTTTAAAACTAATTAAATTGAATATTTGCATGACCTTCTGAGGAGGTAGGCTTTAATTAATTTTGCCTTTTTTGAATTTTGATGAAGTCATGCTGCCTTTTGCTGAAACGCTCATTGGGCCATAAATTCCATTTTTTTTATGCTATAGAGAAGTTGCCATATAATAAAGAAGCAAAAATATTCGCTCCCGACGGTGACCTTTTCGCCGAGACACAGCTAAACTTCCTAAAATACAACCGGCAGCAAACGTTTTAATTCTGCTGATGGCGAAAGAGTTTAAAATAAAAGACTTCTCCTCTAAAATGATATCTTTATGCCGAGTGTGCCAGCCGAAGAAAAAAAAATGTGGTACTTTATGAGTGTGATAAATAAACGAGGCTGACCAGGCGTCACTTCCAAAAGTGTAAATTAAAGCGAAAATATTGCACAGAACGCGGGTCAACGCGAATATCCTCGTATAATTTGCTTTTGGTCAGTCATTAAACACACACGCAGGGGATTATAAGCTTTTTACAAAAAGCTGAAAAAGGTTATCTTTTAATTCAGCTTTAAGCTCGTGATTAATTTGACAACAAACGCAGCAACTTATGAAAGTTTTCCTAAAAACGGTGCCTAATGAAGTCTTTAACCGCAATTAGAGGACTTTTCTGCCTGAAAATAATCCCAGTATTTATTAATTCAAATTATATTAACAAATTCGCCGAGCGGTCTGAAGACTAAATTTGAATTTGAAAAACGATATGCCTCGGTGGCTCGCAAAGGCCAGTGACCATAGAGTGAAAAAGCCAAACGAGTTGAAGCGAGGAATTGATCGCCGCCGGTCAATTTGCTGCTCAATTCAAACCGCGAGCAGAGAGGCGATTCAAAGAGAGGAAAAGCTGGTGCGCGTCGTCTGCGTGAAAATATCCCTTCTCCTCGGTTTTATTTATACTTGGCGCGCTGCCCAATCGCAATTATGAATAAAATAAACTGATTATCGGCGCGAGGAGTTATTTGTTCGCGGTAATTACCCGGTTAGATAGCTTCTTAATTCCCCACATCTTGCGCAGCATCTCATTCAGCGCAGAATACTGCACAGCAGCTGCAGCGGGAGGAAATAATTCCGCCGCCGCCGCGACCGATCGCGAGTTGCATTTAATTTGCTCTCGCGCGCCGAGATAATGAAAAACACATGCATGCAGCGGCTGCAGGGATTTCGCAACTAATGTGTTGCATTATTGCAGCGAGCAATGTGCTTTATTATTGAAAACCGGACCTTTCACCTTGAACTTGACATCTAACTCCTCGGCTATAAATGTCACTGCGTATGTGAAATGCCAATCAAACGCGTATAAAGCACGAGAGAAGCCTTTCCTGATCACAAAGTGGGCAAAATGCAAAGTAGCCCATCAGATTGGGATCTCTTCGCTCACTTTAAATAAGGAGGAAAAATAAAAAGTAAAATATATAAAATTACTAAAGAGTTGGAGTCAATTTTATGTGCTGAAAAAATTACTGGCGGAAAAAGTTCAATATATGTAATCATGAGATGCATGTGAACCTTAAATATGATAATTAGGTTCCAGGAAAATGTGTTTTATAAAATTACATGCAATTTTCCCAATGCTCACAGCTCAAACATTGAGGTGCGCACTTGTCTGCACATGACATGAAAGACAATCAACATATTAAACAAAATTATATTATATGAGCAGAAATAAAATTGTTTAAATAAGAAAGAAAAAAATTCTAACCAAATAATTCATTAAAAAAAATAATATTTTTTTTATTGCCTCACACATGTTTCAGAATTAATATAAATTATTATTTTAAAGCGATAGGGTTTGATTTTTATTAATTGTTATAAATTTCATGGTGAGATACAAATATCAAAATTTTATTTAATGACAGATTTAATTTTTTTTTATCATTTTGCAGATGGAAGGGAGATTGGCTTGATGTTCACCATAAGATTTTACAAAAATGGGCAGGCATTGGAGGAGATTTAATTGACAGGTAATTGTTGCAAGTTCACCACGCTCGATCTTGTGTTGAAAGAGGTTTATTATAAAAGACGATATTGGAAAGAATTTTATTTTTTTTCTCATCCGTCTTTGAGAATTATAAAGTTGTCTGCTTATAGGGATTAATGCGTTTGTGTCTCTTTTTTTCATTTAATCGCGGGCACCGTCGTTTGACACACGCACACAGGCTTTCTGCGCTGACGTTTTCCTTTGTTGTTCATTAAAATTCCTCGACGCAATAAATGATTGAGAGGCTTGCTTACGCGATTTAAAAAGCGGCAAGCGGCAGTCGGCCGGCATTTTTGCATAATTGCATGTGAGCTTCTGAGCTGCGCGTCGCATTCAAGACACATATTATATAAAAATAAAATTCAAGGCGAAGGAAAATTAAGATATGAATAACAATAAAAAAAGTTGAAGCGAGATTCTTATTCTAATTATGATATGAGTGGTGAATTAAAATTTTTAAAGTCATGCAGCTATTCCTCGATGGATTCATTTCAGAAAAAAAATATTCCATAAAATTATATATTTTCAATTTTAAGTTTTTTTAGCCAGATATGCAGTTAAAAATATTTGAACAATTTTTCGCTTCGAGTGCGAATTATTTTCTTGCAGGCTCATTAAATTATAATAAAGCAACACATCAAGAGTGAAAACTCTTTATATATTCCTCTTAACTATGTGTTACCCGCGAGAGTATAGATGCTTGGCAGAACGAGTAAATAAAATTAAAATGCAAACACACATAATACTGGTTTGGGCACTTGTACTGCTTAGCGCGCGGCTTAAACTAATAACTCTCGCCGCTAATGTCTCTTTGCGTTCGAAACAAAAACAAGCAAGTTTAATTCACATATATATGTGTGCATTATTCTCCGTCATTGTGCTGCTGCGTGTGTCTCTGTGAACAAAGCTGCAGCGGTCGCTCTTGTATTTCACTTTTATTTGATGCACTTGACTTGAGCTGCAATAATATGCGCGCAATGTCGCATAATAAACGCACGAGTCAGGTGTAAGATATTGTGTTGCACGAACAACGACTGCATGACTATTCGCATCTAGAGCGGACGGCACTGATACCAAAGGACAAGTTAATTTTACCGTTATTTCATTTGCACAAAAAATTTAGTAGAAATCGTTGTCGTTTATTACTGCGGTAAATTATATAAAACTTACATTTTTCAGAATAATTTTTAAACTACAATTTGTATTTTTTTTCTATTTTATTTTAAATCCTGTGGATTGGAATCAATAATTGTGCTATTGTTTCTTCTATATTCTAAATAAATAATAAATCGTCGGAAAATATTAAAAAATCACGCATTAAAGTCTCCACAAAATTTATGCGGTACGAAATTTAAAATTATATTTAATAAAATAATTTTTTTTTGTACTTACATCGCCCTCATCAAGGTAGCCGAAGACGTCGAGTTTGTCGAGACGGATGGTGCCCTGGAAAGGGTAGATGACGGTGCCCTGAGGGATCCTGGTGTTACTCCACACGTTCACGCGCATTTCACACAGTTTGTTTGCGTTTCGGTCAACACTGGTGTTGGTGAGCACCAGCGAGAACTCTTGCGGAATCAGCACGCACGTCTCCATGGTCAGCTGAGTGCGGGGCAGGTCGGGGTCAGGTGAGGTCAGAGGTCGCAGGGTGCTGTTGCTCTTCCAGGTATACGAAAAGTGGATGCGCAAGAAGTGTCACTGACGGCGCTGGCCTTGCTGCATGGCTGTGCAAAGCCAGACTGAGGCGTCCGCCGCACGTGGTTTCTCCTGCGCCCTGAGATGCTCCTTGGCCACGCCCACTACCTTAGCAGGCTCCCTGCCGAAGGTGGAGACTGGAGGGGCGTCTTGGCCAATCGCGTGGGCCATCAGGGGCGTGATCGGCCAATACCTGCGAAGGTGAAGGTTACCTGCAGGTGGATTATGATCGCGCACGATTGTCTCCGGGAGAACAATACCTGAATCGAAAATGAGCAGCACGGGGGGGGGGGGGGGGGCAGAGTCTCGTCCTTTTGTGATTTTCGTCTTTTCTCAGGACTTGCCGCCGCCGCGGCCGCTTTTCCTTTTCGCTTTGGTTTATTTATTTTATTTTCGAAAGGGGCGCAGATTAGCCTGAAGGATGACGGATCACTTTTGATTGCCGACTGCCACGCTCACAACTTTGTCTCAAATTTTTAATCACTGACACGCGGCGGTGTCTTTTATTCTGTGCGTGATGCAGCTGCGGTTTAATTTCGTTCCATCAAAGATTTCTGAAAAATGTCAAATTTCCAAATATGTATAATTAAGATATAAGTAAACATTTAACACCTTTAATTAGCTACTGCAAACTTTGAGATAAACCAATTTATTTTTAATAATAACGGTATCATATAACGATTAAAGAATAGGAAATTGCTAATTTAAATTTATTTTCATCATCATTAAATATTTATTAAACATGTGTGTGCAACATTTTTTTTTTTTTACGAAATGCTTAAAAATCCTTTTTCATATTATTCATCTTTATTTATTGGAGGATTAACAAAATGAATTAGTTTTGGTATTTTCACCTTATAATTATGCTCCGTTGAGGAACTTTGGCTATTTTAAATCCATTTGACCATTATCAGCTTTTTGCATCTTTCTGGTTTAACATCAATCATCTGATCAATTAAATTACTATTATACAACATCATATTTTACACAAGAAAAATAATAAGTAGTTTTATAAGTACATCAAATTAATAAAAATTGAAAAAAATCACAATAATTATGTATTAGATCCATATAGACGAGTTTTATATTAGTATTTTTTTTTAATATTATCAATTTAAGTAAAAAAATGATTATTTGTATTTTTATGTTAATTAACCCTCTCATATATTCTGCTGCAACATTTTGAAACAACACATAAAAAATGTATAAAATAATAATATTTATTGGACCACAATCAGCAACTATGCAGATTAAAAGAAATATTACTTCGTCTGATGTGTCTGTGTGCGTTTCCTATTAATATTAAAATGCGCTTAAGAATAATTCACTGAAAAAGTTTCATACTTAAATGTCATAAATAGGAGAATATTCAGAAAATTTTGTAGAATAATTTTCTCCAATTTATTAAACAAAAAAGGACACACAGAAATCTTGAGAAAAGCTTTTGAAATTTAAAATAAAATTTTCCTCGTAGTCTAAAAATCATGAAAAGAATTTTTTATTTTAATATAGAAGGCGCAACACACAGACCTGCTGCTCGCCGTCATCAGAAAAATCACCTGCTGCGTTCTGAGGAATCTAGAGTGCGTGCATTGTGTGCTATAATCTGCCGCAACTTTTGATAGGGGGGCTGTTCATTCTCTCCCGAAAAATAATATAGTGGCACTTTCGTTAGGGAAAAAAAGAGGCACTATACACGTCTTACAATGAGAAGGGGGCATCTCAACGGGTGCTGCGGATTGCAGCACCTGCTCTCTCCTGATAGATGTGAAGTTTCGAGTTGGTTAATTACCAGCGCCGCGACTCACGCAGGTAGCAGTCTTTTCTCGACTTATATATGAAAAGAGAGCCAGCGAGATAGCAATTTGAAGAAGCAGACCCCTTTTCGGGCAGAGGCAGGTGACAATGCGGCTAAATTATTGCCCAATATATAGGCAACCGACGTATTTTAATTGAGAGCGTATTTCTTTCACAAAATAAAAAAGTGTCCAAATAATTTTTGTGCCAATTATGTCGAATAGGAATGGATTTAATTGCTTTATTTTAATTTTTTGAGTTTAAACACTACACTCTTTGTGTTAACAAAATTTGACTTTTTTCTTATTCATTTAGCAACAATCCAACCATATGGAGACTGCGTTACCTACAAGGTCTTTAAATGTTATATAAAAACTATTATGGTGCAAAATATTTGAAATTGATCATAACTTCTAAGTACTACAATCCAGCATGACTAATCCAAACTGGAAATTCCACTTAGTTCTACAAAAATAAAAATTATCAAACAAATTTAAGTAAAATCGTTATTATTGAGGATGTGAAAAATGTGGAATTATAAATTGAAATTTTACTAGAGAAATACCGTGAATTTGAATTATGTAATCTGAAGCTGCACTTATATATCATTAAAAAGTCTTTTCTGCTGTAATGTTTTGTGTGCATATAAAAAATTTATTTTCTTTTTTGGACCAAGGTTGTAAGAAATGTCACTTCTGTTAAATTTAAGCTAAAGTATAGTTCTTTTTGGATGATTAAGAAGCCATATTTTGGCCGGCGAAATTTTAATTACAAGTGAGCTTAGCTCCCTCTCCTTATTAAACACACCGATAATCATTTGGGTGCTGTGCAGAAAAACAGAGGCGATTAGCTTCGTGTATTTTCCGTCCAGCCCCCGCCATAATTCATTTATTAGCTATAAATTAGGCAATCATCCTTTAATTGAGTAGTTTTTAAGCGTAATTTTGACAATTAAGCTGTAAATAATGGCCGCGCACTCTCGGAACACGGCTCGATTCGCTGCCCCTGCGCTAAAGCTATTATGCCAAGCAAGATTGGGTCTGCCGACGCCGCCACTGCCTGGGACCTTGAAAACTTGTTGCTCGCGTTGCATGATGATCGAAAATATGGTCTACAATTATCTCGTTTTAATTCAGCTGCTGCTGCTGAGGGAGCCATCACAGGTAAATTATTAAAACACTCGGGCCGCGCGGTCCAATTTTCTTTCGTGTACCTTTATTAGTTTTATTATTATTTTGCTCCTCATAAAATTGCTTTCCAAAGAAGAAGCACACAAAACACAGAATTAAATATTATTCCTCTAAAATTCACATTTCTTTTGTTAAGAAAAGTCTAAATATTTCACCTCCTCCGCAAAATTTTCACCTCCTCGTCAATTTTCTGATGTATCCAGTCAGTAAAGTAGGCAACCCTGGTGAACACGTTGGGAAGGGGTTCTTCATTGGAACAGTTGCCTTTGTACCACGAAACCACCCCTATTTGTGTGTTGCCCACAAACACTGGACCTCCTGAATCTCCCTAAACGAATAACAATAAAAGTTTTGAAAAAAAAATATTTTCTGCGGTGATTGATTTTCCAAACTGCGCAAATTCATGTGCGATTTATATAAATATATATGTTCGTGTAACTCACTCTGCAGAATCCAGTTTGCGGTTTGGGTTGGGCACACAAGTGGAAGTCGTAGATGGACGGCTTGAAGTCGAGTCTCTCGGCGCACTCGATGTTGTCAATCACCGACTCGTCCAGCACGCGGAGCACTTTGTCCGACATGTACCGCTGCGGTAAGAAAAAAATGCCAAATGTTTATTTGTTACTGATATTTTTTTTCTAAAATAATATACAAGTGATGTTATGAATAACGTACCTGATCTGTGCGACCCCAACCAACCACAGTCGCTTGCGTACCAGCGGGGATGATTTCGTCTTGGCGAGGGAGAAAAATGGCCATTTCACCGTTACCCAAAACAAACTGGGGCTCAATCTTGAAAATAACATAAAAAAAAAATATAATATCCCAAGAAGCTTGAAATGCAAAATAACCCGGGAAGAAAATTAACAAAACGTTTCTAAATATTAAAATATATTTAAAATGCCAGAAAAAATTTTTTTTTTTCAAGAAAATTATAGAGAAAAATTATCATATGATTTCAGATCCATTAAATTCCGACTTTTTTAATATTATTTATTTAATGGAATTAAAAATATTAATTATCAAGGAAATTTTATTTAAAGAAATGAAGAAGTTGACGGCGATTATTTAAAAACAAACTGGCAGATATGCAAGCCCGCCAAGCAGGGTGGTGCTGCCAGGCTGTATAAACGCAAGGGGCTACTTTCTCACCCTGATCAGAGCAATGTCGTAGCCAAGAAAGATGGATTTGTTGTACTGGGCGTGAATAATAATTGTCACCGGCCAATACGTGCGAGTCTCTCTTGTCAGGTCGATGTTGGACGAGACGATTTTGAAGTCAATCGGATCGTTTCCACTGAAAAATAATAATTATAAAAATCATGGTAACTTAAAATCCAACTTTTTTGAAAAAATGCAGTGAGCGGCGGTGAGAACGAAGTCTCGGTTGAGGATGGTGCCGCCGCAGAAGGGCTGGGAATTGTTGACGTGCTGCAGCGAAACCTGCGACATTATTTGTTACAAAACTCTTAATGGACCTCTTGAGAGAGATAATTTTTGTCTCTCACAGAAAGAAAACGAGAGCAGTGTGTTATTTTTTACTTTGTCTCGAGAAAGAGACACGAAAATTCCCTCGATTATTTAGCCGAAATGTGTGCGTGTGCGCGCCAGGTAATTACATACCACAGATGTGAACGTTCCTTCCTCAGCGGGCTCGCCGTTAATTATCTTATCACTCTCTCCGTCGTCTGCGGAGACGCCGCTAATTGATGCAACGTCGTCTGCTTCCGATGATTCCACTTCTGAGGTTGAAAAAGTTTCCGTCGTCAAGGATGAACTCGGATAAGAAGTTTCATCCTCTGGTGGCGACGGTGTCATTTTTAATGTTTGCTCTGAATTTGTGTCACCTTCGATCATGATTTTTGCATTTACAGGAGGCTTTTCAGTCAATCCCGAGAAACTTTCTGAAGAAATTTCCTCATTTGTTTTATTGTCTTGAACGGTCAGATTTGGATCGAGACTTATTTTTTCAAAATCAGCAATAGTAGTTTCGACTTGTTTGGCAGTCTCTGTACTTTCCAAAGGAGCTTCTTCGGTCATTTCGGAAACAATTTCGGAAATCGTTTCTTCCAATAATGTGCGAAATTCTGTCGTTGGCTCCGTAATTTGCTCATATTCATCTTGAGTATTTATTACTTCCTTTACTACAGAGTCCTCCGTCAAAGGAACTTCAGAACTTAATGTGCCAGATGACGAGGTTTCTGAAAACGTTTCATCTGGAATTGCATCTGTTTTGCTGGTAAGGATTGATGGAGTGATTTCTTCAATTTCTTCAGTATTTTTGTCTTCTATCAAAAATGTTGTTGGTTGATCTTCCACAGGCAATTTTTCCTCGTCTATTTCGATGGCCATACCTATAGAAATAAGAAAATAAATTAAATTCTGTTTATTTAATTTTCAGAATGTTAAATTTTACTTTCGACAAAGTATTATCCAACGTTCAAGACGTAGAAAAAGTAAAAATGAAGGGACCAATAGAATAATTGAATAATAATTTTCATTAAAATAGAAACAAAAATTTCTCTGCTTAATTTCTGATGAATGAATTCGTGTTTAGGGTAAACGAATAAAAATTATATTTCAATTAATACAAATAATTTTGCAGCTTAATAAAAAATATTATTCTATAAAAAGTTTGCAATTAGAATAAAAATTATTTAAAATAAAGCCATCACCCTCAATTGAACATACTCGTATGGTAAATACAAAAATAATTATTTTATGTTAAAAAAAGCACAACGTACCAATTACAATTCCCAAAACTGCGCAGATGACAGAGACGGCTATTTGAAACACAATTACTCTGCTGATTGTTCTCTTTTCCATTCCTCATTAAAATCTTTGTAAATGCACCATCACCATTTTTTAATTCTGAAGTAAAAACTCCACTATTCAAAATCAAAATGTCCACCGGCCGTCGTTTTTCACGCAATTTTCATCACAAACTGCGGCTGCCTTGGAAATTGCGTCGGTCGAAGGTTCAACATTATTAAAAATATTTTCCACTGTAGTCATCACCAGTGGCGTGCACACGGTCGATCGTTCTGGCAAATGTCCCTGGTCTGAAAACCTTGGATCTGTTCACCGCCGGGAATCCATTTCCTCTGGTCGCTCACAAACATCACATGCAGCAGCAACGTGCATTTCAAATTATATTTTGCTATAAAATGCCATAAAAAAAAATTATGGCACACTGCAATTTTTATATAATAGTGTGGAAAATTGGTTCCCAAATCAAATTATGCTTTCCCAGTGGACAAATAAAATAAATTTGTTAAATTAAAAAAAAAATATATACATAAATTTACTTGTAATTCATATCAAAAATAATTGTGACTTTTCAAAATGCTAAATTTTACTAACTAATAGTAAGTAAGCGTCTAAAGAATTTTTTTTAAGTGTTTTGGTTATTATTACATATAAATGATTTTTTTTCATGTGCCTGGCAGCATTTTAATTGGATGCCAATAATAAAATGCCTATTTTTAGTATCTAAATGGCTTAATTACCGTGCAGCGTGGCCAACAAGCCCATCCTCACTCACTTTCCATTTATCCGCCCGGTCGCGGTCACTCAGATTTCGCTGGCTGTGATTTAATGCCTGCCTCCAAAAGCATTAAGTCGACGGATAACGAGCCTTTTTAAATGCGCATATGCTAAAATGCGAGCAGCCAATTATGCCAATTACTCTGCCTCTATTAGGCCTGGCAAAAATTGAATTACGAGACGGACCGATTTGCCTCGCGAGTAATTTGAATATGAAAAATTGCTGCGTTAGGAAGCAATAATAACTAAATGAGCGCAACGAATTCAACAACAGGCACTGAGATATTGGCACGTAACAATTTTAGCTCTCAAAGAAAAACTGCTTCTGATTTTCAAACTGCTGATAAGTAAAATTATTTAACTGAAGAGAAGGATTAAATTTATTGTGTTATCACAAAATTCAAACTAATATTTTTCCTAATTTTTATTATATATTTATAATTCATAAAATATTTGGTATCAATATTAAAATTTGTGTCATTCAATCTGCTATTAGACAATGGAATTTTGAATGTGTTGTATACTTTGTGTAATGAGGAAAAAACAAACAAGCAGGAATGAAAACTTGCACATATAAATCAAGATCTCATCTTGAGGATTAAACTGCGAGGGGAATTTTGAGGCCCATATTTGGCGCTGCCGGACTGCGATCGCGAAATAAAAAACGCATATAACTCTCCAGCGAGAGCAAACAGGTCGACGCATGATGGCAAGAAAAGCTCCCCGAAAGTCCACCCATTCGGATTAGCATCAATTATTTGGAGCCCAACAACGTTATTAAGGATGCTGTGTGACCTTTATCAAATGACAGCGGCACTAAATGGCTCCTTATCATCTCCATAATGATGCTCGTTAAAATTCATTATGTGTAATCCCGGCTGTCTCGAAAAATGAAATGTCGGCTTCTGAAAAAGAAAAAAATAAAACATTTTCCGCCTATATCTCAATCCGGCACCGTTCGAGAGCCAAAAATACGTTCGTGTTCTTCGGATTTTTTTTCTCTCTCTCGTATCAAACGGAGCGGCGTGAAAAATGTACAAGCCAATCCCGATTTCTTTTTATCTTTCACAACCACGCAACACTTTAGGTGCGTTCCCATGCAAGAGAGAGAAAGAAGAGGCTGAAGAATAAATCATGTGTTATGAATATGAATGAATCCCCGTAGTAATCAATAGCACGTCAGAAGTGACAAATCTAATTGAATTTTTATGTTTTCACTTTGACAACTTCCTGTATGCGGCGCATCTCTTTTTTGAATTAATAAAATTTAGTAATTTATTCTTAAGTAGTTCATTATCTTTTATGCAAAATGAGAATTGAAATTTAGTTCCTTGACCTTTGGCTGACGAAGAAAAGTTTGTGTGTGAATATGTAGGAGAAATTAATGCCATAATTCTCGCACATTTAGAGACAATTTTCACTTTCCAAAACTCTTAACAAATCGAGCAGATCTCGTAATTGTCGCACCAGGTTACAGAATCAGAGAGACAATTTCGTGTGATACAGTCTCCTCATCAACAAGGAAGATTTTTTAATTGTGGGAGAGACGAGCAGTACGTGTCAGTGTCTCTAATTTCACTACCACTGAAATCACAGAGACAAAGGATTATAATATTTATTTTTTGTTAGTTTAAAAGTATTTTAACACTTTCTAGAAATGTTAATTTACTAGAGTACATTATATAATTTTTTTATTATTATATAATTTTAATTATATACTTTAATTTTTTAGTTATAAAAAATAATTAAAAATTTATATAAATGTTGAACAAGAGTTATTTCAAATATTGGAATTTGGCTAAAAACAAAAAATATAAATCATAATTAATAACGTCTTTGTTGAATTCATTATAAAAAAACGCTGAAATACATGGAAAATCTCAAATAATACCAATGCTAATATGTCATAATTAAAATAATTTAAAAGCACTGAAATAATTATAAATTTAATTGTAACAAAAATGGATTTCACAAAAAAATGAACATCAGCCAATGCACTTGTATTTTGCTAGAGCTCCTTTAACAAGACAAGACGCACGAATGTTACTCTGGTTTCCTGTGGGCAGCAAAAGAACGCGTAATGAATGAACAAGAGAAGGAGGAATGAGTCGATAAATAAAACACAGTGCCACGCATCAATCACGAATCGAAATGCGGGTCTATTAGAGTCAAGCGGCCGGGCGATTTATCTTAAGACGGCACATATGATTTTCGGGCGAATGATTCCGATAGGGAGGGCACCTGTTGATAAATGGGAGGTCAATAATGGCGGCGGCAAGGTCAACTTCGGCGCTCTTGTTTGAAGCATTTGTGGGCAAGAAAGAAAAAAACAGTAACAGAAAAAGAGCACACTCGCGTGCATTGTGTTGTTAGGATTTCGTTTCGTGGCCTGGCCGTGGCGTGCATGCGGTTTTGGTTGAGGGCCCCTGCCGAGGAGGCGAAAAAGAAGCTCCCTTGATCAGCCAAAACGCTGACTCACAACACACGGCACCGACACGAAGGTGCTTCTATCGTAGTTTTGGATTTTCATTGCAAAATAGTAATATGCGGATGAAATTATCGTTTTTTCCTTCTCGGTAATATAATTTCACTGCATGGAATGTAGGCAACCTGCAGAGCACAGGTGTTGAGCGGAACACTTCCCTTGATATTCCAGTCAAAAGGAAAATATAAAGCGATTATTATATTATAAACCTTTTTTCCCGTGCTTTAAAAAAGGGAATTCAATTCATTTTAGAAGAATTTACAAAAGCTAAAAATAATAATTCACAAATTTTTTTTTAACTTTTCAGTTATTCTTTACATTAAAGGTTGAATGCTATATATTCTATTAAAATATTTTCATTAGCACTGTTTGCAACATTTTCAGATTAAGTAAGTTGCAGTACTAAAATTCAAACTTCAAAGAATTGAAGAAAAAAATTGCAATTTCTCTTCAGCTTGCTTATTCATTACAAATTAATTATATACTGATTAAGTTGCGATATTTATTATGTATGTATTTAAATTTTACCTATTGACAAAATAATGTTTATTTCGTGTATTTTAAATAATAATATTGATGACGATGATAATGATGATTTATTGCGTTTAGAATGTGATACTGCACATTCAAAATTCAAAAAGCCCACAACTGCACCTCTTGCAGATATCCAACGATATTTTGAGTGACGCTGATATTATATTTATTATAATTTTCATAATAATAATTGGGCTAATATTATTTATACTTTGCAATATACGAGCAAAACAAGAGATACATATGAAATTTAATTTTCTTATACGCTTCTTCTGTCACAATGATATCAATTTATATATTAAATTATCTTATTCACGTTCTAAGAAAGATGCACAAAAATAAAATTTGAAAACCAATAAATAATTCAAAATTATTCTAAACTTACTAAAACTAAATAAAAATAAGGAAAGAAAAATAAATAAAAACTATTTGCAAATTAAATAAAAAGTTTATTGTTAATATAAAATAAATAATAAATTTATTATGACATCCTAAATAATTAAAATATTTTTTAATGAATAATTATATTACTTAGGTGTACGTTTGCGGGACAAAGAATTTTGCTAGCATGAAATATTGCCTTTCACATCATTGGTGAGCCGATTTTCAATAGCTCAGTTGCTTTTAATTCGCCGTTTGTATTCTTTCCTATCACAACAAGCGCTGGCTCTCAACACAATGAGAGAAGCATCGTAAAAAAAAGAAGTTCGAACGCATTCAGCATCGATCCATCCATCTAGTCGAGAGACGCGCGTGTTGATATAAAATATTATATTGGTTGGCCTTTTTCTTTCTTTCTCCGGCTGTGCCGCGCGCGGCCAGCAGGGAGTTAAGAGGCGAGAAAGTCAGGTGTTAAATTACGATGCAAAATACTTGGCTGCCATCATTGCCGCGTGTGGATATCAATTGTGCGCTCGCCAGAGTTTAAAGGTGATCCAATTCCTGGCGAGGCCGCTGGGGGTCCCTTCCAATCGCTTTTCTATTCACGCTCATTAATCTGCTGACTGCGCGGAGATCGAGCGGCCCAAACATTTCTCATCCTCTTTTTGTTACACAAGTGATACCCGTTTATTTACCGCTGCAGATTTTCGGCGGAACTTCACATTTAGAGTTTACGCCATCTGTTTCAGGGTGGTCTCCCCTAATTTTACCAAAAATGATACACTTTTTATTTTTCATGCGTTATAATTTTTTAATATTTTAATGGCATCTGAAGCCACAAAGTTCTGTCGTGTTAATTTCATGAAAATTAGCGTTTCACACAAAAATATGCCCTAGATTTTTTTCATTCTACCTAAATGATCAAAATATTATGGAATTTTGAGAATTAATTATTTAAAACATTTAATTTTAATATTCTTGAGAACTTGCGGAGTTTTTAACCACTTGAAAGGTGATCGCTGAGGATATTTCACCGCTTCAATGTGCTGGGATTATATAAAAAATCAAATTAAAACAAAATTTTTATTAAACTTTATGATTAGATGACTAAACTTGCAAGATTAGTATATTAGGGTTTTTTATTTCACTCAATTCAAATATCCTCGTGTGTGGCGCAATTTATTTATAAATGCTTTTCCCATTTAATTCCTTTCGCGAGTGCATACTAATGTGCACGGCGTTTTAACTCAATATGAGTCTCCTGAGAACGTTTTAGCATCGCCGCGGATTGCAGGAATAATTTATTTTTATTTTAAAGAGCGATCGAGGTGTGGTCGCGCGGCGCGTATCGCCGCTTGTTATCGCGGCGGCCACATGAGGCTTTTTCCAGTACCTCCCTGCTCGCGCGAATGAGAAAAGCCGCTTTGCAAAAATAAAAACGCAGAGCGATAGCGAAACGGAGCGAGCAGGAAAACACATTAGGGCGCTCAACTAAGTACCGGCGATTTAATTAGGCACAGACAGTCTTCCCCGCCTAGGAGTTCACAGATAGACACACGCGCTCGTAGTTTTCTTTTGATGAGAGATGTGTTGTGTGTGAGAAAAGTGGTCGTGTGAGGAGCGGAATGAGATTTGCTCACTCGTTGCGAATGAAAAGTGGGTGCGAACTCGAAAATTAGCAGATGAGAATTTATAATTACAAAAAGAGTTGTTTGGAAACATCTGCTGCAAAGCTGTTTATCAAATTATTTTTCACGTTTAACCACTCGAGGCAATCACAAGTAATACATAATTAGCAAATTCAAAACGCATGTTCAAATTGAATTTTAAAATATCGGCAATAGGAAAATTAAAACAGCTAATCATTGAAGCATGGTGTTCGTAAAAAAACTGGAATGAATTAAATGATTTTCCTGCAAACCAATTTTAATATTCCAATAATTATAAGTTTTTTTTTACGTAGACTTAGTGATAATTAGTGTAGAGCAGGTGTAGGGTATTGTGGGGTAGTGGTTTTATGCTTGTTTTGTTAATTATAATTTATAATTTAATATTGCCTTTGTTTCTGAGTTTCCATTCAGTATTATTATTATTATTGAAACGCAAAAAAATAAACAATTTTAGTGTTTTGAGAATTAATTAACAATTCAATTATAATTAATAATTTTGGGACAAATGCTTATTTTCTTTAAAGCCAGTTTTTTTATAGCACAGTTTCAGTAAAACCATTGCAAAAATAAAAAAAATAAAAAAACATAAAAAACAAGTGTTGTGTCTGGTTTAGAAATTTTCAATTTAGGAGGCATCTTTTTCTCACTATGACGAAAAGCCGCTAATTTTGCCCTATTCTCGTCACAATTAGATAATGTATGCATGAATTAAATTATTGCTGTTACTTTAATGAATCGGCGCATCTATTTCAAAGTCATGTTATCAAGGAATTAACCATTGAAATTTTCCAACCTTATTTATTTATAAAATTGATGGTTGACATATTTTATTAATTAAACTATGCATTATTTATATAAATATAATAAAAATATTATAAGATTGTAAACTATAATAATATTCCTAATTTGAAATTTTAATCCTGAAAAATATGCACAATTGTTTTATAACAATAAAAAAATTTTAAATTTAGCTATTGCAAAATGTCATAGATATTTTATTTTTAAACTTCTTAACCTAACAAGAGGTCTGAACAACAAAATTACCAACACAACGGCACAGCTTTATTTCCAATAAATCGCAATTGCCGGGCGCCAAAGTGTCCAGTTCCCATAAATTGGAAAGTCAAAATGTTTACTTTAATTAAGCAGGCGAGCAAATAAAACATGAGCCGGCCGACACGCACACGTCGGGTGTAATATAAAAGCCAGTTTTTCGGCGTCAACCAAGAAAAGAAATTTCCCTGCTCTCGGGTGAAAACAAAACGCATGCGATCTGTTATTTATGGGGCGAATAAATTCGATATATAGCGCGCTGCACCGGACAGCGAATTTCGCGCGGCCAGGAATCTCAGACACAATATCTGCTCGAATATAACCAGCTCGTCGCGTTTTAATGGCCGGTCCCTCCGCGGAAAATAAATTATTTCGGCGGCACATAAAAAATAATGGCCGTCAGCAGCACCGTAAAGGATCTTCTTTGCAGATGAACTTGTTGTATTTAGCGCATCTCTTTCTACTTTTTTTCGTCGAATCGAACGAAATTTAACGCGCGCGTCCGGCCGGTCCGCTCGAAAGCGTACTTGCGACTATACATGCGCGCCGCCTTTCGCATAGGTCAGCGACTTATCGTGACCAAAGGACCGGGAGAGATGAGTGAGAGGTGGATGCTGCACTGGAATCCTCTCTCTCTCTCTCTCTCTTCGTCTTAAAACTCGCGGCACCACCTAATTAGTTCGGGACCGGTCATTACGCTCTTCGGAGTGCTCTGAATTCGATCTGTCAAATCCTACCAAAATCCTTTCCTTCCACTAGACTGCGCTAAAAAGAATATCAACGAAGTACAGCAAAAATCTGCGAACAGAAATTTCCAGAAAATTAACAGTTTCAAACGATGTAGTTGCAAAAAAAGCCAATTGAATTATTTTGCTGGCTTGATCTAGATTTAAAAAAAATATCACCTTTCTAATTTAAGAGCAAACAGAAAAATTGGCCCAGCAACGTCTTTAACTGTATATAATATATAATAAAATAAGGATTGTGAGAATTTCAAATCTGAAATAACTGAGTCATTTTTTTTACTACCGCTTTATAAACCATTTAGTTAATGTTATAACTACAAAAAATTGTAATAAAATATGTTTATTAATTTTTTTTAAGTATTTTTTCTCCTTTCAATAAAATTAATTTTAATAAATAAAATATTTTTCATCTATATATAAACTTAAACAAAATTATTGCTTCTTAATAATATTGTAAAAAGTCAATAGTTGATCTTGATTAATATAACCTGAACTATTTTTAATAAAATATAAATTTTCTTGGGAACCTTCAAATCCAAACCAAGACAGATTTATAAAAGTAATTGGAATCTTGTACGTAGCCACATCACATTGTTAATTTCCTAAATATGAAATAACAAGTTATTTGAAAGTTACACATTTTTGACAATTTTAGTTTTTAAAAATAGTATCAGTTTAAAACAAAATTAATCCAACTTAGAAGTTTCTTGTAAAACTGTTTGTCATTCGAAAAAAAAAAGGAGCAAAACACGCGAGAAATCACATTGCCAATTTGGAGAACATGCTTTGAACGATGCAAAAAACGATACAGAACGAGTCAAAGTGCTGCTGCTAGACATGCAAACTCGGAAAACACAGACGAGAGAGACATGCGAGCGAAAAACTTTACGACTCTCAAATTGCACCATGCATCGTTGTAAAACGAGAGGAAAAACGCTGTGTGATTTCAGAGGAACAAAAACAAGCATAATGAAGAGTGTTGCGGCTTAATTGACTCACAATCAGTCAGCGAGAGGAATTTTTTCGTACACATCAGGTCGGAGTGCGTTTTTGTCAGGGATGCTGTAAAACGATCTCGACGACTCACGCGGCGCTAAATTTTCATTTTTCTGGTAGAGCTCTGCCCTTTTTTTTAGAGAAAGAGAGACGACCGTTCATTAAGCGTTTAGCCAGCCGGCAATTTTTGCGCCAAATTGCACTCTGAACGCGCTTATTATTTAATCGCCCCGATTCAATGATTGCACGTCGTAAAATGCAATTGCACGAGCTGCAGCAAATGGGCAAATTGCATACCCGCCCTTTATTACTTGGGAAATGAATTATCTCCACACTTGGCTGCTAATGGAAAAAGTTTTAACGTGTGAGGATCTCTCTCAGAGCCAGCCAATATACTGAGAAAAACTTAGTCAGAAACCCTACCATAAAATTGTGTTCTAAAACAAAACAGCAGTAGAAAAGGAATTATGGATGAATTAAAAGGCCAATTTTTTAAATTATAAATAAAATTATATTTATTTAGTTCTTTTTTTTTTATTTATTTATTTATTGTTGTTTATTCTTGTCCGACAAATATTACATACATGTTATATGCACAGATCACAAAGAAAAATTGAGATAACAATTTTTGGGAGGGAAATGTTTTTGGACAAGAAAAGGCGCCGCCTCTAGCAAACATTTTGCTAAAACACTCGAAATCAAGAAGAAGTCTCATGCCGAAACGAGCCTCAATGGGGAGGGAAAATCACATTTGGGGGAAATCACTGGTCAAAGTTCCGCCACAGGTACTCTTTGCAGAGGGCTGGGAACTGGTCCACAGGGCAGTCTTTCAGGGCGGCCGGAAGGTCATTCCAGGGCTCCACTACCCTGAAGGAGAAAACGCTCTCGGCGAATTTGGTCCGAATGGTGGCCGGTTGCAGCTTGGGGTGCTGCGGGTCATCTCCTCGGAGCGGCCGGCGCTCGGTGATGCGCGCCATGGCATCAAAGTCGGTGGCGCCGCTCAGGCACCGCTTGAAGAACACCAGGTCGGTGTGTTGCAGGTGCATGGCCATCGGCATCATCTTCTGCTCAAGAGGCGGCGGCAGGTGGCGGCCGTGGATGAAATGGAGCCCATGCCGGTGCACTCGCTCGAGCTTCTGCAGGTTCTCCACAGTGGTCGGGTGCCAGGCGGGCAGTCCGAAGGTCATCAGAGGTTGGACGAGCGCCTGATATGCCAACCTTTTGACCCTGGGGGTGCACCCTTGAAGGTTGCGGCCGACGAAACTGAGCCTCTGAGCGGCCTTGGCGCGCACTGTGTCGGTGTGCACGCTCCATCGCAGGTCACTGGACACGTGGACACCCAGGAGCCGCTGGCGGTCGACGTACTCGAGGGCCGCGCCATCAATGATGTACTTGAAGTATAGAGGGGTGTGGGCGTGGGTTTCTTCTGTTTAAAAAAAACCGAGAGTTCTTAAAAAAATCCAAGTACGAGAATATTTTAGGTGAGAGATTTTAGATTATGAAATTATTAATTATCTTTATAAATTTTTAGTTATTAAATTAAGAATATAAATTTTTCCCTTTACAATTTTATCTTTATCTTGAATTTGAAAAACATTACTTAGGCTCTTTCTTCCTTTGGCTTCCTGCTGATTAAAAAATATGAAGTCTTATCAGTCATTTTTGAAAGTAAAAAAAATTTAAAAAAGCGATGCGATGGCGGCAGTCGTTAAACCTCCATCATATTTACCATTCTCTCTTTATCACGAGATGAAATTCCTTCTGCTACCTGCTCCTAATACGTTTCGCATTAAAAAGTACGTGCCCACCTCGCTCGCAAACTGATCGTGAAGAAGTTGACACGAGCAGCCGTAGAGCGTAAAAATTATGGCAATAAGCAGCCGGTGCGAGCCTCATTAATATTTACCGTCCGACTGGGCACCCTTTGATTTGCTAAAATTCACCAGAGATCAGTTTTTTGTTTCATTAGTGAAATTTTGTCAAGTTTGACTAGTTTTCCACTATTTTCTTACTACATATTGAATTAATATTAAAAGATAAATTTTCTAATATTTTAAATTCTCATGATTGCATATATAAATTAATAACAACACTTCACTACGGTAAAGGGAGGAGTGCTTTTCGTGAACACTGATATAAATTACTGGCAAGTAAGTGTTCCAAATTTTTAGTATAATAAGTACATTAACGGTAAAACTCGTATATTTTTTATTCTTGCAAATTGAAAATGCCGAAAATTGCTGCCTCCGGTTGCACGTTGACGTATGTATTCCGCGGTCAGAACGAGTTTCCCTCATTGCTCTTCCTGATAATTTGAATAAACGCGACGCGAATTTTTACACACGTCTCATCTCAAACACGCGGGGTGAAAGGCGGCTTGGCTCGTCGCAAAATTATCACAACTTGACAGAGTAAAATACTGTGAGCCGTGAGACGAGAAATAGAAAAGAGGAACTTGATTGTTTTCTTTGGACGTTTCATAATTATATAATAAATAAAAAATAATACTAATTAGGTGAAAATTTTAACATTTTTTTTAAATCAGATTTAAGTTGTTATAAGAATAAAAATATTTACGAACTTTTGATTTCTGTGATTTACAATTTAATTTTTCTTAATTAATAGAATCAACTTTGTAATTTAATAATGAATATCAGTCAAAATAAACCTTTTAAATAAAATCTCGGTATTAATTTGTTTTTAATGCTATCACAATTATAAGTTTCTTAAATATCTAAGTTTCAATGAATTATCTCCACCCAATGGAAATGAACCGATAACAAAAATCTAAAAATTTTAAGAAAAATGAAAATTATGACTTAATTTTTTTTTTTAAATTACAACCAAACAAAGATAGATGAAAGTTTTATTAATTGTTAAAATAAAATACTCATACTACTTGTTGCTATTCATGGCAGTTGAATGCGCTACATTTCTTTTAATTGCATAATTATTATTCAAATATACCTCCATTGGTCAAGTAAGATATTATCAACGTGGTTTTGCTGAAGAAAGGAATTTTCAAGCTAATGGTGACACAAGACTGAACAAAATTTTAATTCTATTTTTTTTCCTTTTTCAAAGGCAGTGCATCTGCACATCTTTTCTAAAGACCCCTTCGTCGTTGGTTCAAAAGCAGGTGCCTATATCTCGGTGCGTTTAATTGACAACTAATTAATTCGACGCGCACATTAGAGTCGGGCGTGCGACTCGTGGCGGAGCTAATACCATGTCAAAAGCGATCCTCCATGCAGCCGAAGCAAAGGTCATTTACTTTAGGCTTCTGATTCTTCAAACTTAGTTTCGGTAAATTCATTTGCTAGCAAAAATACGTATGTATAATTTTTTCAAGACGTTGTGCGTGATTGCAGGCGTTTTCCCACACTGCACAAAAGGCAGTAAGTCTGTTTGGTTTTGTTGTTTGCACTTGATACACGTTGCTTATTACGACGGCCGCATTTGTATATTACGAATGTACTCGAGCACGGCGCGTATTTAAACTAAACGTACGTACTTACATTTAGTTGTAACTTGACTTGTTCGCGGCGATTACATCAACGCCGGATATAAATAATAAAAGAGTCGCGCGAGAAGGAGCAGCGCCACCGAGAGATTTATGCAAAATAGTTGCTCTTTCCCGCGACAGAGTGAGAGACTTACGTATTTATTTATTATTTGTGTGCTTCTTTCTTCCTAATGCCAGTCGAGTTCATAAGTAGGAGTTGTTTCGCCGTCCACCGAAGGGACGACGATCGTATCGTGGGAAGACAAAATGCACTCGTGTTTGTCACAGGGCACGCATGTAAAAACGATGATCACAAAATGTAATAATAACAGTGGAGAATGAAGGATCGCTGGATTATCTCGCAAGACTATAAATTATTTAAATTAATTTTTTTAATGATATCAAAAAATAATTCCAATAAAAGGTTCATCTAGAGATGATTGGAAACATTTTATATTGCACCATGACGAATAATTTATAAAAAAAAAAATAATAATTATAATAATATTTCCTGTACAGACCTTATCTGTTATCTTTTGTTTTATGCATAATGCATTAATCAATACAAACACAAAGTAAATTTTCTTCTAATTTCTTTAAAATTTCTGGCTGACATCAAGTTTTATTTAGATTAAGTTTTTCTTTTTTATCTTGAATTTGCATCTCGGAAGTGTGTAAAACATAATATTAACAGATAAAATTATAATACACAACCTACACAACGCCGAATTTACTTGTTTTCAAAGTCACAATTTTCTTAAATATACCTGCAATGTTTTCGTTGAAGTCGAATTACACTTCCATTAAATTAATCCATTCTTTCCTACCTCAAAATCCAAAATATTAATCAGTTTGTAAAAATTTTTTCCATTTTATTAGTTTCCGTACGTTGCATAGCTTCAAATTAAAGGCCGCCCACCCTGGGAAATGATTTTGGATTTCAAATTGCAAGAAAATGGAACGTGTAATTTGGCGATACTGAAATTTTTTTAATTTTAACATAAAAAAAAAATAAAAAAAAAATAAATTGCTTAGAGTCAGTTTCGTATTTTTATAACTTCAAATCTGAAATTATTAGTATAATAAATGTTATTTAATTTAACGATGCTCATTGTGAGTCAATAGAGAATTTAAAGGCAGAAAATAGTTTGAAAGTCTTAAAACAAAGGGTCTGCACTTAATTGAAAGCCATAAAAAGTCCATCAGAGCAAATGAACGCGCGAGAAGAGGGTATAATAGAAAGAAGAGCGCGCGCGTTCCCTGCTCTCCGAGCTGCCCACTCGTTTTGGCTCCGGCGCAGCAAACACTTACGGCCGCAGATATACACACAAACTGGTACTTTATCTGGGTGGAGCCGAGGTCGAAAGGTCGCGCAGGTGGTGCTCCCGCGATCATCGCGCTGTTCCGACACGTTAGCCGCATTATGAGAGGCTTTGTTCGAATATATGTACACGCGGGCATGACTAACAAAGTGCTCGCAATTGCACAATTATCCCTCTCTTGTACGTGTCCGATTTATTGGATTAGTCCCAAAGGTACACACACCGCGGCACATACGATTATTATTGTTGTTGTTATTATTATTTTAATGTTCTCTCTTGTGTGTAGACAGACCTCTCGATGGGGCACTTCGTTGGACGTCACTTGTCCTGTTCCGACCGTGAATTAAATTCATTGCACTCGAGTGTCCTGCTTGTTGCGAATGACATTTAATTGCAAATGCAAGTTTTTTTTATCCTCGTCGTATTTTAAAGGACACTTGAATACATGTGTCCTGCTTTCGAATATATTTCTTTAAAAGAATTTTTGCTACAACAAAATAAAATAATGAATTTTAAGCAAAATTAAAACTTTATACTAAGCTTATTTAGTTACTAATATTGTTCAATATTTATCTTGAAATATATTTTAGATTTATAATTATAAAATTTTGCTTAGTTAATAATTATTTTCCTAATTTTAGAATATTGTACAAGTTTCTATAATTGAAAGCTTTTAAATTAAATTTCGAGCAGAAGAATATATAAAAATTTTCCCTTATTACCTATATACTTATAAATGACTTACATCTGAAAATATTATAAAGTTCAACGAAGGTGATAATAAACTGCAATTATGACTATTCTGATATTCTCTCATTAGATCGAAAATTTTGGAGTTTTCGATTCCCTAATTGTTGCTGTTGTTCTTCAAGATGTTTCGTCGTCTGTCTGTCCGTCTGGCCGTGCTGCAAAGAGTGATGGCCACATTATCACAGAGCCGTGTGCATGTTGTGCACCGAGATTTATTTTATTATGAGAGCTTAACATCACCTGCGCCGGATCAGACGGCACACGGGCACAAATCTCCAGCGAGACAGCCAACGACGGACGGCGACTAATAGAATCGCAATCAGAGACGAGAGATGAATCCGCTGTTGAAAAACAATAAATTCGCTTGATACGGCTTGATATCTTCAAGAGATCGATGAACTACATAACGATGATCGGCTTTGCATAGAGATTTGTTCTTTTTCTATTAATAATAAAATAGAAAAAAATTATTGAAGCTTCCAACCAGATCCCAGAGTGAGGGTTAAAGTTTATCAAAAAAATAATTATATCTTTAATTTTATTAATTTTAAAAATTTAATGCCGAATTATATAATTTATAGAATTTTCATTTCAGGTTTTAAAACATAATTTTGTTTGCTGTTTGGAAATATCAGATTACATAATGAATTGAATCTTTGTGCTTTTATTTGAGAAAAAAATAATATTATTTCGGTTCTTTGAGAAAAACACGAACTTTTACAAAAATGTTTCTAATTCGAATATATTAATAAAATTCCAAATCCAAATTTCCATGTTAAAAATTACACATTGTAACAATCTTTAAGCACTTTAATTTTTATCTTTTTTGGCGCGGTTGGAATTCTGAAATTCAATCAGCGCGGCATCGAGACGGCGAACACGAGGAGAAAATTAAAATCGGCGGTTGTTGCGCCGCTCTCTCGGCTAAAAGCTCGGATTGCACTTTGTGAACTATGCGCGCCGTGTTTTCGAGCGAAAAGTTTTGTACCTCGGTGCTAAACACGCTCATGATCGTGTAAAAGCCTTTTCGTATTCGGCCAATGTGTGTAGTCTGCGTGTTTCGCGTCCGTCTCCCATCCCAAAGGGTTATTTATCGGTGTCGACGTGTCTCCGCCAAAACAGAAATAAAAAAATAAATAAACGCCAGACACACGAAGAATTGTTTTCCCTCAATTTAAAATATCCATTTTTGACGGTGAAAAATGCTGTCACTCTTTTCGTACACTTAATTTTCTTCAATTTATTATGATGCAAATTGTGAAAAAATAAAATCCGAGAGAAATTTAAACCCAATGCAAATTAGCGGATTTGCAATTCCAGCCAATAATTCACCGGCGCAAAAATAAATTTTATTCCGAAGCAAATCACCGCGGCCCCCTGGGTTTCATTAAAACGAAAATGTATTTAATGTGTTTATTCCCCGGCACCTGTTTTCAAATGCGAAAAATATATTGAGAGAGACAAGACAACTGCAGAGCTGTTGTAAAATTTTCCATAAATTACTTAGCAGCTTTTTTGCATAAAGCCGCGTGTAATTATTTATATGCATTAAGCGGCCGCTGGTGTGAGTGAATAAATAAATAATTTTCGCGCAAGCCACAGGTGAGAGATGCCGCTAAAATACACAACACTCGCATTTTTTGTCCAACACTCGCAGGACAACATCTTTCCTCCGTGATAGATTAAAATCTCGCCGCATTCGCGTGGAATTAATATACACGGACACACGTGATACTGGATTTTTATTTAATTTACATTAATTTTAATTGATAATTCATACGTATGTGAGGGCAATATAAAACGTATGGACAAAGTGGTTTCCGCCAAATAAACCTGCACAAATATTAACTTCTAAAATTATATTTTGTTGGTGGAAATTTACAATACTTTAATATAAATACATACATTTTTCGAATGTATTTTTAAAATAAATAAATTTTAAAATGTCATTCCAAATTGGTGTACAACAATTAACTTAATTTGCATCCAAATCTGATACTCAAACACAAAATATTGAATATGCGAGTAAAAATGTCTCAAAATATTGTCCGCACTCTCCGCAGGTGCTTTTAAAAATAAATAAAAATTGATTATAAAATTATATATTATTCGATATTATTAAACGACTTAAAATATTTATTTATATTATATTTAATCAAATATCAATAAAATTATTGTTTCCTGAAAAGCTTGGTGACTGCATTGTCTTCTTCTTTCTTGGAGCCATCAAAGTTTCTTCACATATGAAAAAAAATATTTAAAGGAAATTCAATCATATCAATAACATACACACATTAATTATTTTTTAAGTTTGCTAAAAATAATATTGCAATTACAAAACTGAAACGTGACATAAATGCACCTTGTTAGTAATAGACAAAAATAAACCTTTAATAACCCGCCCGAGAAAGATTATATTTTTTTTCTGCAAGAGCTCAGGAAGAACTATAAAACACACCCAAAGGGTTACAAGTGGAACAAAATCGCCGGCCGGCGTCGTGTCGTGTCTGTGTGGCTGCTCGGGCCCATAATGATGAAAAAATGGTCTTGTTCGCCGCAATTAGCTGAGTGAGTTGGCAACAATTGAGCAGAGAGCTAGTCGGCCTCATTATGCGCGTAGCAGCCGAGATGCGATATTATTATAAAGGAAATTTATTTTCATATAATACAAAGGGCAGCAGGCGCCATCGCCGCGCGCTGCTAACAGTGATCGATTATTATTGGCCCACCCAGTTGGCATTAAAAATATATTTTATACATTACAGTGTGCCCGGCCATATTGAGAGGCGAGCTGATGACGATAATAATAGCATTTCCAGCAGCAAGACGCGTATTCGCATTTAATGTATACGCAGAGCAAGCGGGTGCTGCTTGCATAGAATATTAATAAGCAAGAGCGACTTCATTAATGCGCCACTTTTCGATGTGGAGCCAGATTGGCGATGGTGCAAAATGATAGCTAAGCCAAGAAAATACTAGCCTATTGAATTAAAATGCCACGCACAGTTTTAATCTCAATTTTTTTTTTATTGCCATCAGAGTTTTCCGATATCAAATTATAAATAATTAGTACATGAATTCATTAAATTCAATTTTAACTTTAGGGAAAAGAGTGCACAAAATTACTAACCAATTGATAGTATTGTTAGTATTTGCTATTTAATAATAATGACATTTTTTAACCATTGTAGAAGCTAGGCAATATGACCAACATTAGTGTTGAGCAGGTTGCATTTTATTTTTCTTAAGCTTAACACAGAATTTATAATACTTGTAATTTAAGACGATGCAAGGTAATTTTTTTTTATTAATATGAATAATTCAAGCTTTTTGTATTGCAAAGAAATAATTTTATTTAATATTTAGTCAAACACACAACTTTCAATCACTATTTAGAAGAATAAAGAACGTTAAATCGTAGCCAAGAATTCATATCAGTGAATTTTCGTTAAAGCTCAAGCTAGTTTAATGTCGTTTTCAGTGTTGATTCGGGTTGCATCAGCGTTGTTACCGAGCTTCTCCTTTTTTACTTTGATGCCTCCCATTCTTTGACTCTCCTTTTTGCTGCCTTTTTTACCATTTGAGATAATTTCATTTTCTTTCTGTTTGTCTGCCTTTAAACCTTTGACAGAATTTTTACTTGTTTCTTGTCTCTTTAATTTTTTCTCCGCTGTTTTCTCCACTTTTCCATACAACTTCTCCTTTTTTACATTATTCTCTTCAACCTCTCCAGCCACAACCACGCTCTTCTCGTTTTTAACTTTCATTTCTTTTTTGACATATTTGGGCCCATTCTGCTTCTTTTCAATTTTCTTTTTTAATTCTCCCCTCTCTTTCTTGACCTTCTTTTCTTTCTTTCCTTTTTCTCTTTTCAACCCCTCTTTAGCGGTCTTTGCCTTTTTAACTTTTTTTAGTCCATTTTTCTTGTTTTCATTTAACTGTTCTTTATCCTTCTTTCCTTTCTTAATATTTTTTTCCTTCGTCTTTTCCGTCTTGACTTTCACTTTCTTCTCTTTTTTAGCCTTTTTTATTCCATTTTGCCCATCTAACCCTCCCTTATTTTTCTTTGCCTTCTTACCTTTCTTCTTATTCTCGTCTTTGCTCATTTCCACAATTTCTAGCTCATTCCCATTGATGTCTTTTCCCTTCTTATTGTAAGTAACTTTGACTTTCTTTAATTTCTTCTGTTTAGCAACTCCGACTTGCTTGTTCAATGCTTGCGTTTTAAATATATTGCAAGTGCATCTGTTGAAAAAGTTGTACTTTCTCATGCAGATTTTCGTGTTCACTGGAAAAGTATTTACATTAATAATAATATTTCATGATAACTAAAAATAAATTTCGTTTCACCTTTTGTTGGGCAATTCTGCATTTTGAAAGTTTAAATGGTAAAAATATCAAACATAATTTTAAAAATATTTTATTTTACACTTATTGTTTTGAGGACGACGCATTGTGCAATGACAAAAGCTTTACCAGGGCATGTGGATCTTTGGGAAACGAAGTCAGGAATGCTTAACCCTAGAAATTTTAATTAAATTTTTTTGAAGCAATGATTGACTTGTTTTCTTTGAACCTTCAACGATAGATATGCAATCTGTTATCGCTGTTGAAATTTTGGACTTCCAGGCGGCATCGGTTTGCGTGGTGGTCAACAAAGAGGTTAGCTTGGCGGTATCGATTACATTAGTAGCTGACATCTGAATAAAATTCAAATTTTTAACATGAAAGATGTATCAAAGACAAATGCTTTGAAATGAAACATACGGCCCCTTTTTGCTTCAAGTAGCAGTTGACGAAGCACTGAATTTTATATATCAATAATAAAAGAAATAAGCTAAATAATTTGCAAGACTCACAGCCCTTCTCCCCAGAGCTTTTTTTACTTTCAAACTTTGGAAGAGGATTGAGTTTGTTGGTGAGTTGATGAATCGCTGCTGCTTATTTAGCAAGAAAACATTGAACGCTTTCAGAGCACCTCTGGTTGCTCGGCAGGCATGGTCTGGCCCGTTAAAAGCTACTAGCGTTGAAGGCGGACTGACACAACATTTTGGCATAATCTGTTTGATGGATGAATCAAACAATCAATGAATAAATTGTCAGAACATCACATCTCACTTACCGCAAAACCCTTGGAAAAGCAATTTTTTGGTTGTAATGCACAATATGGTGGAATGGTTACTGTTGTTAGCACAGTAGTTGTTAGACCAGCAGTGGTGGTCAGCCCCGTCGTAGTTGATCCTATAGTAGTTGTTTGTCCTGTAGTAGTTGACCCTGCAGATGAAGTCGGCCCTGTAGTAGTTGATCCTGTAGTAGTTGTTTGTCCTGTAGTAGTTGACCCTGCAGTTGTGGTTGGTCCCGTATTAGTTGATCCTGCAGTGGTGGTTGGCTCAGTTGTTGTAGATCCTAGAGTAGTTGTTGGTCCTGTAGTAGGTGATCCTGCAAATGTAGTCGGCCCTGTAGTAGTTGAACCCGCTGTGATGGTTGGCCCTGCAGTTGTGGTGGGTCTAGAAGTAGTTGATCCTACTGTGGTGGTTGTCTCAGTTGTTGTCGATCCTGCAGTAGTTATTGGTCCTGTAGTAGTTGAGTCTGCAGATGTAGTCAGCCCTGTAGTAGTTGAACCCGCTGTGATGGTTGACCCTGCAGTTGTGGTTGCTCCCGTAGTAGTTGATCCTACAGTGGTGGTTGGCTTATTTGTTGTCGGTTCTGCAGTTGTTGTTAGTCCCGCAGTAGTTGATTCTACTGTGGTGGTTGGCTCAGTTGTTGTCGATTCTGCAGTTGTTGTTGGTCCCGCAGAAGTTGATCCTTCGGTGGTGGTTGGCTCAGTTGTTGTTGATTCTGCAATTGTTGTTGGTCCCGCAGTAGTTGATTCTACAGTGGTGGTTGGCTCAGTTGTTGTCAATTCTGCAGTTGTTGTTGGTCCCGCAGTAGTTGATCCTTCGGCGGTGGTTAGCTCAGTTGTTGTCGATTCTGCAGTTGTTGTTTGTCCCGCAGTAGTTGATCCTTCGGCGGTGGTTGGCTCAGTTGTTGTCGGTTCTGCAGTTGTTGTTGGTCCCGTAGTAGTTGATTCTGCAGTGGTCGTTAGATCTGTTGTATTTGAATCAGTAGTAGCTGGAACTTGTCGCTTGAATCCTAGCATCATGTTTATTTATGAGAAAATAAAAATTGTTTATGATCTCCTAACTTACTTTTTTTGGCTATGAAAGAATCATCATGTAATTTTGTTTCCTTGTTGTTCAACGGCCACACTTTTTCAGCCACATATTGTCTTTGAGATTCATTTTTATAATCATTCAACCAAGACAAATCGGAAGCCGATATCTTAAAAAAAATTATTCTAGATAAGCTAATTTCAAAAAGTGTACTGCCATTGTTAGTAAATATTGTGTTCAAATCAGTTAAATCCCTTTTGTCATTTTCATTCAGATTATAAAGACGTAATATATTATTTAGCATACTCATCGCCTTTACCAATTTGTCAATTTGATTAAATCAAACTATTAAAAAGAGTAATTATTGTAAAAAAAGAAATGAGGTAAAAGGTAAAAATTAAAAATAAAAATATATAGATATATAAATTTAATAAAAACAAACAACCCTGCTCTTATTCTCATTCAAACTCTACTACTGTTAGTAACTTGTTAAATTAATATGCATTAATTAATTAAATACATAGGGGAGATCTGCGTTATCGGCCTTTTGCCATTCCCAAGATAATAATGTTAAGAATATTTGGGAATCATCTGTGATAGAGGTGATAGAAAATTATATAGATCTATAGATAGGTATTAAGAAAAACTTTCTGTATGGACAAAAAAAAAGTTGTAAATTTATCAAATATTACTTACAAGGCAACAACTTTTGTTTAAAAAAACTAAAGTACTGCATACCTGTATTCAAATGCTGATAATTAAATTTAAAGAAAAGTTGACTGAGCATATCTAGCGAATAAAAAAGTTTTGAATAAATATTAAATCAGCCTTGTTTTAAGTTTACTAATGTATCGGTATTGTATTATTATACAGAAAATTTGAAATAAAAAAATCAGTGCGATTTGTATAGGTTTATTAAAAAAGGGAAAATGAGGAAGGTGGTTTTAAGACAAGTGGATTTAGGAGAAATTGGCGAATCAGTTAAAAACGTAGAAATATAGTTCACCTGAATCGGGAAGACTACCAAAATAAATGCAAGACACCTCATCGTACCAGAAAGTAAGAAACTTATGATGAGCGCACAAATTAGCGAGTCCTTTTATATGCAAGCCCATTTCTCCACATTTCATGCAAAATTGACCTGCCAGAAGTGAATGATCATTTGTAATGCTCAGTGTAGTAATTATTTCTTATCTTTTCTTTGGTGCTGTGACTGCAATTTTTCTTTCAGTCTCAAGAATTTATCTTTCGTCAAGATAATGTCACTAAACTAGCGCAGGCTTGAAGTTATTTCAGTCTTGAATAATTATTCTCTCCTGTTCAAGAGCCTTCTTCCTCCTCATTATAACAAATTATAGGAATATCACCTTGGAAAATAACCATAATTACCCTTAAAATAATTAGTGGTGGATAAAATTTCATAATGATCAATGACGCGTGTCTGTCATTTTTCTTTGTCATGTTGCCTTGGTGTAAAATTTTTATTTTTAAAAAGGTGTGTAGCTGAAACCAAAATTTTGTTAAAAAAGTAAGTCAATAAGCTGAAAATACTTGTTATGGAGTTTTGCCATTTTAATTATTTATTTAGTCACTTTTTTCTATAGGTTATATTTTGAGCTAACTCGCTCTATTTCCCTTTTTAAATTTTTCAGGCAATGTCTTTTAATGAATCAATAACAATTTATAAATAACTTCCATCCAGTTTAGCTTTATTAATTTTTAACTAGATATTGAAGACATTTTTTTTAATCAGGGAAACACAGGAGAATGAAGTGTCAATTCATATTGAAGAAATGGCAGAAGAAGGTTTTCCAACTTTTCCAATTCATTATTTCCTTCACTAGTGATTATTTTCATCCTTTCTTCAGTACATCTCCTCAACTTCCAGATAATAAAGCTGCGGTGCGCGGCTCAATAAAAGGTGCATGTCGTGCAAACAGACTCGGGGCAGACCGCCAAGACGCGCGGCCGCGGCTATTAAACGCACGCATATCTGCCCGTGTTGTCCCAGCAGCAGCATCTTCAGGAGATGCAATTATGCAGTAGCTGCAGGAATCGGCTTGTATAATTCCTTGAAGCTGCTTGAAAAGGGAAAATCACAGCAGGCTGTAATTGGCTCTGATCATTTTTCAGTACGCTGGATACAGGAAATCGGTATTTTGTGATGCACAAAGTGTTAAATGCGATGCTATGCAGCCTGCACGACAACTCACCTTAGCGGGTCATAAAAATTATAATAAAAAATTCAAAACTTAAAAAAAATAACCTTTCGAAATATAAATATAAATTTTTTTCCTTTTCGAATAATTTTATTTATTTTCTTCATTTTTCTGCTAACGCATGTTCTAGATTTTCGGTTTAAAAATCAGAAAACGTGTAATTTAGTTTCACCTCATCAAAAATTCAAATTAACAAAGAGGAAAAGTATTCCGCCGAGAGTGTCTCTCCACAACTATCATTTCCGCCGCAGATTGGTACCTCGTGTGTGGTTCTCCAAATATAATTCTCAATCTGGCTCTAATCGGACCCAATAATGAAGTTTGTTCCGAAAATACGTGCATTGTGATTCGAATTTTCGGTAGCTAGCGTATAATTTGTAGGGCCATATCGAGAGTGACTTATTACAGAGGACACGGAGCAGGAGGCAGGGCCGCGCACAACGAAACGCGGTAGCCTGATTGCCCTCTTCGCCCTTAGGGTGTCTGGCGGACGAAAGAAAATAATTATACAACAATCCAGCACACACGAGATGGAAAAAATCTTCCTCGGATGACAACCTGAGGGTATTAAGTGAAAAAAGGCCGAGGTATGCTAAGGGTGAACCTGTTTCACGGTCGCGCGAGTCAATTCGGTAGCTTCCAGGTGCTTTCCAAAGGGCTACTGGTTTTTCCTCTTCTCATCTCTTTCTCTTGCGCTGCTATATCTAATATGCAGATGAAACGGCCGATTTATTCACCAGCTAAGCGGCACCCAAATCGAAAATATTTTACGTCTCTGCACCTGACAGAAAACTCCCAGTAGTGCTTTTAGGGCAATTTAAAAAGTCACAAAATATCTCTTCATCGTCAGAGGTGTTTTTATGACGAGTATAAATAAATTGCCATATGGAATGCCACTCAATACTGATGTAAAATTTTAAATAAAATGTCCTCATTTAATGACTTTTTTTATTTTACAATATTTTATGCAGGTTGCCCATTTCCATTTTCTTGAAGATAATCAAATTGCCCTTAATTACCGTTGGAAAATATCAGCATTGCAGAATTTGCATACGACCTTTTATCTAATTTCAATATTAGAGAACTGAAACTTTTGTATTTTTAATTAAACTAATATGTTATATAAAATTGCTTTTAAGATAAATTTTACTCATGAAAAAGCTAAAAAGCCAATTATAAGGGATAAACAATTAAAAAAATAAATTTTATAATAAAAATTTTAATATTCCATTTTGTTATTATTATTATAATTTATTTATTAATTTATTTTTAATTTATTTGCTTACCATATTCCAAATGCAAACAATTTACTTGGAATATTGGCTAGAATAACTTGCGGTGGTGCATCTAAAAATGCAGGCGTTTGTATTATAACCAGATGGGCTTTGAAACGGAATATTGTGCACCTGATGATGCAGGAATAATCCCTTGCACTCAGTTTCAAGTATCAAGGTGCACTGCCTGCGCGCTTGTTATGGCTGGAAACAAATATTTTAAGACTTATAATCGCCTCGCCGACGAGCCAATATTAGGTTTCCTTTGGTAAGCTATTATTGAAAAAAGTCAAAGCCAAGTTCATCACACTTTCCGAGCCGAGCATTCCGTGGAGGGCAAAAAATAACAGTTCAGGCTGTCGGCTTTTCCTGCTTTCAAATTAAATTTGTTTTAAAAATTGTTGCTACAGCGTTACGCAAAAAATAATATCAGGCGATGTTTGGAAAATGTTCGGGGGGCTTAATTTGAAGTGGCTGAGATGTGTAGCACGTCAATTTTGCGTCATGCGAGTGTTTCGATTCGGCTTGGGCGAAAGACGACGACCTCATGCGGGAGAAGCGAATAAACCGCTCATTGTTTGTGGCAGAATCCGCGTCTTACTATAAGAGGATCATCGGCTAAGTGAGTGAAGAGAATTAAATTTATTTTCTCGGCCGGCTCGAAGATTATCAATCGGCCACCAGCAGTACCTGAGAAATCCGAGCCGAAAGAGATGGCCTAGGAATTACACCTACGGGGAAAATCGTTCTTAATAAGCAAAAAATCGCGTGCGTCGCTTTACGAGGATGATTATTATTTGCATGATTTGAATGGGCCGCACGTATGTGTGCTATTTAATTACAACATTTAAGAAAACATGCTCGAATTTTTTTATAAGACGATACCCATGTTTCCGATCTGAAAAAGCGGTTCGCTTCTGCTTGGGTGGAGTCTGCCGCTTTTTTATATATTCCTTTGAGAAAATTAACTTTAATATGCCGCCTTCGATCCCTCCCCTTTGAAATTCGCCCCCGGAAATTTTTTGTTAAGGATTTGTTGTCTCGCTTCTAGGAATGCATAGTTTATAAATTTGTAAATTCGTTGTTAATTTGTTATAAGAATACCAATGAGGACAATGAAATTTTCATAAAAGCTAACAAGCTGTAGATGTTTGGTTGCTTTACTTTTTGTTTGAAAAGCTTGAAATAAATTATTTGAAACTTATGAAATGCAAAACTCAAGCAAAAATTGTGAAATTAGATTTTTTTTTTATCATTTGACACATCTGATGTGAACAAATATTCATTTAATTTTTACGCAACAACATTAATCTGATGCTTGGAAAGTCTTTTTTAAGACTAAGTAACTTGTATCTTGTAAATTATTAAACATGTGAGAAAAACGAAGAGCCAAACCTCTTTTTTTTTATTTCACACAAACACGGATATTGCGCTGCTGCAATCGGATCAGCCGCACCAGTTGAGATAAAAGTCAGGTGGACAGACTTTGGGATTCAGAGTGACGGATGAACCCGAGCATAAGTGACAGCAAACTCACCTATTCAAAAGACAAAGCTGCGGGTAAAATCATAAGGGACCTTCCAAAGAGATCAAGTTATGTATTTTTACACAAGCAGCAGGTATAGCAGGGTCTTTGGTGTTTCGTCCCAAAAAACACATGTGCTGATTGCACACGTGAAATCGGAGGCAGAAACCACAATACGAAATTCGGCGGTATTTAATTTGATACGGTGGCATCACCAAGTAAATTCCTCCATCTCTTCACCTTTATCTGATTTACCCGCGCCCAGAGAATAAAAATCAAATATCATTCTAATCCACCCTTTTTGTTATTTTATTTCAATAAAGAGTTGCTGATATCAAATTCAATTCGTAATCAAGTACAAAGGAGATTTTAATCTGTTTAGAAAACATTTATACTCATTTGGCTGGAACAGACCGAGATCGAGAGAGCATCAAAAGAGAAACACAACGCCGAGACGGATTTGCCGCTGCTAGGGATCAGCATCCCCTTTGTGAACCTTCTGGTGCGCTGCAGTGTCAGGTTGCATACGTTTAATGAAGACTGAGTCTCTGGAATGAAAAAAAATCACATTCCTAGCCTGTGTGAAAAGTGAGCGAACATTTCAATAGGGATTTTGACTATAAATAGAAATAAATAAAGTTATGTAGATGTAATTTTTGATATATTATTCTTAATTCATAATTTTATATTTAAAGTTCCGTCAGAAGCTCGTGTAATATTTTTCTTACAAGATATAAAATTATAAAATAATATACTTTAATATTCTATTCCTAATATTGTAATATTAATAAAATTATGTTAGTGTTTCAAGCAAAAAAAAAAGAATAATTAATAATAATAATATTATTTGTAAAAAAAAAATAATAATAATTTTATTTTGCTTGGTCAATTTTGTGAAGAATATAATAAAAAAAATATTTTACTATACTTAAAAAATTATTGTAAATTGCAAAAAAGTAATTCAGAAATAATGAAAAACTTTGCTACAATAATTAAGAAAAAAGTTGATGATATAATTGAACACTTGAAAAATTATGCACAATATATTATTTTATTCTAAACTATGGTATGCATGGGGAACAATCACGGTCAAATTGAGGTTGGGCCGCAGCAAATCTTTTCGAGGGAATTTTCCCATGGAACAGACCTGTCTGAAATTTTCTAAAAGTGCGCGACGCTATGTCAGCACTCTTGGGGTATAATCACAGATGATGGCCACGCCGTACTTAATCGTTCATAATAGCCGCAGCTCCATTAGTGGTCGATTATCAAGGAGCCGCTTTTGCCTTATTAAAAGCACCGGGGCGAGCCGAGAGAGTCGCGTATATGGGTATTATTTTAATACGGCCGCACACTCATTTTATTGCGGCAGCGGCACTCTAATGAGGGCACTTTGGAACCGTATGCCGGTTTTATGAAGAGTGCTGCAATATTTTTCGGAACCAAATCAACAGGTATTCAAATTAACGCCGTATTAGCATAAAGCCGGAATAATATCACACCGTGCAAGCTGGACGACGAAACTAAAAAGGATAAAATGCGTCGGCAACCTGATACGCGGCGAGCAATAAAACTCGCCAACTAACCGCGCGCAGCGGTTGCGAAAATTCTGCTCCCTCGCCAATATATAATGTTGATGAATATGGATTTATTCAATGAGCAGCTCTGTAAATTATTCTATTAGGTATCCGTTTTGAGGTTTTATTTTTCACTGGCAACACGCTGAGATGTTTTTGCTTAAAATATAAAAGACGTTAAAAAGTGATTGAAGTAGAATAAATAAAATAATGTATTTAAAATAATAATAATCAGTTTATAAATTAAAACTTTTACAATCTGCACTAATACAAAGTTAGAAAGCAATCACGTAACCCAAAATTAGATAAAAATTATTCCGTGAATTTTAATTTAATCTTGGAATAATAAATTTTGCTTGATTAAGCATGGCAACTATCTTCAATAAAAATAAATTTTAAATGTCTTTAGTTTAAAAGAATAAATTATAAGATGTTTACAACATTTTTTAGTTGGTTTAAATTATGTTGTAATTAATATCACTTTTGAATAAAAAACCGAAATTAAAAATATTTAAAACACTAAAAACTTTATTTAAACAATTATATTTAATTTTTTTTCACATGAATTTTTTTAATTATATTCAAATACTATTCTTAAAATGTTATATATTTAATTTATTATACCCATAATATAAATTTATATAATATATTTGGTGTTCATCTGATTTTTAAATTGATACAAATTAAATGGAGCTTTATTGGTGGACTTGTCTTGTGCATATACATACATAGTTGCATACAACTAATTATCTTTTCAATATTTAACTATAGAATTAAGAAATTTGCAACAAACTATGTGATAACACCAAACAATTTGGAAATTAAAATTTTTCAGTTCGAAACTACGAAATTGGTCAAAAAATAATAATAATAATAATCGTCGTCGTGTTTGGTTAAAATGGTAAAAATATTTGAATGCTGCTTATGGTATAAACTATGTATTTACCACATTTAAGTAACTTTCGCTATCTTTCAATCTGAAGCTGTTTTCTCTGTTCCTCCCACGTTTGCTAAGATGAAAAAAAATTAAGCCCATTGGAACCCCTCCAATTAAAAGGATTATACAAAACAGCAGCAACAACACTTATTGTAATAAAAGGGGAAAATAAATAGCAAGCTGCTCTGGTCGAGAAAATTTCGGGACGTGTAATTATCCCATCAGTAGTTTGGTTGGGCAGGCGCATTATTTTTCAACAACGCGCGCATTCATTCTCGCTGCTACTCGTGTAATTTCTGAGACGCCACAAACCCTTACTTAATTCGGCTGCCCTTTTCTTTTCTAATTCTAAACGCTCTTGAATTATACCGAGCGAGACGTCTTGCGCATTTTGAGTTGGATCAAGTCCGGCAAAAGGCGTATTCGTAATTGCGGTGCCGTGCGAGAGCTGAGGCTCGCCCAAAATTTCTATAAACAATCACGTCCAGTAATGAAAAAAGGGGTTCTAAAAAGATTCATGCTTGACCAAAGAAAATATTATTAATATTATGCGTCTTTCATGTAGTATTTTAATTAAATTGAAAATTGAAAATTTTGATGCAGTTATCGTATAGTTTAAAAAAAAATTTAAAAGCAAATAAATTACTTGACAAAGAATTACATCCGTTTCCACAAAAAAAGAAAATAATTTTAGGCAAAAGTGAGTTGGTAAAAAAATTTAAACCAAATTTAATCTATTAAATTAAATTAAATAAAAAAAGAGATGTAAGCTTTGATATCGGACGAAGACGACGAGATTAGGAAATAAATTAAAACAAATCACGCTGTGCGCGTCGCGTTGAGAAACACAGGCAGCACACGAGCTTCCCGCAGCTCGCGGATGAGCGATTGAGATTGAGTGTCGCGCTTGTTTAAAACAGAGGGGGCAGATTGATCTCTGCAAGTCGCTTCGATTAATCAATCCCGATCCTCCGCTCCTCTGCATGTGGTGCTCTATGCGAGTGATAATGACGACCTTTATTTATTTCTTTATTTATCTGTTTGTTCCGCACAGTGGCTGCTGGCAGTTAGGATGTGGCGCCCAGTTGGTTTGGTCGCGCTTTTTTCCATCTGCGTGGTGGCCGAGGCCCTTAATTCGCAGAGTTTGCCTCGCAATGGCAAAAAGTGGGCTCTGCTTGTAGCGGGATCAAAGGAGTTTTACAACTATAGGCACCAGGTACTGACACTTCCTATCTCTTTTTCTCCGTCATTTTTTTCAGAATATTTTTAGATATGAATATATTTCATTTTTTAATTCTATGCAAAATTTTCAAGGCTGATCTTTGCCACGCATATCAGATCCTTCGAGGCAATGGAATTCCTAATGAAAATATCATCGTAATGATGTTTGATGACATAGCTAACAGCAAAGAGTGAGTTTGTAAATTAATGTCTAGAAATAATTACGTATTTATTTAAATTTTTTGTTTTCAAATCATTTAAATTATTATATAAAAATACCAAAAATTTAATTATTATTAAAAACAATCAAAGATCATCACTCCTGAATAAATCTGATTTTGATGTAACTAAAAATAGTAAATATACACGAAAAATTTTCAAATAATAAAATAGTTGGTTTCATGTTTGATAGAAATCCAACGCAGGGCGTGATTATAAATGAACCTGGTGGCTTCAATGTCTATGAAAACGTCCCCAAAGACTACACTGGAGAAGTGAATTGCAATTAATCAATTATTATATTTTCACGTAGGTTTTCAAATTTTTAGGCAGTTAACTCTTCGACCTTCCTCGCAGTTTTACGAGGGGACAAGGATGCGGTCAACGGAATCGGCTCTGGTCGCGTTTTGGAAACGTAAGTTGAGGAAAAACTTTTAAAACTGTCAATGATTATTGCGACGGTTTCTGATAAGAACAAGAGGTCACTTGTGAGCGAGCAGTGACCCTATGTTGAGAGTCGAGCGTGTAACACGTGACTTTCGATTTCTTTCAGCGGTCCCCACGACCACATCTTCGTCAATTTCGTCGACCACGGGGCTCCCGGCTTGCTGGCCATGCCCTCGGACGTGCTCTACGCCTCCCAGCTGCTGACCACTTTGCAGGAGATGTCGGTGCAGAACAAGTTTGCAAAGGTCGTCTAATTTTATATATTCATGATGTTTATTTTGGTAAACACAAAAAGTTACAAAATTCGAAGTTCTCTTTGCATTAAAGTGACAGAATTAAACAGAATTCCGGTATAAAATTAAATATAAAATTTATAAAAAAGTGAAGCAAAAATTAAATATTTATAAAAAACATAATATTAGTACTTAATATTTGTTTATGATGATTTTACAAAAACATTTTTTTTTTAGTACATTATTTTATTACTTTTATTTTTACTACACTAAATTATTAAGCACAATTAAAAAGCTTTCATTTCATTTGTTACTTATCAAAATTTTTAACTTTGAATTTAAAACCAGGCCAACGCCAATTTTTAATAACATGAATTATGGATGAATGATACAGCCCAAGCCCAGTCATAATTTCCCTTGATATATAATCTACCTCCATTGTCAACTTTCATTTTTGAATTTCTTTTCTTTCCCTAGTGAAATTTTAATTTCAGATGGTCCTCTATGTTGAAGCTTGCGAGTCAGGCTCTATGTTTGACGCTCTACTTCCCGACGATACAAACAGTTGCATAAATTCAAAATTAAAGCCAATCTTGATTCTAAAAATTCAATTATGCTTCAGTTTTCGTTATAACCGCGGCAGATCCGCACGAATCGTCTTACGCCTGTTACTTCGACAACCTGCGTAACACCTACCTAGGCGACGTGTTCAGTGTGATGTGGATGCAGGACACGGAGCAGGTTCAACGTTAATTTTTAAATATTTTAATCAATCAATATAATTATGATGTGTAGGAAGACTTGGGTCGAGAGACGTTGCACCACCAATTTGAGGTGGTGCGATCGCGGACGAACACGAGCCACGTCGAGGAATACGGAGACTTGAACGTGGGCGCCTCTTTGCTCAAAGACTTCATCGGCTCGACGCCGGTCAGCAGCTATCGGCGGGCCATCAAAGCGCCGCTCAAAGTGAGTGTGATTAATCAAATTTCCGATTCGTCAGATTGACCGTTTGTGATTACTATTTTTTCGATCGTCAGGACGTCGTCTCGTCTCGGGATGTGCCCATCGAGATTGTTAAGAGGAAAATGAGGGCCGAGTTAAATGCCACGCGGAAACACGAGTTGCGGCAAAAACTGCACAGGATGACAAAGGTAATGTGCAAAATTATTTATTTATTAACATGAAAGTGCGTGAGAATTATTTTAGTTGAAATTTAAATTTAGTTTATTGATCTTAAACACAAATAAAATAATACTTTAAGACAATAATTCTTATAGCAATTTTGCATTTAGAAGCAATAATGTCCCCAAATAATGAAAATATGGAAAATGATAAAATGAATTTAATTAAAAAAAAAAATTTTAATATAAAAAAACTGAAAATTTGCACATTTCCCTAGAAAAATAATTAATGTATTTTATTAAAATTATAAACTATTAAAATTCTATTTTCCATTGACATGAACAAAAGTGATAAATCGTATTTTAAATTATTTTTTAAAGCACCGAAAAGTGATGGTCAGCCAGTTTAGATCGATCATCGAGGCGGTGGTCAGGTCCAAGGACAAAGTGGAGAGCATTATTAACACAAGGAAACAGCTGCGAAACCTCAAGTGCTACGAGAGACTTGTCCAATCATATGACAGATACTGCTTCAACATTGCTGAGGTAAAAATATCCTTGCAATTTTTGAATTATCCAGAAAGATCAAATCCACAGTTTCAATAATTTTTACTTTATTTCAAATTTGTTTAAATCCATGCAATTATTATCTTCCCCAATGTGCCATTAGTTAATTAATTTTTATATAAAAATTTTTTTTGCAGAATTCGCACTCGCTGAGCCAGTTGTACATGTTTGTGAACGTCTGCGAAATGCGACTGCCCGTGGAGGAGTTCGTCCATGCGATCAAGATCACCTGCAGAAACAATTCGCAGTCCGGATTCTTCACAGACACCGTTGTTTGAAAAGTACAATATTGTATAACGGCCACCTTTGCAGCTAGAGAAAAATACAACGAGAGAAAAAATACGACAATCGTTATCGATCGTTTCTTTTTTCTCACCCAAGGCAGACACCCGACGGTGCACTTAAGAATAAATCCTGCTTAATTCATTCGCGGCCCGGCCGAGTGGCTAATGAGCAGTCTCGCCATCTCTCAAGCTGTCGCGCGTCAAAGGCGTATCCCCGAAATTCAAGTGACACGCAGCGGTAAGTTCCGAAAAAAAAAATGAGATCGGCCCTTCTGATAAAATGCATCGCCGACGATACTACATTGTGTCTACTTAGTATGTATGAGGGAATTAATTACGCCGTTCAAAGAAAGAATTTCGGTGTATGGAGCGCACACCTCGCTCTTGATAATAATTACGACGAATTTAACAAGTGCCCATATCAGACCGGCCGCGCTAATGACATCAATCAAAGTCACCTTCTTTTAACTTGCAACAAAATGAATGAAACGAGATGCCCGCCGATAAATTGTACTTCTAAAATATTATTCATTATTGAAAAGCGCCGGCGGATACATTATCAAGTTCGGGTTTTTAAAAATCAAAATCGTCACGGGTGAAGGAACGTCTAAAATAAATAATCGCAGCGACAGGTGTCATCGCAGCCTCTTGTCCGCCGATTTTAAGTCAAAGTGCGCCGCTGATATGAAAAGGAGACGCTTTTTTGGCCGATCCGTCTCTGTAAGTTTGACGCCCACGAAGAACCAAAGTGTCGCCAGATTACTGAAGGAGAAGCAAATTCAATTTTACTAAAATATATATCCTCAAATTTTTAAAATCAATTTTCAATTCATGAGGAATAAATATTATCAGAGTTGCAGATTTTTCCCCAAACTTGCTGAAAACATGTTTATCGCTGCTTTGTCTTATTCAAAACTGAATTAAAGCAGGCATATTTGAGTTGTCAGTAAGAAACAAAGACAAATCATCGGCACTTTTCATTATAAAAGATCAATTATTTCAATTAACACGGGTTAATCACGGTCAGGATCATGATGCACGGCGTTTAAGTGATAAAAAATGACTCATCATTAGGATTTTCGTGATACCGAGCGGCTCCATCACGCTCGAGAAAAATTAATTTGACCCTCGTGCGCGTTCGCCAATTCATCAACAGTTGCAATACTTTCTAAAAATAATTTACCCAACGTATTATATAGAAGATTGCGCAATTTCTCGAGAGTTCCGGATTGTTTCCCAAACAAAAACACATCTAAAATATTTTTCATTAATTTTGGCAGTTCGCTCTCCCCGACTACCGAGTCAGAACATTAAAATGACCCGTGACCTGCTAAAACATTGCTCAAGGCAGCCCCCCGATGGGCACGACGCCGCACTCGAGTCGTGATACAAATTGGCCATCATTTGACACGACATCCTCTATCTGGCTAAGTGATCGCTGCTGCAACACTTGTTCTTTTCTAGCTGAACAGCCACTTGACAAATAATATGTACGACTCATAAACAGCAATTTAATTTGCGAGAGGATTCCTGTCAAATTGCATGTTTGTGGAGAATTTTTATAAGACCACTTGTGTTATTTTTCAGCAGTATCTCATTTTATTCTTAAGTATGTTTATTTACACATCGGAGCAACAAAAAGTTATTTGTCAAGGTACAAACAAAACTTAACATTTATTTCGCAGAAATTTTTCTAAACTCTGTTTGCTTGAATTATTAGATTTAGTCCTGACGAGGATGATAACTGGTGCACAAAATTACAAAGAACTGCTCCACTATGACTTTAATTTAAGTTATTACAATTTTAAATGTTTCGTACATGTCTCGATACATCATTTGCTCAAATAATTACTCTGCAACAAAACTATTTAACTTAGATCCCTTATAAAAGCTTACGAGTAGTGTTAAGTTTCGAGAATTAATGGGGAGAAACAGTCACCAGTGAAGGACAGTGTGGTTGGTTGAGAACAAAACAAAATTACGATTCTGAATTTTCAACCGGCGTGGTTTGTTTTCAATGTCGCACCTGACAATGTGACTCACTTTCCCTCCTGAAACCATAATTTTTTCCAAACTCAGTTTTTCTTCTTCAAATAAATCAATATATTATGAATTGAAATTTTCAAAGCTTATTTCTAAAAATAGTTCTATTTTAAATTTTGTACTTACATTATGATGGTGGTGTCTCTAATTTGAAGTGTTAATTTACTGATGCTTAACCAAGGGCTGAAAGTTAAGTTGAATGTTAAAATTAAGTTTTTAAATGGTAATTCAATTGATTTTAATTACCTGGAATACCTGAAATTGCTTCTGTAGCAAAATATTTAACATCCACGTCTGTGTCTCCACTCAATTTGTCAAGAACAGGTTTTACTTGTCCTTGGAGACAGCTGAAAATTTTAATTTTTTTAGCAAATTTCCTAAATAAATATTTATTATAACTACCTCATATCAAGAATGGGTCCAATTTTTTGCAAAGTTTTGGCAACGTTGAACCTTACATTGGCTACATTATCCGACGCCATGGTCAAGACAGTGGGGAGCATGTGCTTTGCAGTTATGTCTGGTCCACACGCCTCTGCAAGGACCTGTCAAAATAGCATTGATAATATATTAATAAAGTCTAGCAAATTTTATTAAAACAACTCACATTAATGCAGAACAGACAAGTCATCCTGTGAAGGTAGTTTTGATCTCTGGACATGGCGATCACCTTAGGGATCACTGTGCTTTGTGCCCACTCAGGTCCGAACTTCTCTACCAACTTTTTCAAGTTGAGGGTTGCTGCTTCTCTAATGGCGAAAACTGCAAATAATTTTATTAAAATTTTCTGGTTTTCAGAAAAAAGATTATTTACCATGATCAATGAGCCAAGTCATGCACAGAGTGTTGAGTTTCTCGTCGAAGAACTCAACTCCGAGTTGGCCTGCCAGAAGGGGCATGTACTCGATGATGGCCAAACGAACTCTCCACTTGGCGTCACTGGCTAGCTCAACAATGGCAGGCAACAGTGACTGGGACAGTTGCTGTATTCCTATGACCTCATTCACGCAGTCCAGGTTGGAAATTATGTTGAGACGAACTTCCGGGCAGTCATCCTTGAGTTGCAACAAAAACAGTGGCAGAAGGTGCTCTATGGTGCTGCAATTTAAAACCGTTTCAATAACCATTGATTTTGTGCTGGAAAAGCTTACTTGTATTTGCCGAGAATGGGGCTGAGACCCATAATGACAGAAGCAAGGGCAGACTTGACATGCTGGTTGGGATCTGCAACCAGCTCCTTCACGTAGGGCAGGATGTTGTTCATGATTATCGACTCCTGCTGGTACGAGTCCAGATTTTGACAGAAGTCTCGAACCTGAGATTGTAATAATTTAAAAGATGTTAAGTTAAATTATTAAAACTTACTTTGTGAGCGGCCGCAGCACGAACTTCAGCCTCGCAGTCCTTCAAAAGAGACTGGAACGCCGGCACCAAATCTGTCTTTGTGATTTCCGGTCCAACTGCCTTTTGCAGCTGCAATTCAAAACAATTTGATAATAAGTCAATTAAGTGGATATTATTATGAGAAAAACTTGCCTCTGTGAATTTTTCAGCAACCATGTAGCGCACGCGCCACGACTTGTCCTCTGCGCACTGCCTCAGGGTGGGCATGACCAGCTGCTCAACGTCCTCCTGCTGCAACAAAGTTGCAATGCTGACGCAGGCCTCGACAGCCAGAAGACGAACTGAATCCTAAAGTTGCAATCAAGTTTTAAACAATTCAGATCTTCAAAAGATTAATCTAACCTGTTCATCCTGGGCTAGGTTCACAAACATGGGGATGAGGTCGGCCTTGAGGTACTCGAGCTCGACTACTTTGGCGAGTTCGCCCAACTTGGTGGCAGCGGCGCGCCGAACCATGGGGGTGTCATCCTGACACATGTTGCGGAAGTTGTGACGCAAATCGGCTGTAATAATTTTATTGGATTATCATGACAGCATTGAATCACTGAAGGAAATGGCTTAAAATTGTGAAAGACAAAACGGTCTTGAAAAAAAAAACAAGACTTGACAGCGTAACCATGATACATAAAAATTATGAACGTTCAAGATCAAGAGTATTGAATATAGAGTAAAAGAAAAATAAATGTTTGAAAGCATTTTTTAGCATTTTAACAAGCAAAATTACTAAAAAAAAATATTTTGGAAATCTCCTTACAAAATGAACTGCATAATAAAGAAAATATTTAGCCTTGACATGGCTTAGCCTAATTCCATTCATGAATCTACTTTGAATAGTAAATCTTTTGAAATATTTCCAAAACAACTCAGAAATACACGACATTTAAGTTATTTATTATAATTATCACTTAATAATAAAGCTTTTAAAAAATTATGAGTTATCCCATGGCACTTTTTTATGAAGTTTCACTTCCTACCTTTCACGTTGGCAGAGACTCTGGGGTAGCAGACGCTGAAGAGACCACAAGCTGAAGTGCGAGATGTGAACCAGTCACCAGCAGCGAGACGCAAAACCAGCGGAACGAAGTGGTTCTCCAGGTCTGCTGGGCTGTGCAGAGCGCAGATTTGCCGCAGCGACTCAACTGCCCTGTCTCGAACCACAGTTTCCTCCACCGTGGCCAAGGACTCCAGTGGTGGCTGAAGAAAAATATTCAATTAATTAAAACTTTAGAACAAAATCAATTTATTAAATATAAAAATATAATTAATTCCAAAGTTAAATTCAATTCAAGAACCTCAACTGGGTCTCAAAACAACTCTTTATAAATTATTTACATATGTCTACATAAATTTCAAAAATTACTTCTTGAGCTTCAATTATTGCAAAATGCCCGTTCATACCGAAATTAATTGAATAATTTTACAATTTTGAATTTTTTCTCATACCAGTAGACAGTGGACATATTCAGGCCCGCCGCAGAGTGGAGTGAAGTTTCCGAGCTGCTCAGCCAACGCAAGCAAGACTTCGTCTTCATCGTAGATGGTCTCAGTGAGGAAAGGGATGAGCTCGCTGCGTGTGCGCTCGACGCCCAGCGCCAAGGCGATTGTGGACAGTTTCTTGATGGAGTTGAGACGCAGCTGAAATTAATTAAAACGCTGTGATAATCGCAGTGTAATCAAACAACGAACACAATAAGGCGGCATGACTAATAAGGAAGCCGATAACCTTGCGTCGAGAAATCACGTCCGCGGGTGAACGCGGACGGGCCGAGTTCGGCTCAAATTTTTGCCCGTCGGCAAGAACTGGCCGACAGGGTAAATTACCTGAATGTCCTCGTTCTTCAGCTCGTCTATGAGGACCGCAATCGGGTAGAGAGAATCGTCCGCCGCATCGCTCGCTGCCATTTTGAACCTTTGTTCGGGCGCTGTAATCCGTTTTTCTAAGGTAAATACCACGAATTTCGGCTAAAAGGTCAGACAGGGAGGCGATTTTCGCCACGTCTTGTCAAGCAGGGAGGACTTACGGTCTGGGCACGAGTTGAGAAGGAAGAATTTGATAAAATAAAGGACACACCAACGAACGTCACTCCTCGCGACCCTCGATTATACACAATACAAAATTTAGTTGACAAAGATCCGGCGTGGGGAGCTGCGGTCGCTTATCGATTTGAGCACAACTGTTTTCTGATTGGTCAACGCACCAGATTTTCTCAGTTTTGGCGCTAAAAGCACGAGAACGTCGTTTTTGCACTATAAAAATATAAAATATAGTAAATTTGTAAAATATAAACAAAAATCATATAATATGAATAATGTCCCAGTTGTTCCTTCTGTACAATATTTTTGTGCACATTATATACAAAGTCTGTACAAAAACGTTTAGTATAGAATTGGCACCACAATATTTGTACAGGGAGCTATACAATATACAATTTTTGTATGCGCGTGGACAATCTTTGTACACCGCTTCAGTCATCACTTTGTACGCTCGGATGTACAATTTTTGTACAAAATTTTCTATTTCATATACAAAATTTCAATGATCGATGATGAAAACGTAAACATTGGGCTCGAGCTTGGTACATCATTAAATTTATTGGAAAGATACATATTAAAAAAATTTAAAAAGTTTTTTCCTACAATCAATGGAAATAAACATCATTCTTATAAATCTTCTTTCAATACTCATGGTGGTGTCTTCATCACTGCATGCTAAGATAGCTTAAGATTTTTCACCTCTTTAGCATTCATTGCCGAAACGGAAAGGGAGTCTGCAAAAAAATTAAAATGATGCTAAGTCAAATTCAAACGCATAAAAATAGAAAATTACCTATTAAATCCAAACGAGATCATGTGGTGCGCTCGCAAACGTCTAATGTGATATTAATCCAGTGTGTTGCAGGGGTTCAATACAAAAATTCACTGCAAATTAATAATAAAATGTTCCTTAGTAAAACACTATGTTTGAGAAATTTACTGGTGGTCACCTTTTCTTGCACCAGACTTTTATATGTGGTCGCTTCCCATTTTTCTCCCATCTCCCAAAAGTCAGCCCGCCAAGTAGCCTGCTTCTCGTCAAATTAAACTTTCAACGGACTTTATTTGGAAAGCATTTTTCTTTCCAACCGTTTCCAACCACGCCACTCGAAACCTGAAGTGCAGCCAGTGCAGGTCATACACTGGCACTCCCAGAAATGCCAACATTTAAGATATTCTTGGTGATATTTTATGAATAAATTTTAAAATCAAGCACGTTTATCATTTCAGAATAATGATTTTAAGAAATATAAAATTAAGTGTGGTTTTAAAAAACTCAATGTTACATTAAATTTAATAAAAAATGTTATTAAATCTTTATGATTTTGTTGGCAACGTGTAAACATTTTGAGTTTCGCGCGATGCCTTATGATTTTGTACACCTTAATGTACAAAAATTGTACTCGTTTTCACAACTTCTAGTTTTAGTACTTTCGTTTGTATAGCTCATGTACAATAATATTGTACACATTTTTGTAGGGACTTAGTACTTTTGTATTTAGCACAAAGCTGATACAAAAATTTGTACAAAATTTGTGCCAGTTTTGTATGGAAGGAACAACTGGGGTGATATATTTATAAATTTATTTATGTAATATGTATATTTGGGCTATGAAGCGGCTAATGTAGGAAAATAATTATATACCAACAACTAGTACATATAAAACACAATTTTGTAGTAGAAGTTGACGATCGAGGGTTGATTCATGGTGATCACTAAGTATGAAACGAAAATTCGAAAATTATCAACGGGGCACTGTCCATGCGGCAAGTGAAAATTTGATTTTTAGCTTCAAGACCCGGAAATTTTGCCAACCAATCCCAGATTTTTCATGTAATATGAAAATCTTATAAAGCTTTAAGGGATAAATTTAACATTCAGCAAAGAGAAAAAAATTATAATAGCTCGAAAGTGCAAATTTGCAACTTGTGGCATTTTTATTATATTTCATCAATTAAAACTAATGTAATAAGTTTAATCTGTTGCTTTTTTATTTAGTTAAATCCAGCCTCAAAAATTAACGTCCATGTTTCACGAACGTTTTTGCTATTTTTATTTAATTATTTCCTCTACTACATTTCATTTTTTTTTTCTCTCCTTCGACATCAAACGTCGGTTTCCTCGAGATTGCCGACCGCGTCTAGAATGAACTCGGGTACCGGTTGTCGCAAAAAAGCCGACCCTGGAGAGCCTGCAGAACTCCACGCTTGCTTGCTGCGACTCAGCCACGGCCGCTGCTCGACCACTTCTCGCTGGCCCCCGGCGGCCGAATCGGCCAGTTGAGGGCGACTCGGGGGCGGCTGCTGAAGCGGCGGCGAACTCCGCTTGCGCATGTAGTTGATGCAGCAAGGGCGGAAGTCGCGCGTGTTGCAGAAGTTGACGCACACCATGCCGCACGCCTCGCAGTGAGGGATCGCCTCCGAGGGGTTGATCTTGATGCAGCTCAGGTACAGGAGACCTTAAACATAAAAACCGTCAAAATTATTTTGATTGAAAAAATTCAAACACATGCAAAAAATATGCCAACATATAAAATAAAAATATTTTTCATTTTATCATTAATTCGCTATAGCACACTTTTGCGTTTGTTTACTTTTTTAATAAAAAAAAATTACTACTCTACTCATCAATATAATATGGCCAAGGAACACCAAATTATAAATAATTATGTTTTTATTGTTTTTGAAATTATTTTTAACTTTGTTTTCTTTGAAATTTAGTAAAAAAAGATCTCTTGCGTCATCATTATTGAAGCAACTCTAAATCCAAGATTAAATATATCAGTTGAGTTTGCCGGTCAATAAACCCCCATGCACTTTTCTGGAAAACTGCGGCGCCAGGGAGTCGTTTGCTGTTTCGCAAACGAATGAACTGCAAGTTTACTGCAATTCGCAGAACAAGACCAGAAAAAAAATGCTGGCTTTCCGCGCTCATCTTCCATCTATGCGCCATCAAGGTGACCCATTTAACAGAGAGCGACGCGGCGTTTTTCTCCGACTCCGACACAGCGGCGTCGCTCGCCCAGGCCGTTTTTCCGCTTTTCCTGATCAGAGCGAGTGCAGGATATGCAACCCATCGTAGCACTACTACGAAAAATGCATTTCAAACAAGACGCTTTTATTTATTATTTAATGCCCACCTAGAGACAAACCTTTGAGAACGTATAGAAGAAAAGAAATATTCACAAGGAAATTAAAAAATCTAATTCTTCTGGAACGCTAATTGAAAAATACAAGGACGATGAACAAAATTTAGTCTACTTTCGTGAAATCAGTTTAATTTTAAATTAATATTACATATCATTAAGAAGCAAATTTTCAAAATTATTTAGCTTATCATTAAATCTTTTAAATACATAAATTTGAATAAAAATATAGTGCATTTGGAAAATCAAATTAATTTGAATAGTTATTATTAAAAATATAAATAATTATAAATTTTTATTGATACTATATTTATGTAAGCTACTTATTTAAAAATTATTTTATAAATTTATATATAGCAATGTAAATTTTTTATTTATGAAGTTGCTCACAGATTTAAATTCATGACATGCAATAAAAATATTTAATCAAATATAATTGAAAGACATAAAGATTAAAATAAAATTTGTATGTATCAGGCATCGGCTGAAGAGTTATTTATGTCACAATCTAGCGATACTTCAAACTATCTCGTTGTCTTTATGAACCGTCAAATTTCTATTATATAAAAATCAAATTTTTTGTTTCTTGCCAATTGCCAAGCTATCAAAATAAATATTAACTTGATTGATTATAGCCGAAAAATCATCGCTTTGTTGTTGCTGACCGACCGTCGGCGCGCTGCGCGTGCCGAGCGTGTTGCTGGGGTGCAAAATTGGTCAGATCCAGGGGTGGAGGGGCGCGTGCTCGGGGTGCGCGCGCGTTGGGCGCACTTTGCACGGCCCTGCTGGGCACAGGGCAAAGAAGTTTTAGAAGTAGCAAAGGGTTGCGTGATTCGTCTTCCAGCACGACGCGAGGATGCCGCTCGGCACCGCCGCCAGCCTGGCCTCCCTTGCCGGTAAGCCGCCCCCGCGGGGGCCGTCAGCCCCTATTGATCGCAGCCCCACATCTGCAGTAGTCGCGTGTGTTGCCGACTCGGACGGAGCAGTGCGGCAAGTCACGCTTGTTGCTATGCCCGCACGAGTGCGCGATTTTCGCCCACGCCGTCAATTAGCTTCTGCGAAACAATTAAGTGGCGCCGATTCGACCCTTAGGTGACGCGCCTTGCTCTTTTTCCCGCCGCCGCTCCAGCGAAAATTTCCCATGGGGTGCCTGTCTGGAACATATTGCTCCCTTTCGTTTGATGCTTGCTCTCTAATACCGTTTTTTTTTTTCATAAAATATATAAAATACTTCGCGAATTTTCGAATTATTTAGATTTAGTATGATTTTTATAAAAAAGTGAATTTAAGAAAGTTTACTTATAATGCGCAGATAATACTGTCAGAAATGTCCACGACAGAATAATATGGTATGCCTTTATCAGAAATGACGTAACGTTGACAGCCAAATTCCGGTCTGACCAATTTACAAAATTAAATATATACAAAAAGGCAATAGCCAGGAATAAAAAATCAGATAAAAATAGCAAACAGAATTTTTTCAAATATTTTTTTCAAATTAAATCTAAAATTAATTTGCTTTTATTTTACATTGAATGTTTATTATAATTCATATGTGTGTTACAACGATAGGTTTCAATCAACAGATGGAAGTTTTATTTTTCGTTTTAAAGTTATGTTTTCGTAGAAAATATTGTTACAATATATTATATTATTATTTTTTAATTTTCTGAAAATCGCGCTACTAAAATTCTTCTTATCTAAATATGTGTCTGGAATTAATTTCAATCAAAACTTCATTAAAATATCTTATCTTTTATGTCAAATTCCGGTGTGCAGAAAGAGAGAGTATAATGAGCATAATTTCTTCAATAAACTCATAGCATAAAGCCGAAACATGTAGAGCAGGATATTGTTTTTTCTTAAACAAAACAAAACTAAAAAAAAAACATCGAGAAAAAGCCGACTTTAATTTCAAATCACCAGGAATCAACCCTCGATCGTGAAATTCTACCACAAAATGATAAAAAAAGTTGGTTATGCGCTTACTTCCTGGCTGCACCTTGAAGTTTGAGCAATTATGGCTCAAATGACGGATATTCGTGTATTTGCAACAAAGCTAAAACCATCAAACTGCTCAAGTATTGCATTTTATACAATTAACATTTTTGTAAAGTAAAAATTGAAACACAGCATTTTTGACATTTGAACTAGGTTTCTGTACTAAATAAAAACTAAAGGCTTGAATAAATAATTATTTAAATAGAATAAGAAATATCAACGCATTTTATTGTCACCTACTTAATGACTTAATATCGCTAGTTAATTAATAAGTGACCTTTTCAATCACAATCAAAGCGTGATTGTTTGATCTATGCAGCAAAATCAAACGAACATAATTATAATATATTGCAAGGATTAGCGCGCTCCGGAGCAATAAAGGGTTGAAAACGGGCGCCAAACAGAGCAGAGCAAGAGCAGGCGTTGGACGGGGCTAGCGTAAATATTTGATCACGAGAGCATGAGAGGAGGCTTTGTTGGCCTAATGAATATGGTGTGCCGCAAAGACACAAACCTCTGGCTCTGACGAAACGCGAGCCGCAATTAGCCAAACACCACTAGTTACATTACATTATGCCCTGGCTGGGGGGTAGTGCGCGCTCTTGTTCAACTCACTCACTTGGGCAACAGGCAAATAACGGGATTTGCAGCAGTTACGTGCAAAACAGTCTGCTTGAATTTTTATTAATTCTCACCTGAAAACACGAGCAAAGCAGGGCGAAGCATTTCACTGATGAGCGAGGCCTCTGCTCAAAACCAAAATGCTCCTCTGTAAATGAAAACAATTTTTTATATTAAAAACAATTAAAAATATAAAAATGTTAGATATAATTTTTGATTCTTAAAGTGACAGTAAAAATAATTTTAATACAAATTTATCTTAAAAATTTATTTTCAATTATAATACAAAATACCGATAAACCATGAAAACCTGGTAGTTGTCAAAATTCTATATATTTTTTTTTTTTTTTTGACAAAAAGAAAACATTATTTGCTTAATATGCATTGATGAATTGGGAAGTATTTTTACCGATATTTAATGGATAAAGAACATAATATTTTGTATTTTGTGTTTGTATTTACCTTCTTGTTGTGAACCCTGTGCTGGTCTGGAGCGGATTGAGACCACTTCCTGTGTCCCATCCCTCTTATAATTTCTCAGGTCATGAATAAATAGCGTAAATAATTGCAAAATGTGAGAGCCATCTTGTTTAAATATATACACGCAGCTAGGGACAGGGTAGAGAAAAGCGTGGGAGCAAACGAGGTGCAAAAAATGAATGACGCGGGCATCAAAACTTTGATCCTTGATCAAAGCGCGGCCGTTGACGAAGGCTGCATTCTGATCAGGCACACGACAAAGTTTATAAACACGCGCTTCTTATTTTCCAAAAAGAGCTCCTTTTTCATTGTCACCGAGCATAAAATGATTTTTTAACGGTTTTCTTTAAAATGAAAAGACAAAAAAAAATAAATTAAATAAATATTAATTAAAAAAATTTGGATGAAAGCGTTGTTGTGATTTTCCTAAGAGAGAAAATACAAATTATAATTTACGAATTGAAGAGAAATACTATTCAAGGATTTAATATGATCTTGAAACACCTGTGCTTGAAAAATATTATAGAAAAATTTATACATTATAAAATAATATTTTAATAATAAAATGGAATTGTTATATTTCATAAAAACCGATAAAATTGTAAGTACTTTTAACAATAAGTCATAATTTACCGAATATAAGTAAATTTTTAAATTAATTGCTGCGTTTAATTTTAAATATTTTTATATTTTTTAATTATTTACAGTTTACACTAATAAACTTAATAATTAAACATGGCTTGAAACAATTGTGACACATTCGGGCAACATTTTCTAATAAAGGGATGGCAACCGCTGGTTAAACAATTAATTTCAACAGCAGCGCAGTTAAACCAGAGTCTGTGTTAATCACTTCAAACAATCGATATAAACCTGCAACGGTGGCGGCAACTGAGCAAACTTAAAAGCAAAACATGATACCCGCATTTAAACACAGAATCCAAGAGCAAAGCAAACTCTCAACAAATCGATAAAGTAGCGAGTTTTGCATGTGCGCTTGCAATGAATGCACAGACTTTGTGTGCACACCACACACCTTATGCTTTGAATGGGGTCACGTGGCCGGTGTGTGTCGTTCACCGAGCGCGCAAATAGCCGCCGATGCATTACGGACGATTTGCCAAAGCTCGGCGATTGTGTATAAAACGCGCGAGACTTGAGCGAAATGAGTGAAAACGAGCGCGAGAAAAGCCGCGGTGCGCCACATTCGCAGACAAACTCAAGCACTCCGCCTCTCTTCGTTCACACAATCAGCTGCTCCGAGAGTCTTTTCTCAGCCACACGTGGACGCTTATTTGCATTCGGTCTCACTGCTTTTGCCAAGAAGAGCGGCGCCCAAATTGTGCTCTCTGCTGTTCAGCCTTCAGACTGATTGTTTGAGCTTTTGAGAATGCAGTGTGCCGAAACGAGAGGCGTTTAATTCAATTCCGAGGTAAGGTTTTTTTTTCAATACGTCTTGATTATTTAACATTTTAGCAATAACCCAAAACCCAAATATGTAAATACAGTCGCTGGGATTGTTTAATGATAATTTTCAAGAAACTATAATAAGCCATCAAATTATTAAAATGTTTTCTCCATTAAAAGACCATTAATTGCATAAATTGAGGTTTAATAGTAAATTTTTATATCGAAATCAAGGTGAATTTAGGCAATTTTATTTAAAAATAACACGGCTTTTACATGGAATTTTCAATTCATACTATATTATCCAGAGGACATTTCCTTTCCATAATGAAAAACAGTGCAAAACAAGAACTGTCTGTTAAAACATTAAATTTACTTTGTGTCATTTTCTTGGGCGTTTTTTAGTCCGCTTTTTTTAATTAGAAAAAGTGGTTACATTTTTGCTAATGCGCCCAATTTTGCCTCTCTGGCAATTTTCAAATTTTCTGCCCCAGCCTTTAACCCTTTTTGTTGTTTTATAGCCCAACAGTAAAAAAAGCACACGCGCGTTTCTGCCTTATCTGCGAGCACGCAGAAATTTTTTCAAACATGCCATATATTCGCAAACTATGTATGAGCAAAGCGTGCGTGTCAGTTGGCCGCGGGCAAAATGTATCGAACGGTAAATAGTGCAGAGAAAAAAACGTGCTTTGGCGAGTTCAAGAGAACCATTAGAGTTATATTAAACAAAAGTGATCTTTCCATAATTAAAAGAAAAAAATGCGAGTTATATTTGCAAAAATAAAATGCCATTGCAATCAGGAGTGCAAAGTCAAGAATGCGGCTCCAAAAACAGCAACGTGTTGATACTGTTGATAAAATTCACTCTTTATAAAGGGATTAATTGGCTTTGCTGTTCGCTGCTCTAATTGGAAGTTTGACCGATGCAATTCAGCTACCCAAATACGACGATGAGATAGTGATGCAAACAAACAGGAGGGAGCTGAACAGATGCCAAAACCTCCGAGCACATTTGTTTGTGCATATGTTTGAGTTGGTTTGTTTGTTTTTGTTAACAGCTTCTGTCCCTTAAAATTATGAAAACTGGCATTTCATTGTAGAGTTTTTTTTAATTTTTTTTCCAATTAAATGCCTCAGCAGAGACTAAATATATAAAAGTAAAATAGATTTGAAATTAGCCACTTTCTGTAAAATTACTGAAATTTACCTTAAAAGGACTCTAAAGTTGGGTGACAGGATTTCATTATACAACGCTAAAGCAAAACATATAAAATTAATATTATTTATTTTTAAGTTTAACTTAAATTTGTATACCATAACAAAAGTTCTCTGAAAATTAAATAATATAAATTTCAATATTAAAATTGAATAAAAAAATAATACAGGTAATAATAAGGTCTTATTAATTTTGCCTTAATTAATTTAGACAGAATTTATTTTTATTAAAATGAAAATGTGTAAAGTGTTTTGTTTTCTTTTTTTTTTTTAGTAAAACAACTTAAATTTATCCACTAAGTCTTTAATTAAATTTAAACAAATTAATTAAATATCAATTATTTATTCCATTCATAAAATTGTATTATTGTAACTGTCCCAGAAACTGATCAACATAACAAGCAATCATTTGAATTTTCCTTGGAGAAAAATCTTAATTGATTCGTTGACCCCCGCGCGCCGCGATTGTGATCTCTCTAATAACTTGACGTGTGGCAGAGGTCACGAAATGAGTTGCGACTCGTGATGCTGCACGCGTCAGCTTTATTATTCGCCTAACCATGAGAGAATGATTACACTAGAAAAAGAACTAACTTCCATTAATTGTCAGCGGCCGAGAGAATTTTCATGAATTTTTAATGAAATCATAAATGCGGACTCACAAAGAGCACAAACGCGTTAGTGATTTTCGGCAGCTTTGCAAATACTGGAAAATTGATTTTGTCCTCAGTCAGCACTTCCAGGCACCGCGACTGTGTGGGCGAGCTTTGTTCGAATATACAATTTGGAAGGATGAACGACTGGAAATCCATAAGTAAATGAGACAATCTGAGGATCAAAATTTATCATAAAAATAGAAGCAAAGTAATTAAAAATAAATTAAATAATTCCATCTTAAATCACATGATTGACTTGTTTATCTAATTTTATTTCGTTTTTTTGTATTAACAAATTAAATTCATTAAATTTGTCAAAAAGAAGGCGTGAAAAAGCTTCAGCTTCCGTTTGGTCATCTAATTACATAGGATCAGGAAGTTAGTCAGGATTTTGCCAAGCCTTGATTATGAAACTGATTATATTTCTTTCAAAAAAAAAAAAAAAAAAAAAAAAAAAAAAAAAAAAAAAACTCCTATAGAAGTTGCTTTTGAAATGTAAAAAAGCCAATGCATTTTATACTATTGTTGTTTTGCAATTCTGATCATATCATTTGGGCTTTCATAGAAAGTTCCAGTCCTTTTTACATTCAATAAGCAGGCCAGTAGGTTTTGCTTCTTTAACGAGCCACATATTTAACCCTTCAATTGCCGATCAATCAATCGGTGGCGCGCTGATGACTTTGTTTGTCGAAAGTCAGTGTCAGTTCTTTGTCGGTCGGCTCTCAGACGAAATGCCCTCTTTGTTTTCCTTCGCCTTTTGCCGTGCATTAACTCTGGTGCTGTGATGGATAATGTTGCAGCTTCGGCACCGCCAACCCCCGGCTCCGTCATGGGGGTGGCCGACTTTGACGACGTTTTGGAACACGTCGGCGGCTACGGCCCCTACCAGCGGAGGCTCATTCTGCTCGCGCTGCCCTTCAACTTGGTGCTCACCTCCGTCTATTTTGGCCACAGCTTTGTTGCCCTCACGCCAAGGTAAGTAAAATAAAAATTAATTAAATTTGCGTATTTGTAGAATTATTTTCAACCACATTAAATTTTCTCGGATTTATCCAATATTATTTTCCTTTTGACGTAAATAATGCAAATCTAAAATATTAAAAATTAACAAATTTAGATGAATTCAACTTTTCAATAGTATTTCATTTTAATTTACTAATGTACGCATCAAACTCATTTATTATAATCTGATAGTGACTTGTCAGTTTTGCTACTGATATAAATAATCTAGATCTAGATATAATTTAAAGCTGAAGCTTTCATGGGTAGCTTAAATATCAATTTGTTTATGATTCTTCAAGGCAATGTAAATTTAAATTATCTTTACAAATGTTAATTCTTTTAAATTGTAGTATGCTTAGGTTTGTAATAAAATTTTAATTTCATTCATTAATTTGTATATTTTATTTATATTAAAATAGTTTTAATGTTTAAAAAAGTAATTTATTTTCATTATTGTTAAGAAATATATTTAAATACTAATTAAATGCTTACTTCAAAATTAGGCATTGGTGCGCATTGCCAGAGCTGGATGCGGCCTTCAATATTTCCTCAAGTAACCCTGGCTACGTGGGTGATCCTGGCGGGTACCCATCATGGGCCGTCCCCGTAGATTATTTATCTGGAGGAATCTCCAGACCTAGTCAATGCCAGCAGTATAATGTCAATTTTACAGAGGTATTTAATCTTCTCTACCTGTTTCCAAAAATTCCCGATTAAAATTTTTCTATCTTATTTCAAGGTACTTGTTACTGGTGCAATCCCTAATAATTCTTGGCCGACTGTGGCGTGCCAACAAGGCTGGCGGTACGACTACAATCATGATTACGCCACCATTGTTTCAGAGGTATTTTTAATAAGTCTATATTTTAACACTTCCTTAAATACTTGGATCATTCAAAACTTGATTGTTCTGATTTATTATATAACTATTCATTCTTCTTAATAAAAATAAAAATAAAAAATCGTTAGAAGAGATGAAAGGGTTTTTAACTAGCAGATGTTAGATTTTAATAACTAGACAATAGCCCCTTTTGCGCTATATTTTTTTTTTATTTACACATTTTTTTTTGTCCTACTGATTTTGCTTTAAACTGAATTTACAGCAAAACTGGGTGTGCGACGAAAGTTGGAGACCGAATTTGGTTCAGTCGGTTTTCTTCATCGGTTCCGCGCTCGGCTCGATCGTCCTGGGCTGGCTAGGCGATCACAAAGGTCGTCTCCCTGTTTTGGTGAGAGAGCGCCTCATTTATTTTGCGGGAAGAAGATTGCTTTTTGATCTAATTGCGGCTAAATTTAATTCACACAGGTTGTCAGCAACGTTGTGGCGTTTGCAGCCGGCGTGGCGACGGCGTTCACCAACTCATTTGTCACCTTTCTCATCGCTCGAATTTGCCTGGGCCTCACTTACAACAACAGCTTCATGATGATGTACATCATTAGTGAGTTTATTTTTACTTGCAAATTGTCAATTTGCCAATTTTTAAATTCCAATATAAACATATTAAAAAAATTAAAATATTCACCATTGAATATATGAATTGAATAGAGATAAAAACTTGAAAAAAAAGAAAAGATTATGGAAAATTATAAAATAACCTGTTAAACCTCTAATCTAATTAAAAAAATTAAAATATTTTAACTAAGTTGGATAATTGTTTAAAAAATTATTCTCATTTTAGTGTTGGAATATGTAAGTCCAGCGAAAAGATCTATGGTGGCAAATCTACCCATCGCTATATTCTTGACCTTTGGTTTGGTCACCTTGCCTTGGTTGGCCTATGCTCTGTGGGACTGGCGGTTGTTCAGCGTGATCTCCTCCTTGCCGATGTGCGTCGCCTTTTTAGCACCTTGGTAATATAAATTATGCCCATAAATGATTTTTAACTTATTTAATTTTAACTTCTGGGCAGGTTGATTCCTGAGTCAGGCAGGTGGCTTTTAGCGCAGGGCAGAGTGGAGGAGGCTGAGAAAATTTTGCGATCGATTGCGGGAGTGAACAAGAAGGAGATAGACGAGAAAGTTTTCACAGAATTCCGAGCATATGGAAAGCAGTTTGCCGAGGCTGAGAGGGAGCAGAGCCACAATTTTATTGAGCTTTTCCAGACGCCAGTTTTGCGACGCAGAGTCGTGCTTCTCACTTTGCTCTGGTGAGACTTATATTGATTTTTTTTGCTAGCATATTTATATTAAAATTTTTTTTAAAATTAGGATGTTGATGACTGTTTGTTATGATGGACACGTCCGAAATTTGGGCAACCTGGAGCAGTTCAGCCTTTATGTTACTTTCTCTCTGACGGGTCTGCTGGAGCTCCCCGCCGACCTTTTGACAATTGTCACCCTAGACTACTTAGGCCGCCGCTGGACCAATTTTGGAGCCATGGCTCTCGGAGCACTGTTTTCTCTTATAGCCGCCAGTGTCCAAAGTAATAATGTGGTTTATTGTTTCACTGAACAATTTTTTATCTAATATATTTAACCAATTTATAAGGCACACCCATAGCAGTGGTTGTGATGGCAGGATGCGGCAGGTTTTGCATCACTATGGCTATGAATACTGGACTGCAGTACTGTGTTGAACTGCTGCCGACCCAACTTCGAGGTCAAGGGGTCAACTTGGTGCACATCGCGGGTCACATAAGCACTTTTGGTGGTCCTTTGATTGTGTACTTGGTAATTTAACCTAAAATGATTTAAAGGAAAACTATGATCAAATTAACGTGTTTTTTTTTTTAAGCATTTACGTATGCAACCTGTAAAACATATTTGTTTGGCGGGTTTGCATATGTTTGAAAAAATAACAATAAATTTTATTCAGGGCGAGTTCAGTGACGTGCTGCCTTTCCTTCTCCTTGGATCCCTCGGTTTATTTGGAGGAGCGATCAGTTTAATGCTTCCTGAAACTGCCAACGAAGCTTTACCAGAGACTGCTACCGAATCTGAGAACTTTGGACTGGACCAACCCTGTTTCTTGTTTCCATGCTGGGAGGAGCGGAAGCGGAATAAAAAGTATTTTTAACTAAAAAACTCATCACCAGAAATAATGCATTTTTCCATCAGGAATGAAGAAGAACTGGACAAAATTGTGAAAGCAAGTTCGGAAAATGGCACATTAAATAAGAGTTTCACCGGAGACGAGGAACCTGACAATAACGAGGCCAAATACAATGAGAAAAAATCAAGTAGTGGCGTCATTATTCAGACTGTGACTTCTCTCTAAGCTTTAACATTCCAGGGGTTTTAAGCGTTAATTCATAAAGTGCTTTGAAGGGATGTTTTACTGAAGATTTAGAGCAGACTCTTATTTGTTTAAAAGTTGTTTTCTCTTTCTTTACAATAAAAAATTGCGTCATTAATTTTTCAAAAGTAATGCAATCGAGCAGTAACTTAAATGCCTGTTAACACAAAGAGCTCAATATTTGTTAAAATTAGACAAACTTTAATTTAAGTTTTTAGTAAAACAAAGATGATTGTTTTCTTAAAAATAGATATTTTTTAAATATATTTGCATGTTAACGATGTTGCCTTGAATTTCAAAATTTTTAAAAGAGGCCTGTGATAATTAAAATATTAATACTAGATTGTTATTTAAACGTCATCCTGCTGTATTTCGTATTTACTAATACTAAGAGCTGTTTCATCTCTGTACGTCACATGTGCTGTGTTGAGGGCAATCTCAATAAACATGTAAATGATACTAACTTAAGTAAGGGCGTTTCTTTGATGTGCAAATCAGGTAACACGCAGTTATTGGGGCGAAAGCTTTTTACTTGGAAACAAACAACTCTACAACAATTCCAACTCTTCTGGTGTAATAATGCAGTCTCAATTCCTTCTCCACCACCAGGTCTTGAAAATTGCCCGACTCTCCCGGGAGCAGTCTAGCATATTATAAATCTTGAAAATATTAAAAGGCATCGGAACTACCATTAATCTAGAAGATCCACCCAGCTGGCGGCGCTTTTCATTTTTTCTCAAATGTACCTCTGTTTTTGAGTTGATAAAATTTTACTCTTAGCGTCAAAAAGTTAATTAACGAGAATTTAGAAAATATTTAAAGGCGACGCTATATTTTCAGGAGATTCGCCCAGCTGGCGGTGCTTTTCATTTGTTGGCAAATCTTTTATGAGCGAATTTTTTTCAATGGTAGGTATAAAAAGTCAAATACATATACGTTTGTATGACGTAAACCTAATTAACGTAAAAAATTAAAGACCACACATTATATTTAAGTTGCAGAATTTGGGTTTTTTTCATCAATATGAATTGATTTATATGGCTGTATTAATAACATTTTTAATTTAAACGTAAATCTCAATTAACAATGCCTCTGGTCAGCGTTTTGGACAATATTATTTATTAACGTTATACGTGTCACGCAGGCTATCCGCAAAAATTTGAATAACTGAATTCACAGCTATAGCCTCGACAATGGCTTTAGATATTTTAAAATAAATCCACACGGTGTTCTTTTCAATAATCCTAGCTGTTTAAATTTTTCCATTGTTGCAGTTACAAATCGTTTTCGTTTTTAACTGTTGCTAATTTGGACGTTGGAAGGGTCAAGTTGAGCTACTGTTTGAAATTCGTGTGAAGAATTTATGTAGTGGTCGGCAGATCTTTTTTGAAGATGTCTGAACTCTCGGTGTCCCTTCCTCCTGAGTTTCCTGCCGACGGCATTGAAGTTTTGAAGGAGACCGTAAAGCTTGGGCCGAAAGAAGGGCCTATCCACATTGAGGCCAACCTGCCTTTTGGTCTTCAGATCATTGTGGCCTTTTACAACCTGCTCGACTTCGACGGTCACGCAAGTATGATAAATCATGTACATTTAGTGCCATGAAAATTTAACGAATTTCCTTCTCAGGCCATCAGGACCTGTCTCGGAGGCTGTACCATCTTCTCCAAGACTGTGATGGCCAAATTGCCAAACTTCCTTCTATGCTTGTCGAGACAGGCGCAGGTGGCCACAAGAACACTGACCTTGATTACACCGGCCTCAGCCAGGCAGAAGCATTTCAACTGCGCTCAAATCCAAAGAAGGTGAAACCTGCCTCTCTCGTGCAGTTCTGTCTGGCTATTATAATAGGCTGGACATTTATGGATGCGTCAGTGAGTAGCACCAGCAAATTCATCTGTTACCAAAATGCTGAAATTTATTTTTCTCTCTTTAAACAGGCTTGGCCGATTTGGCTGTTAATTCTTGTGAATCGCGCCCAGCTAAAAAAAAGAATAAAGACCGCAGGAATGCAGAAGCAGAGAGTCAGTTGATGGCTGCCGCGGCCAAGAAGCCAAAGGGTTTGGTTGACCGATTTGTGCCATGGATAACCCGGAGGATAACTGAGGACATATATGGACTCCAATTCTCAGACAATTAAATTCTCTTCCTTTAGGTCGATTGCAGCATTCTCTAAGCTTTACCATTCCAGGGTTTTTAACAGTATGTTTATTTTCCTTGGTTTCAAGCAAAAAGAACTCATTTAATTTTTCTCAAATAATGCAATGAAGCAATAATTTCAATGCCTGTCAACTTAAACACAAAGAGCTCAACATTGATTAGAATTAGATGTCAAATTTGAGTCAAGAAAACTTAAAAATACAAAGATGATTGTTTTAGTAAAAATTGCTATCATATTGGCATTTTGAAGATGTTGCATTTAATTCTAAAACTTTTAAAAGATATCCTGTGATGATTAAAATATTACTTAAGTGTTATTTACACATTGCTGTATTTCATATTTACTAAGAGCTATTTGGTCCCTGTTCTTCAGCTCTGCGGTATTGAAGGCAATCTCAATAAACAAGAAAATGATACTAACTTAGTGAGAACGTTTTCTTTGATGTGCAAATCAGGTTGCACGCATTAAAAGAGACGCAGTGATCGAGGCAAAAGCTTATTACTTAGAAAATTAGATACGAAAACAACTTTACTCTCCTTTCAACAGTTCCAACTCTTCTGGGGCAATGTGAAGTCTCAATTCCTTCTCCACCACCAGGTCTTGAATGTTGGCCGACTCTTCTGGCAGCAGTCTGGCGCCTTGCATGTAAATTGCCTTGACCCACGGACAGTCTTCTAGTGCCTTATAGAAAACTGTCCTGATAGCCTCAGGTTTCGCTTTGAACCCCATGTACCTCAGGTACAGCTGCCACAACAAGGGGCAGTGCCGAAACTCAAAGTTGGCTAAAACTTTTTCATATTGCGAGACCACTCGAGGCTCACACCTGGCTACTTCGAGCTGGTCAGTTGGTTCAGATTCGTGCAAGATGGATCTGTGCTCCAGAGACAAAATTCTCATACTCTGACCGAGGGCGCCGTAGGTGATTTTGGCAGTGCTAGTCAGTTTTGAAATTTGCCGAAGGGTATTCTGGAGCTGCGCCTGGACAGCAAGAATGGAGGCGTTGTCAGGGAACTCGGCCAACGCTCTTTCGATAATGCTGTGAAGCATTCCGGTGTCGCAGGAGGAATTTCTACTTCGGTTTTGCATGATGGCGCAGTAGATTTCGTAGATGATTTCCGTCTGGCTGCGAGACTTCTCTGTGCCAAACTGGTTGAGTTTCAGGATCATACCTTCCAACATAGCACCGGCGATCCAAACATTGCGGCTCAAAACCATCAGCCAGGCGTAACAGGCAACCATGTTTACCAAGAAGTCTTCCGAGAAGGCATCCATCAAATCCAAAGTGTCTTGAGTCTGTGGACACATTTTTTTTTATTTAATTTTCTTCATCAAAAAAAGAGCAAATAACGTAATAGATTTCTACTTAATAAAAATTTCAAAAGATTTAAAAAATATTAATTTTTTACCTGGCTTTGTAGAATTTCTCTGCACATGCTTTCGTATTTCTCAATGCAATCTTCGATTGCTGCTTCTCCAAGGGAAGTAGTGCAGAATGGATCTTGGGCTCTGTCAACCAGAGAGCACAAAAGGGTGATTGCCTCGGACGTTTTCTCCTCCTGGATCCAAATTTCAGCCAAAGTGCGGTAGACCGAGCACAAGCCAGCTCTGTCGGGACAGTCCCTCCACTTCATTCCTAAACACAAGAATTTATTCATTAAAAAAGACTAAATCAACTTCAAATAAGATACAAGAGAATAAATCAAATGACTAACCTGAAGCTCTTGCAGCATAAATAGTTGCTGAAAGAATTTTCTCAGCAGGTTTCATGCTTTCCGAAAGTGCCGCATCCAGCATTGCAAATTCTCTGAACATTTGGAATGACGTACGGTAGTTCGGTTTCTTCAAAAGCTTTTTTGCTCTAGATCTGTGAACATTAAATTAAAAATTGTATTTAATAATTTAAAAAAAAAAACTCAAAACGCTAAATCAATCTTCAAATTTCAATCAATGAAGTAAATAAATAATACAACAAAAGGAAGTCAGCAGAAAAATTAAATTTCATCACCAAGAGGGTTTAAAACGCTTGCTCACCGCATGTAGGTTTTTGCCTGGTGATTGGTTGGCATCAGTCGAGCATACAGAGTTTCCCATCTGAGACACCAGCTCATAAGGACGCTCTCCTCAGCCTCAGAAAGACTAGTGGCATATTTGTAGAAGGAAAAGTAGAGCAGGTCTCTGTACAGCTCCCCTCCAAGGGCAGGTTTCCACGCATTGGCACCACAAGTGGAAGCAATTTGCAGGGCAGCGTCACCGATCCAATTTCGTGGCGTCTAGAATTTCATAATAAGTTTTGAACTCTTGAGCAATTTAAGTTTTATTACAATGATGTCAGGGCTGAAAAGAGGGTATCCAGCTGCCAAAAGACCCAAGTTTGGCAGGGGCGTGTACTGACTGAGGCACTTGACGGCGCAGTGTCGAAAGGGCAGTGGGGGCACACCAAGGACGACAAGGGCAATGGCCGCCACCCTGAAGCCCAGGGACTTTGAGGTGATGTGCTGAGACAAGCTGGCCATGTCGTCAGGGTAGACAAGGCGCTGCGGGTCTCCCTCTCGAGCCCAAACACAATCAGGAGCAGGAAGGAAGTGCGCCGACTCGCGAAGACGTTCGACCCGGAGCCAAAGTTCAGAGCTCGGAAGTCCACTCAACAAGAGCTGATCCTCTTCACCAGCTGTAAATTACATGATTTATTTGTTTCAAAAGTTACTTATTTAAAAACTGCAAATCCAACCTGCATCATTCTCTAGAGCCTCTGCCTTTGCGTTGGCAATGTTTTGTATCTCGGCCACCCCATCTGGATCTCGACACACACCCAAGGACATTTCTGTGTACAGCCGCAGCATGACCCACGTCTGCTCTTGCAAACTTGCTTCTTGAAGGAAAATTCCACACGCCAGGACCAGTTCTAACAAAAATAATATGAATGCAGGTCAACTTTAATTTAGTTAAATAATATTAATTCGAGCAATCCTTCATGGAAAATTAGCGTATTTTGATCTTAATGATTTATTTTCAACTCACCTAAAATACTGTTTTCAACTTCAATATTAGAAAATCTGCTCCTTCTCTTGTTGATTGCATCCATTGCAGAAGAAAAGACTTTGATGATTTTCGGAATCGAGCAACTCGCCAGATGAGACCGCTCGATTCTGGCTAACTCCAGCCAGCCAGCAACCAAATTTGGCTCCTTACTGAGGTACTTTTTCAGCTGGCTCGTCAGTTCATCAGCAGGGACCAACGTACTGGCCAATCCGTATCTGTATAAATGACCAACTTTGTGAAAAATATGTTTATTTTTTTAAAAAATAAAATTAATTTTGATTTGAAAAAAAGTTAGTTCTTGTAAAAATTCATAACTCCAGTTTACCTTTCCCTGATGAGGTCAGGGTTGGTGGGGTTGTAACCTAAAGCCTTGTCCAAAATGGAGATCTGCTTATCAGCGATGCCTCTTTTTTCAGAAGAAGAAAGGTAACATGGTCCCTTCCTTGGCTGCAGGGATAATAAGAACGGCTGAAGCTGCACCAGTTTCAACCAAGATTGAATATCACAGGGATCGTGGTTCACTGCCCTGAAGAAGATTGAATTAAACATATTAATAATAATAAAAGAACAAGAATTCTTACTTGTTTAGGTTTTCAGTAGTATTTTTCAAATCCATGGCAACATCATGGTCCCACTTTGGCCGACACTCTTCATTTTCATATTCTTTGTTTTCCAACAAATTTTTAACCGTGAAATATCGTTTCGGCTTTTGTCTCCGTAGAAATCCATATTTCTTCCAACCAAGCGGTCGCTTTACAATTTTCTTGTACCTGAGCAAATTTTAAAATTTCATATAATTTCATAATTTTTAAACCTTAAATTTCTTACACAGGTTGATGGGGTCCTTTGACAAAATCAACCAGCAAATTTCCAGTGTCCCTGTTTGTGTCCAAGAAAAAGCTGTCGTTCTGACTTATCCTCTCTCTGCAGGTTCATTTTCAGTACATATAATTAGACAAAACTTGCGGAATGTTTACACTTATTTTACCTTCTGTTGCCTGAGTAATTATTTTCGAGCAGCTCTTCTGTGGGCCGTTTGTCCTTCTTGTGCTTCTTTTTCTTGTGTTTGTGAGAAGATCGGATTTTGTAGTCATCGCAGGCCTTTCTCTTGCTACCTGATGATTTCACTGCCACGACTTCTGGACTTGCCCCTCGAGAATTGCTGGACGGAGGAGAAATAGGAGGCAGCGGAACAGCCTCGATGGCTGGGACGAAACTTGAATTTTCAAGCCATTTTGTAGTCACGGGTTCTGGAAACAAAACAATTTGACAGCATTTGTTAATAATGAACGCAAAAAAGAAACCAAAACTAATTTGCAAAAATATCAATTTTTATAGACAATAAAATGAATTTTATGATGTGCTTATTGCCTGATCCAGATCCCGTTCCGTCGTTATTGATTTGAGAAAAAGCCGGAAAGAGTGACATTATAATAATATTATGTCAGTCTCTTCTTTTACTTCTCTGCTTTCAAAAATTAATTATGCTTTCGTCTCTGGTTTAAAGTCTTTTCTCTTGTCCTTCCTGTTGTTTTAATCAAGAACAGACCAAGAAGCAAGAAGTACTTCTCATTTCTTGCCCTGTTCTCGGTTTTAATTTGGTTTTAATGTCTAATTTCTTTGTTTTGGTTTGCGGTACCAAACGGAGCCTCACAGATGGCGTGCTATCTCAGTGAAGGCAGTGAAGGGTGAAAGAAAAGGAAAGAAACCCCCATGCCCCCATGGAAACCTCCATGGTATTCCAAGGAGTTTGTGGAGCGCGAAAGATTTTTTGTTGTTGAATTTTTATGATTTTTATAATAACATTTTTTCAACCAACTTCACAGCTCTTTTGGCGAAGCAGAAAAAGCAGAATAAGCAGATATCACATTGCTGTATCTCATTCTTATTTTTACGTTTTATTAAATTGAATCATTGAATGAGCTGAAGCTCTCAATGCGTGTGTGTATTTCATGAAACAGCAATGAAATGTACATTATTATATATAATTATCAAATACTATTTTCAGTAGATATAGCATTATTTGATCCGTTAATTAATTAACGAGAAATCACAAAAAAGTTTCAAAACTTCTTTTGATTTGAATTGAGCGACGTCACAGCCACTTTTGACCGGAAAAGCTCCTTGTGTGTAATCCAGACAACCGTTTCCAAACGCACCCTATAATTCCAAACTCCTTGGCAACAGGTGTTTTTGACTTTTGTGAGCTGGTTTGGTTGGCGCGGTGTGGGTCAGGGTGGCCTTTGAGTGGCCTGTGATGTTTTTTTAAATTTTAAATTGTTTTTTGGAGATTAATTATTCCATTTTAAATATTTTTGAGTGTATAAATCTTTTACTTACATATTGATAAATTTTTGTGACTGATCATTTAACCATTTGTGATTTATTGAGATCTGCGTCCCTTACCTAAGGCAGTCTCAAGTCTTACAAAGACAACAACAATTAACACGACTATAGCGCCTGCTCGTCTCCTGGTCTCTTTCGAGTATCAAACCTGATTTTTAGGTATAAATTAAGTTAAATTTAAATAAAAGAAAAAAATATGTTTATTAATTATGCCCATAATTGATTTCTAACTTATTTAATTTTCACCTCTGCAGAGGGGTGCGGACACTCCTGAGTCAGCAGGCACGTGGCTTTTGTCGTAGGGCAGAGATCGATTGCTAAGAGTGGACGAGAGAAGCTTTTTTCTACAACATTCCGTGAACACCAATAGCAGTTTGAGACCAGATCGAACTTACCCAAGATAGCTTTTCCGGACGCCAGCTTTGCGACGCATTGTCGTGCTTTCCACGTGGATGACCTTTTCTCTTGTGAGACTTATATTAAATTTTTACTTGCGTTTTTATCAAAAAAAAAAAAAATTGAAATATGATGTTAGTTGACGACTTTTTGATCGACGAGGTCTGCGTTGTGTTTCACCGCAAAATCATTGACAAAGTCTGAGACCGAGTCTGAGAACCCTTGAACCAAATCTCTAGGTCCTCGCCTTATATAGTCTCACGTAAGTTTTGAGCATCCTCAGGCAGTAGTACTATTCAGGTATAAATAATAAAGTTTCAAAAAATTGAATGAAAATTATGGACCTGAATCAAACGTTTTGGATTAAAAATATTTTAAGTTATTTGAATAAGCTTTTCCTTGATGAGTTATGTGCGTTGTTTATTTGATAAGCAAAACAATATCCTGCTCTTATCTCCATAGAGAGAGGTCATGAATTATGGCTGCAGCCCTCAGCCAAAACATGTGGAGATAACTCATCTAGGAAAAGCTGAATTTCATCTAAAATCATTTAAAACATGAATCATCCCTAGATTGATGTTTTTAAATAGTTGAGGCTTTTCCTTCATGAAATTGAATTTTTAAGGCCATTATTAAAAAAAAAAAAAATTTTGGCTGATTTTGACTTTTGAATTGCATCATATAATTATGCATCACATTTATTATCCGTGAGAATCGTTTTTTTTTTTTATCTGATTGCATAACGACTTTACAATAGGGAAATAAAATATCACAATTTTTTCAGTATGGCTGATGAAAGAAGAAAGGCAAAGTTGAAAAAAAACGTTAAGAGAAAGATTGTTCCCAAGCTCAAGGAATTTTTAGAAGAGGCCTACCCTAGCACTTCTCCATCATCTCAGGGAATTTTCAAGTGCCTGATGGATAGTATGATGAAATACATGGAAGAGGTATGTCGAAAGGTTAATGAATAAAAAACTTATAAGTGGAATAGTGGAATTCTTCACTTAAAAAAAAAAAAACCAAATCCAGATGAAAGAGTCGATTTAATCGCCATGAATTGCCACTTTCATGTAAGAGAAATTGACAAAGAATAACATGTTGCCGCAGCTTTTCTGCAAGAAATTATCAACTATACTCTTTTTGCGAGCAAACAATAACTAGAGGTGAATTATAAGCTTATATTTTATAATGAAATATTCAGACTAAATAAGTATCCCAGTGGAATGTCTCATTATATTATACTTTTTCTAAATCATCATATATAATAATTATTCAAATGAATATAAAGAAAGTTGTCCTTATAATATTAAAAGTTAAATTACTTATTTCATAAAAAAGGAACACAAGAGTGCCAAAAGGTTCCCCAACAAAAACTACAAGAACCTTAGAGACAGAATCATATTTCTTTTTTTTAAACAGCTTTCAATCGTTTTCATTATGTATTGATATTTTACCATGACAAATGCTCGCCTTTTTAGTTTTTCACCGTTTTATCATCATCCCAGTCGAAAGCTTTACCAACTTCTCGTTCATGAAATTCATGATATATATGTGTGATATCAGACAGCTTAAATGCAGTAAAAAAAAGTTCAAATTTAATATTTTTACCAAAATTTTGAACAAAAGAGTTTTTAAGGAGAGACTTAGCAAGAAAAATTATTTTTTCGAAGATATTGACACCCGAGGAGATGATCTCATGGAAGTGTAGAAATCGGACTTTTTCATCGTACAATTAATAAAAAATTGTTTTATTAAAAAACAAGACGGCTCTACCAGTTTTGGTCAAAGTCTTCGGCCCAATTTCGTGAGCAAGAAAAATTAAAAATCAGCCCTTTCAAAAACCACTTTTGGTTAAATTGGTTGCTCGGTTGGCTTTTTACATTGTTGTTGCATGCCATTGCCGCGCATGAATAACTCAATAAAGATCACTCTCACAATCAATCTGTCTTATATGGATAATCCGTTTAGCTCATTCTTGTCTTAGTCAGCAAGCAGTGTGTTTGAACATAAAATTGAGAGCCATTTTGTTATTACATACAAAAAAAATTAAATTTTTTGCAAATTTTGCAGCGATGAAAAGCCCGATCTCATTACTTTTATCATTTGACTTGCATGTTTGTAGATTAATAAATATATTTGTTAAAATATTTTTTGGTCTTCAGGTTGCAGATTATGAAAACATTCCCACTGACGGTTCGGAAGAAGTAATAAAATTAACTGTATTAAAAAAATCTGAATGATTAAAAAATTTTCTTTGTAGCATTCTGACTTAAACGAATCTGGCGTTGAACCATTTGAGGACACCGTAAGTTTGCTTTTCAGACTTCACAGAAAATTTGACCCACTGGCGGGATAATTCAACCCTTTCCTTGCTCCACTCTGGAAAATATTTTTTATTAAATATTCTATAATTTTTTTTATATATATAAAAACAATCAGAACTTTACAATTATAAAATGTATGGAAATAATATAGTCTGGGAAAACATTTCAACATGTGTAAAAATCATGTTGAGGATTTGCCTAGTTCAAAATCTTCCAATCGCCTTTCATATTCACTTGGGAACGTTCATTTCAAATTTATTTTTTGTTTATGATATTCCTACTCTCAATAAAATTTCAGCCTCAAAATCTTCCTTAAATTTATGAAATCATTCCTTCGCGCCTTAAAGTTTAATAGCGATCTCTTCACTTCTGTCATTTCACCTGTTTGTTTAGATTAATTTATTTGTTAAATAATTTTTTGGTCTTCAGGTCGCAGATTCTGGCAACAAGCACACGGACGCGTCCAACGAAGTAAAATATAATTAACTGTAAAAAAACATCTGATTCATTAAACATTTTTCTTTGCAGCCGGATTCTGAGTTGTCCCAATCCGATGATGAGCCACCTGAACACTCGGTAAGTTCGCATTTTAGACTTCACAGAAATTGACCCACGGGCGGGATACTCTGCCCTTTTTTTGCTTGACACTGAAGAATGTTTTTAATTTTTTATTTATTATTCTATAATTTTTTTTGCCAACATGTTACATTTATTATCAACTTTTAAAAGCAAATTTCTTATTTGATAAAAAAATCAGCCCTTAACAATTTATAAAATGTATGGAAATAATAGAGTCTGGCAAGACATTTAAATGCCAAAAGTTGAATAAATTACTTTTATCCAGCTTTTATCAACATTATGGCACTCTAGATTTTGATGTCAAAGCTTAAAGATAAATCCACGAAAGAAAATAAATCCTTGATATTGAAGGAAAATTATGAAAAACATATGAAATAATGAAAAATTATATATTAAAAACATGATTTATTATTGTAAGCCCTTTTATCAGTGACTAATTGAAAGAATAGTGTTTAATAATTGCGAGTACTGTATATTGCTATTTTTTATACTTAGATAATGCTTGTATATTTTTTTACTCTTTTTTTTACATTTTGGTCAGAGGTCACCAAAAAGTGACAATTCTATTAGGACTACAGCTTTGGTGTCAGCAGCAAAGGTGAAGAGCGTGAAAAGTTACGTCAGAATCAGTTTAGAACGTTAATCTTACGTTATCTGTTCCAAAGTTCTAGCATATCCAAAATAATTTTTTCCCATTTTATTATGTCACAAAATTTTGGATAATGCCCCTTTTTAGAGGTCTGAAAATTTGTGTGTGGACACCCCTAGACACCCTCTCAAACATGTGTAAAAATCATGTCGAGGTTTTGCCTAGTTCAAAATCTTCCAATCGCCTTTCATATTCACTTGGGAACGTTCATTTCAAATTTATTTTTTGTTTATGATATTCCTACTCTCAATAAAATTTCAGCCTCAAAATCTTCCTTAAATTTATGAAATCATTCCTTCGCGCCTTAAAGTTTAATAGCGATCTCTTCACTTCTGTCATTTCACCTGTTTGTTTAGATTAATTTATTTGTTAAATAATTTTTTGGTCTTCAGGTCGCAGATTCTGGCAACAAGCACACGGACGTGTACAACGAAGTAAAATATAACTAACTGTAAAAAAACATCTGATTCATTAAACATTTTTCTTTGCAGCCGGATTCTGAGTTGTCCCAATCCGATGATGAGCCACTGGAAAACTCGGTAAGTTCGCATTTTAGACTTCACAGAAATTGACCCACGGGCGGGATACTCTGCCCTTTTTTTGCTTGACACTGAAGAATGTTTTTAATTTTTTATTTATTATTCTATAATTTTTTTTGCCAACATGTTACATTTATTATCAACTTTTAAAAGCAAATTTCTTATTTGATAAAAAAATCAGCCCTTAACAATTTATAAAATGTATGGAAATAATAGAGTCTGGCAAGACATTTAAATGCCAAAAGTTGAATAAATTACTTTTATCCAGCTTATATCAACATTATGGCACTTTAGATTTTGATGTCAAAGCTCAAAAACCCCGAAAGCTTATTTCCAAGAAAGGAAATAAATCCTTGATATTGAAGGAAAATTATGAAAAACGTGAAATAATGAAATATTATATGTATTAAATTACATGATTTATTATTGTAAGCCCTTTTATCAGTAATTATTTGAAAGAATAGTGTTAAATAATTGCGTGTAATGTGTATATTGCTATTGTTTGATACTCGGATTATGCTTTTAAATTTTTTGTCTTCTTTTTACCCTGCTAGTATTGCAATTATTTTTCATATTTTACATTTATTATTGTTATTATAATCTTGACGTCTGGTTTCACTATAATTAAAATATTATCTTAAAAGAAAGGAAATAAAATTTCTGAATGAAAGTTTTAGAAATTTCAAACAAAATAACTAGATAAGAAAAATTAATTTTATAATTAACAAATCAATCAATTGATAAAAAGTCAAGCTTGTCTATAAAAAGTATTAAATCACATTGTAAACTTCCTTAAATTTAAATTTGAAAATTCGTTGATTTTTTAAAATTTCTTATACTTTAATGCCAGACACCTTTAAAGCCAAAGCACAGGTCGGTTGGCAAGGGGTCGTGGATTTATTTGCAAAAAATCAGGTGAAAAGAACACAAAATTTGACGGATTTTGGCGTGGAAAAAACTCGGAAAAGTCAAAAGCTTTCCCGGAAAAACGCTACTGTAGTTTCAACTTAAAAATGGAATATCTCGGGTTCTAATTGAGATACAGAAATGCGGCTAGCACCAAAAATTTTCTTTTTACCTCCTCTTCAATCCGAGGGGTCAAATAATTTAGAGGTCAAAGGTCAAGGTCATTTTTCAGGGGTAACACGTACAAAAAAAATTCTAGCAAAAATATGCCACCTTCGATTGGGCTGAAATTTTTTTCTAAGATAGTCCTAACATGTAGGAACAACATATTAAAAATTCAGAATGGCATATTATTTAGATTTTTTATAAAAAAATCACAATGGTAAAAAAACGTGAATTTTGCTCACGATCAAAAATTTATTTTCAGAAAGTATGTATCTAAAATGGTTAATTTTATTTATTTATTGACAAAAAATTCCTAAATTTTCAAAAAATTTCTTAAAAATTCTAAAAATCAATATCCGACCATTGGCAAAATACGAAAAATTCACGTTTTTTTACCTTTGTGATTTTTTTATAAAAAATCTAAAAAATATACCATTCTGAATTTTTAATATGTTGTTCCTACATGTTAGGACTATCTAAGAAAAAAATTTCAGCACAATCGAAGGTGGCATATTTTTGCTAGAATTTTTTTTTTTTACTTGTGACCCCTGAAAAATGACCTTGACCTTTGACCTCTGGATTATTTGACTCCTCAGGATTGAAGAGGAGGTAAAAAGAAAATTTTTGGTGCTAGCCGCATTTCTGTATCTCAATTAGAACCCGAGATATTCCATTTTTAAGTTGAAACTACAGTAGCGTTTTTCCGGGAAAGCTTTTGACTTTTCCGAGTTTTTTCCACGCCAAAATCCGTCAAATTTTGTGTTCTTTTCACCTGATTTTTTGCAAATAAATCCACGACCCCTTGCCAACCGACCTGTGCTTTGGCTTGAAAGGTGTCTGCCAGATTTACACGTTTTTGTTTGAAAACAATAATTTTTAATCACATTTGTTTTCTGTTTAGAAAATTCCTGCTCTCAATAAAATTTCATCCTCTAAAATTTAGAATTAATCTTCCTTAAATTTATGGAATCATTCCTTCGCGCCCTAAAGTTTGAAAGCGATCTTACACAGTGCGGCTGCTCATAACATTGAAAGCCGTTTTTTTTTTCATAAAAAAAATTTTTTTTGCCACGATGAAAAGCCTGATCTCTTCACTTTTATCGTTTGAGTTGTTCGTAGATTAATTTATTTGTTAAAAAAATTTGATTTTCAGGTCGCAATTGGAGATAGCGAGGATGACTCTGAGGAAGTAATATAATTAACTGTCATTAGAAAATGTAATTGATTAAAAAAAATTATTTGTAGGATTTGGAGCACAACAGATCTGGTGAGAGCCTCCATGAGAATTCTGTAAGTTCTCTTTTTAGACTTAACAGAAATTGACACACCTGCGGAAAAACTCCGCCCTTCTATTGTTCCACACTGAAAAATATTGGTCACGGTCTGCAACCCTATTTCATGAGCAAGAAAAGAGCAAAAAATCGGCTCTCTTAAATGACATCCACCTTTGATTAAATAGGTTGCTCGGTTGGCTTATTACATTAATGTTGCATGCCATTGCCGCGCGTTAATTACCCAATAAAGATCACCTCTCCCAATCAATCTGCCTTTATAGCTAGCTCATTCTTATCTTAGTCAGCAAGCAGTGTGTTTGCTCATGAAACGGAGGGCCGTTTTGTTTTTGAATAAAAAAGTTTTTGCAACAATGAAAAGCCCGATCTCTTACTTTTATCATTTAAGCTGTTTTTTTTTTCTTTTTTTTTTAGATTAATAAAATATATTTGTAAAAATATTTTTTGGTCTTCAGGTTGCAGATTTTGACAATGAGAATGATAAAAATTTTCTTTGTAGGACTCTGACCTGAATGAATCTGATGTTGAACATCTTGAAGATGACGTAAGTTCGCTTTTATATTATATAGTATTCCATAAATTTATTTTTTACTGACATTTATTATCAATTTTTAAAATTTTTAATATTTAAAAAATCCGCACTTTACAATTATAACATGTATGAAATAATAGAGTCTGAGAAAACATTTAAATGCCAAAGCTTAATTTTATTATGACAAAATTACTTTTATCAACAGTATGGTACTCTGGATATTGATGTCAAAGCTCAAAGATAAATATCCATACAAGGAAATATATCCTTGATATTGAATGAAAAATATATTAAATAACGAAAAATTATAATAAATCACATGATTTATAATTGTAAGCCCTATTATTAGTAACTGTCTGAAAGAAAAATGTTAATTAATTTTGAGTACTGTATATTGCATTTGTTTGATACTCGGATTGTGCCTCTTTTTCTCTCACTTTTTTGTCCAGACAGTATCGCATTAATTTTTCGTTTTTTCATTCATCATAGATATTAAAATTATCCTAACGTCCAGTCCCAATATTATCAAAACTATTATCCCATGAGAAAGGAAATAAAATATCCTCTGAACAAAAGTTTTAGAGTTTAAACAATATTACTAGATAAGAAAAATTAATGTTAATAAGCTAATCAATCAATCAATTGATACAAATTCAAACTTGACTGAAAAAATCACATTGTGAACATCCTTTTATTTAAATCTACTTTTGAGAATTTCCTTTAATTTATAAAAATTTTCAAAAGGCTGAATGGTTTTCCAATTATTTTTACTTTAAATGGCAGCTTTATATATAATTTATGTTCTTGTTTTAAAACAAAATTTTTATTTTATTGCAAATTTTTTTTGTTTATACAATTCTAACAACTCTTAATAAAATTTCGGCCTCTAAATCTTTTTTAAATTTATGGAATCATTCATTTGCGCCTTTGAAAGTTGTTGAAAGTGATCTTGCTCATGCTCGAATGCAGCCAAGCACTGTATGTTGCAACGCCGCGTGGTACTTCTGTCCATTTAGAGAAAAAAAACTACCGTCCAAAAAACTATTGTACTTTCTTCGCACACCACATATCATCCGCGATCCGCGCGGCGTATTGCACCTTCAAGCGCACCCTTTTACAAAGACGAAGACCGCAACCGCGCAAATCACGTTCAAATTCAAAATATAGCTCTTGAGTGTGTAATTATACATTAGAAATCTGGTTAATTAAATCTGTTGATGAAAACGGTTCTTGCTTAATTGACGAATGGTTCTTTTAGTTCTTTGCACAATCGCGTATTGCCAAGTCCGGCCTTGCTCATCTTATTTGCTCGTACACGATAAAGATCTGCCCAAATGAGTGAGTTCTACTTGGTTTGATTGTATAACCCTGCCTTTTTATAATCCGGGCAACACCTCCGTATTATCCTCATAAGGGTGAATTAATCTGCCGCAGTAATTTGCTAAAATATTAAATCTTTGCACGCCTCGAGTTAAGCGCCTCAGCTGTCATGCTATGAGTGAGCAAAAAACCTCGGCGTGCCCCTAAACTGAACTCAAAATAATTATACATTTTCCCCCTGCAGCACACCGGCATATTTTCCTCTTTTTAAGGCGGTGGAACTCTGCTGGGCCGGTCCTCCATGGAGCGTCCCAGCGGTTGCCATGGCACCCCTCATTTGGCGCTTTCAACCGACCCCCTTTTCTCGTCACAAAGGTGACCACTCCGGCCTCTTATAGTTTCAAATCGTCTTATATGCCAGGCGAAAGAGTTTTAAGGCAAATCAACACTTACACTTGAATTAACGATCAAGATATTTAAATGACTCTATTACAGACTCGAATTTGGTGGAAGAAAATTAACCCGCTAAACTCACATTCTCGAAGTTAATGATAAATCTGAATATATCTGGTTAACAAATTTTAAAAAGCAATCAAGCAATTTTTTATTATTTGTGTCATATAGGAGTAATTATGTCTGGAGAATATTGCTTAAATGATTTAAATTAATAATATTTTGAAGGACGACGAACAGGACAGCAGTGGCTCGGAATCGGAATCGGAGACCGAGGTGATTTAAGATAATGTGAGGGAAAAACAACTTCTGTATTTAATGTGCTTGCTTTTATGTTATCAGTTCAACATGGTAGCTCATACTGACCGACGAGTTCTGTCACTGCTCTCCAAAAAGACCAAAGTCAGGTGAGAAATTTAATATTTTTCAAGGAACTTATGGGTTTTTATAATATGTAAATATGGAATAGTTTAAGACAAGTTGAATGACTGGTCAAAGTAAACTAGTAACATTTTTAAAACTTCCTGATATGTAGCTATCAGGTTTGTTTAAAAAAAAAACAGCTGAGGTAGAATGAAAGAAATGTCGCAAAAAGTAAATTAATTATAGCTGAGCTCTTCTACTATTTGCGTGATCAGAACGCACATTGAAGGTGTGCGTGACAATTTGTGACCCTTGAGAATCTGGCTTGCATAAAAGACTTAATCGGGAACTTCCACGTCTTGAACAAAGCTTTTACAATTAAACTGATTGTTAGTTATGAATTAACAGTTCAATACTTTATTGCGTATATAAGCGAAAATAATTTATTTTCGGCCGTTAAATGCCATTCATTTGATCCAAGACAGATAATTAATTCATAAAGAAATAAATTTTGATTTTTTTTTAAATTAAGAATTTTTTTAATTGAATTGGCCAATTTAGTCATTCAATTTCGCGCTAATTATTTATTTAAAATCTGAATTATTAATATTTACGTATATTATATTTTACAAAAACGTATTATTATATGTAATCAATAATAAATAATGAAATCAACACGTGTTTTTCACACCCTCCACCACACCGCCCAAAACCTCTGATGTAGTATTTATTACTGTATGTGTAATAAAAATTGGATAGTCTAGCGCTCTCGCGGTGAGTCCAGTGAAAAGGGGCGCGTGCTGTCTGCGTTTTCGAAGTGGGTGCGTTATTTCTATTACGAATTTAAGGCAAGATCGCATTTGGCATGTCTTGCTGGTCACAGCAAGGGCTGGTGGCTATTTGTTGTCGTTTTACGATGGCAAACTTGATTAAAAAAAAAAATTAAACTAATTTTTAACAAACACCCCCACTTATTTGATTTTTTGAGGAATAGGAAAAATAATATAATATAACGCGTCTAAATTAGAATGGAAATGGAAAAATTCAAAAGCGCGTAATTTTTTTATAATAAAATGAATAAATGAAAATGTTTTAAAGCGCGCACTCTTCAAATGTAACCTGATAGCGCACTGCTCGGATTAAGTTGGCTTAATATTTAATTGCAAACGGAAAAAAATAGCACACCATTTAGTTGTTTACCATTCTTCAAAATTCTAAATTTTTCCTATATATTGCAAAATAGCTGAAAGGGTCTTCAGTATCAATAATTTGTCTCACAGGCAAAATTTTATATGAAAACGTGTTTTGTCATAATGACGTTTTGTCATTGTCGTGCGTCTCAAAATTCGACTATTTAAGTTATTTTTAATATTTTATCTAATTTAAATTAACCTTATTTTATAGCCTTTTGAAAATATTGTGTTCAACTTCAAAAACATTTTGGTACTTATAAACGCGTCCCCATATTTTGAAAATTTATTTTGTCTGAAGTGTTTTTCATCGACATTTAATTTTACACTACAATTAAATTTCAATTTTTAACCTTTTATTGTATTATATTTTTCTTTATTTTTTCCATGATTACTTTATTATTGTCTTGCAAAATATACTTCAAATTAAAATTTGTAAATCTGTAAATTAATTGCTAATTAATATAAATTTTATTTTTGGAATCTGCATAAAAAAATCAATCATTATTATTATTTATTCTTCTCGGACCATACAAAAATTTAAATTTAAATGGGAAAAAAGAGAAGAAAGGGTATATAACAAGCTAAAACGCCCGACATCAAAACAGACACGGCCGCCGTGGTAAATCCACACTATCGAAAAAAAAGAACGATATCTCAAACACTTTAAAATCTTCATCTTGAATTACTGCCACAAATGCTGGTAATTCTTTAATGAATTTTGTACGACGTCATGCTAAATAACTTTTTTTAAATAATTTTGCATCATTTCGTGGATCTGAAATAAGTTTTATTAATAAAAAGTAGAATAAAACAACTCAAATTAATAATTTTTTAATTTTTTAAACAATTTTCCTTTTGAAGGAAAATCCAATCTTTTTGAAGTAGCTTATTTGTCGATAGTTTATTGGCACAAAGTATTTTATAAAAATTTGGATGAATTAAGAGCTATAAGCTTAAATAATAATATTATAAAAAAAATTACCTATTTAACTTTAAATGTAGAAAAACAGGTATTTTAAGAACTAATGTTGAAAGGAAATTTATAAATTATTGTTTATTATTATTTTAATTTCATTTAAATATTTTTTGTCACATTGCATTCTTCAAACCAATTTTATAAGTTAAATATATATATGTCAAAGTATATTTTAAAAGTGTCCTCTTGAACGAAAGAGGTTAAAGATTTTTTTAATAAAAATATATCCAGATTGCTCTATTTTGGCATATCCCTAAGATATTATAAATTATAATACTATATGGAAGTACAAATGTAAACTTTAATTCAAGGCTAATTGAATGGCTACTTCAATAAATTTTTTAACGTGCAGCATACATTTTACAAAATGGAGTTTGATTGATATTTTTGAAAATTTCCATAATAACAAAAATATAAAATGTTGCAACTCTAGGCAAAGTTATAAAATTTGTCTAGAAGAGAAATTATATCCGTAAAATTTTTTTACAAACACTAAAACCTGAAATACTCATATTTTTTTCCACGCAATATATCCTGAGAAGTCTATTTATATGCATATTAACCTGCAGTTTTTTTCTTCATTCATTAATATTTCCACTTTTAAATTTAGCACATTCATCGGTGGTGTGACAAAGATCGTCGTAGGGGATGGAAATGAACATAAATTTTCACTGATCAACAAAAGGAAGCTGCAACTCCCCGACGATGTTGTGACCCATATAATTGGTAAAATTAGATTTTATAAATATTGCTGGATTCTTAATTTTTTTTATTTTTTATTTTTTTATTTTTAGATATTGTGCAACAACTGGTTAATGTTGAGGATAGTGACGCTGAAATCGCTGATGACCAAACTATCAAAAAAACAATTGAGGGTCACCTGAAATACGAGGGAGAAAAGCAGAAAAAGGATGTTCAACTAGGTAGTTATCATAGAAAAATTTTAAAAAGTGCCTTATTATTAATGCTGTGCCCCTCTCATTTGAAGGTCGCATGGAGCAGAAGTTGAAAGGCCTGCTTAAAAAAAAGCGTCCTGTCGCAACAGTGGCTTTGAAAATGAAGAAAATGTCAAGAAAAACAAGCCTCAAGGACTTTGATGTCATCTCCCTCATCTGGAATGAAGTCATGTCACAAACAGATGAGAGTGGAAATAAGGAAAACGTCTGTGAGCTGGCCTTAGAGAACTTGAGCACATTTTCCCCTCTGTTTGATGAATTCACATCGTCCGTCCAAGCCCAGCTACGATTGATGTTTAAAGTCCAAGAGTTTTGTCACAAGAACAACAAATTTGCTGGAATTTTTGGAAAGATCATACGACTGTTTTATGACGAAATTGGTTTATCAAACGCTGTCATTTTGCAATTTTACTACTCGGCAAAAACAAAGACCGTTTTTCGAGCGCAAATGAAAAAGCTAATCAACAAGATTGAACCTGCCAGGGAGTCCGAGTCTGAGGATGAAGAAAACTAACATTTCTGGATGCAGTTTTGCCAAACCTTGATGCTTTTCATCCGCCTTCGGGCAGACCTTCAAGTACCACTCAATCATCCTGGCTACTGCCAGCTGCTACCTCTAGAGCACCTGCTGTTCCAGAAGACTGATGACGAACAAAAACTGAACTTCACTAAGGACCAACTGTCCCCAACAATCTTAAACTTAATCATGAGGTTATTTTGTGTCTAACGACCTTTTTAAAATATGAATTTATTTTTGATTATAAATTTTCAGACACATTTATGGAAACATGTCTATATTTCCTGGGCCTGAGGTTGGCGTGTAAATGTGCCGCACGGCTCATGCTTGGAAGTTGCCTGTGCTGGCCGAGGAGGCTGAAAATTACCGGACCACACAAACTGGACCTGACCATTACATGTTTGCCAAGCCGTATAATTAGATGAAGTGCCAGTGTTTTGTGAGGGTAAATGAAGATAAATTTTTTTATTATTTAAGAATAATCCGTAATTAGATGTTTTATTAAGATTATAAATTTATAGTAACTAGCTAATTTATTTAAAAAAAGAGCTTAGCCCTTTTATAAATGGACCTGATTATTCATTTTTACGATTTAAAATTTAAATTGCAGATCATGCAGAGATACACTGAAAACAAAATACTGGGTGTAAGTCTCCAAGAACATAGTCAAGGAAGTGTTGTGCTGCTGCTCAGGAATGCTCAGCGTCAAGCAACGCTTTGAATCCCTCTGCAAATAGGGCAACGTTCAGGTCATTTTTGAAACTGGCGTGGGCAACAACGCCCAGGTCCCAGAAAATGTTAACACCCTCCTGTCACATGTTGGCTTTGAAACCTTCAATGTAAAAAATTTTCCATGCTCTGGAGAAGCTCCTCTCGCCCACTGAAAGGCTTGTGTATTTTGATGCTCAATGTGTGAACATTATTTTTATTTTCCGACAGTCTAAACAAAAACCTTATTTCATATTATTGTCAAGCTATTTTCAACACACTCCTTTTTGTACTCATATTTTTAATATTTTTATCATGCATTCAATTAAAAATATATTGTGCCCTAATAGGGGAATGAATTAATGTTCTAACTTTCCTTTATAATCTTTCACATCTTTCAATTAATTATAAAAAGACTCCACAGATCTGATGATTATGCATCTAGTGATAGATTTTAAGCTGCCATATTGGTAAATGAATAAACTTTTCCAAAATTTGTTGTGGAGTAAAAATCAGGATTCAACTCTTTCCCTGCATTGTAATATTTCAAATTAAAATCTAAATAGAAAGTATGCAGCTTGCTTGGCATTTGCGTTGTACTGGTTGCATATCCAAGAATAAACCAAGTCGACTTTTTATTATGGAGGAAAAATATAAAAGACAACTGCTAATCTGCAAATTTATGCTGTCAATGATATTCCTCTATGAAGACAAGATTTTTATTAAATATTAATTAAATTCGTTGAGAAATTCTTTGCAGGCAAAAAAGCGTGTGTATTTAATAATAGTTTATCAGAGTAAACATATATGACCTCATCAATTAGGGTCAAAAGACTTTTAAAGTTTTTTTATGTTTTCAAAATATTTTTGATAAACCACGACGAGTTTCAAAAATTTCTATTATTACTAGCAAAAGGCTTTGATGTTATGTTATTTACGATGATACGAGAGCTATCCCACATATTCCTTGGAGTGTCAGAACACTACGCACACCAGTCACCAACATTGAAAAGAAAACAATCGTATTGAGATAAATAAAGAGCACCGTTTCCTGCCAGTTAGTTCATAATATCTCATCATCACAACAGAAGCTGTAAAAGTAGTGGCGTATATAGCTGGTGTTGGCCTATTTTATTAAAATTTAATTATTTAACAAATAAAAGTCTGACACCAAAATATATTTAAATCAACTTCACGGCTCGGCCCATATAATCCGACACAGGTGCTAGAAATGGCACTATATGATTGTGACTATTTAAGTAATCTTCATATTATACTTTTAATTGGTCGGGAGTGCTGTGAATTATATGGGGTTATATAAAAGCCAGACCTGAAAGTGAAGTTCCTACAAAGTTCTTATTGAAGCGTAGGTACGCAGTACGCATTCTTCACTTGGGTATTTTCATTTTAATAAAAGCGCCAATCCATTTTTATTAAAAGGTGGCGCGAGAGGCGAGAGATCTTCCTGGCGTCTTCTTTTTTCGTGTGTGGTGTGCTCGCTGAGCGCGTGCACTCATTAAAAATAAACAATGAATTTCAATTTTCGCTTTTAAACATAAACACGATGGATTTTTATTTTAATGCTGTCCTAAATAATTTTTTCATTTCCCAAAAAAATGTATTGACCAGAAAATGCATTTTTTGTCCTAAATCATTTCCCCAAAAAATACTCAATATATAATTCTAGACAATTTTCACAAAGGTACAAATCTATTTAAAATTGATGCAGACTTTAAAACAGCAACACAGATCTGATGCTCATGGCCGTGACTTTGCCAGTGGCGGCGTTTTGTAGTGTGTGGCCTATGTAGAAATTTACATTTTTTACTAAACAATTTTCAAATTTTTTTAGTAATTCTTATTATTATTTTTCAAACAATAATATTTTATGAATAAGGTGAGAAAAATTTATTAATGATTTATCTTATGCTTTAGACAAATTAAAATAATAATCAATCATCAAACGTCATCAATTTCCTAACATTTCAAAACTCAAAACATGCAGTTCTGTAGTTTCTACAAGCAAATCACTAATTCTTTTTCAATGTTTTTTTTATTGTGCGTTTTAGAGAGTGATAAATATTTTAAAACTTTTTTGAGATGGGCAAATTTGTATTTAGTTTTTTTTAATATCTTTCCGATAAAATAGTCGGTGTTTAGACACTTTTGTTTTTTCGCCGTCGATGCAGGTGGACAAAAATTCATTTAGAGGTGACTAGAAGTGATTAGAATTGGGCTGTCCGCAAGATTTTGCCAATGTTTATTGTTCTTATCACTATTCACAAATTTGTTGGAGAGGAAAGCTCACGTCGCTATGTTTTTAATTTACTGGCTTCATACAGTCTGATGAATCGACGGAGCATTTTCATTGTCAAATATTATAATATTGGGGACTAACCATGCTCTGTTTGATACACATCCATGGCTTTTGTACTGAACGCAAAGAAAACTAAAAATAGATACAGTACAATAATTAATTTTGAAATTAATCATTAGAATTAAAAATAGACTCACTCAAGACCACGACATTGAGCGCAGTGTACAGGAAGTGGTGTTTGTAAAGCGATATCAAGAGTACCAAACCTCTGTAGGGAATGAACATAAAGATCATAGAGCGCAACCACCAAAGGATTTTTGCTGCGCTGTCCTGTAGTAAATTTTCAGAATATTAACTTGTTCCAATTTAACATTTATTAAATAACTCACTGAATTTATTCCAGATATAAAAATGAGCTGAAAAGCGGCACACGCGATGTTAACAACTGCAGCCATCCAACAAAGGTGTATATCACAATTTCAGAATCTAAAATTTCACAGTAAGTTCAAGCAGGAAAAATTAAATTATATTAAGCTCAAAGCTCACCACTAAATAATGGCACGAAGCAAACGTGGGGCACGTACCACAGATCAAAGAAAACCCAAGCCTGCAAAATTTATCAAAATTATGTATTGATTTATTCTCCATTATTTTTTATTTAAGTACAAGATTACAGCAACTAGATACAGGTTAATGAATATAAATTTTTTTTAAATGAAGTATTGATTCAAAGCGCTAATACGAAATATGAAAATAAATAATTTAAAAAAAAACTTACGATATTCACCAAGGCAATTATATAAGCGCCGTGACAAGTCGCAATTTTGAAATTTAGTGCAGAAGTAGCCAGTTTGGATATTTTTTTAATATTACTTATTTTATAAAATATCTTTTATTTTCAATCAGCATCTAATTTAAAAATGGCTCTATTGAAATTAACAGTAGCTTTTTATTTACAAATAAAATTGATGTTAACAATAATTTATTTACGAAGAAAAAATAATGAAATAAAATGCCAAGCAAAAAATTTGTTATCAATTTCCTCTGACGGGGGGATTTTGCTGTCGCTATCGCGCGGCACCAATTCAATCGCTTTTCCGCGTCAATGGACCAAATTTCTGTTGTTGGCTGTTAAGCTTCAATAGGCATAAGATTCTCTTTGTCGTCATGCACAGAGCAGAAAAACAGCGCCGCATCAATACAACTACCATGGAATTGAATTGGCAATTGAAGTAAGGCACACTATCTCGTTTAAATTAAAAACTATTCACGGTTTGATTACTTTTTTTAATATAACAAATATGTTGTCAAATTTAGTTCATCTTTTGTGTTCTCATTAAAAGTCAAATATTTTGTTTTGCGATAAGAATTGAAAGAAGTGATCAATTTTATACCCGAATTTAGCAGACAACCCTTTAGTAACTACAGTCTATATAAATTTGTAAGTCCGTTATGACTACACTCGAATCCCCATTACTCAGAACATTCTATCACTTTTTCCCCATATTGTCAGGCGGAAATGATCGTCGCCCACACAGTCTGAACTCTGAAATGAACAATTATGTTCGCACGAATAAAATAAATATCATTGAGGTAGCAAAAGGAGATTGTGAAAATTTCATGTTTGAATATTTCTAAATAAAAAAGAAAGTTTGGAAACATTTTATTTGGAACTATTTTTTCACTCACAAACTTGTGTATCTCTACAAAAATCCACTATAATATAATATAGATGTGTGTATATGAATACATATGAAAGTAAAAATAATTAATTCATGCACTTTAAAATTTTCATTACTTTTATGATATTTTAATAGGTTATTGTCCCTACTGTATATTACAATGACTATTGATGCGATACAAGAAGTAGCGTATTGCTATAAAACTAAATTTGGATGTTGTGATCAAAACATGGTGACACCAGCCCACGGACCCAACGGAGAGGGCTGCTGCATCAGCTCTAAATTTGGTTGTTGCCCAGACAACATTTTGCCAGCGGTTGGACCTAATCTTGAAGGTAGAATATATAAGTAATCTAATAAATTAACTCAAAGTTTCAAATGAACTCAATAAAAGATCATTAAACATGAATATTATCAAATGTGTTAAAAGAAGACACCATATGAAAATTAAGCTCTTTTTTCAGGCTGTGAATGTTCAAAAGCAAAATTTGGCTGCTGCCCAAATGGTGTTGACTATGCCAAAGGCTTGAACAGAGATGGTTGCGGCTGCCAGTATACAACACATGGCTGCTGCCCTGACGGAGTTTCTGAGGCCAAGGGAGAAATGTTTGAAGAATGCGCCGACGCATCTAAATTCTCTGGAGGTACTAATAATAGAATTTATAGATAATAATTAAAATTAGAGAAAAAAAAATTTTAATCTTTCTATAACCTGTAAAGTGTAATACCTATGAGAGACTAAGATATTCATATCATATATAAATTTTATTTTTGCTCTAATTTATTGGAATTTTTCGTTTTGATGTCTTGATTTTTGTATGAAAATTATACACAAAATCCATATATTTTTTCTAATTGTGTAGAGGCTTGTGATCTACAAAAAGATAGAGGAACGTGCAAAAATTTCACTATCATGTGGTTCTTTGACTCTGTATATGGTGCATGCTCGAGATTCTGGTATGGTGGCTGTAATGGCAATAATAACAGGTTCAACTCTGCTGAAGATTGCAGAAAGGCCTGCGTTGAACCTGAGGGCCGAGGTACGATTATAAGTTATTTTCTTTTTCATTGTTTCCATGATGCGTAAATTTTTTTCTTTTTATTAGTCGCAAAATTTCCTGACATTTAAGGGGGAGTATCATCACTTTTAATCATTTTATCATATTAATGCACGTTGGGAAAAATATTCGAGAATTGGTGGCTTACAATTTCCATGACAAACCCATTTATGTTTGACTGCGCCCCTCTGGTTATATTCAAATAATTTTAATTATGTAATATATCTTTTTCCTGAAATCCAATTTTTTTTTTAAATAGACGCATGTTTTCTGCCAAAAATTCCTGGACCATGCGAGGGTTACAACCCTACTTGGTACTTTGACAGTGACACCAAACGCTGCAGCGAGTTCATTTACGGAGGCTGCTTGGGTAACAATAACAAGTTCGATATTATAGAAGAGTGCCAGCAAATGTGCGAATATGTCGAAATAAAAGATCTTAAACAAGACCGGTCAATTCTTAATGGTCTCAACTCAAGTCCAAGAAGAGGTATGAGAAATTTGAATCATATGTTTAACTAAGCAAAGAATAATAAATTTTTCATTAACCTCAAAAAATGAGGGCGCAAAAATGTCAATGATTGTCAATTTTGTTATATTATAATTATAATAATAATATATAATAATTATAATATAATTACAATAATAATATATAATAATTATAATATTTACAGTTATTATTATTTTAAAGCAACTTGGTCCTGCACTATATGTTTTTTTTTTATTTCTGTACAAATTCCTTAAATCTCAGCATTTTAGTTCTCCCTATAACATATCTGTGTGTGCAGATGCAGATGTTTGTCAAGAGACTGCGTCTTTCCCTTATGATGTTGGAAACAGAGATGTAAAATTATTGGCACTCTGGATGTTTGATACAAAAGCGAAGCGTTGCTTGCCTTTCTACAAAGAGTTACGTTTACCAATCCGTCGCAACAATAGTCAAACACCATTTGATGACAATTACTACAACATGAGCGTTCAAAACCAAAGTAAGAAAAATAAGTTTGGTATATGTATGCCTTGCGTTGGATTGGAAATTGTGCCGTTCAAAGCGGTTGGCGGCTTTTCAGTTTTCATTCTAGTTTGGCTTCTCTATTATTAAAGAAAAAAACGGTACTATTATAATCATAGCATAATTATTTTTCCTCATTAGATATGAGGTCAAAGTACATTGAAATTTCACCACATAAATATTGTTTACTTAAAGTGGCAAAGTAAATTGAAAATAAATAAAAAAAATACTAGAGAGGAAATTTTCACGATTCATAAAAAAAGATACCTTTTAGATTAGTTAGATCACTACTCACTTTCAGGCCCATGTTGGCTGCCTAGAGACTCAAAGGCGTGTGAACAATATGAAATCCAGTATTTCTATGACTCGAGCACCGACTCGTGCCACTCAACAAGTGCTGGCGAATGCCTGTGGAACGCAAATCGCTTTCATAGCAAAGATCAATGTGAGCAGAGGTGTCGTCAAGATGTCCATGTTTCAACACAATTGAGTAATTAAATGATTAAAAATAAAATGTTTGCGACACATTTTAGGGGCAATCATAAATTATAATCGAAATTATCATAAATTGATTTTAATTTAGGATCAACGACTGTTGAGAACAAATGCAAACTTATTCCCGATTCAGGCGATTGCAGCGAAGAGGTTTTGGCCTGGTTCTACAGTGCTAGTGAAAATTTATGTCATGCGTTCATTTACACAGGCTGCGGGGGAAACAGCAACCGCTTTGAATCCAAGCTTGACTGCCAAAAATCGTGCTCTCGAAAAAAAGGTACAATATAGCGATGCAACTTTTGACAAATAAATTTTGATCATCTTTTAACTCTAAAATCTAAATTTTGCTTTTCTATCAGATTTTTGCAAGCTGCCTATTGAGACAGGAACTTGTGACGAAATCCACAGTCGGTTTTACTTTGATTTGGAAAAAGGCGAGTGCAAAAACTTCAATTACTCTGGTTGTGGAGGAAATCGAAACAACTTTTTTGATGTGGACTCGTGCATATACTATTGTGGTAGCAAAAAAGACTGTTCTAACTACATATTTATCAGCGAAAAGAAGTGCACCAGCAAGTTCCCACTAGCTTGGGGTATGAATATCATATAATAAAAACAACCACCCTCTTCATACTAAATCTAATGCCGCACAAAGTCTCTCACCAATATCACCATACTATATTTTATAGTGTTGTACTTGAGATATTAGACTGTCTCAGAGTACATACATATTTTGAGCCATAAAAAGATCCGCGCTTAAGGGAGTGCGAGAGACTTGAAATGTGCATACATATTTTATTATTATTAAATTATGTAGCGCATTCTGTATTTAACAGTCAAAACCGAAAGAACAGAACAGTACAGAAGATTATTGTAAATAGCCTATAGATGTTATAAAAATGAAATTATTGTTGTTGTTTATTTGTCCAAATTGTTACATCACATTGTTTACATATGATTGATATGATGTAAGAATTTGGACAAATAAACAACAATAATAATTTTATTTTTTCAATAACATGCTCAAACATGCTAATTAGAAAGGAAAAATTTATATCAAAGTGTTTCATGCAATAGCTATTTTGGAAAAGGCGGTCAGTATTTTCAAAAATTTGCTCCAAATTTTACTCAATTATCTAATTGAGCATCTCAATTTTTATTTTCTCTATATGTGTTCAGAGATCATTTGATGAGCACTGTTTGATTAATTTTGGGTTTTTAAATTAATTCTTTTTCATGCCTATTGCCATTTAAGAGTCAAAATTAACGTTTCAGATCCCACTGTGCGCGTTGTTGCAGAGGGAGGTGAGTGCACCCTTAGATGCAGTTTGAACAGTGGCATCCCACATCCTGAACTAATTTGGAGGAAGGGCGCAAATAATCATGTAAAATTTTTTTGCACTTCAAAATTTACGTGATCCTTATTTCTCTCGTAATAACCAGATAAATGGTTCTCTTGGCAGACATCGTCTTTTGCCTGACGGTTCTCTGCAGATAATTGGCGTAACTAGTGATGATGCTGGAAATTACACTTGCTCCGCTAAAAATGGAGTTTCTACACGAATTCAACTAGAAGTGAAAGGTTAGGATCAAAAACTTCAAACTATTTTTTCTTTTTCTCACAAAAAGCTTGAAATTAACTTAATGCCGCAACAATTATATATTTTTTTTTTTTTAAATTAAATATAACTAAACTTCCCGTTAAATTTTAAATCGAATTTTGAGGTTTTTTATTCGTATTATACTTTTGGCGGTTTATATCTGACTTTTCTTTGCTTGTGTTGAATTAACCGTTGCTCTCGAAAATTTCAATAAAAACAATAAAGCACGGAAGGTTTTTAGTTTTTTGACATGAAAAATTAATATTTTCGATAAAAGGAAACAAAGTAATATTAATATTATTTATATTAACATTATACTGGCCTAATACATATTTTCAAAGTTGCTCTGGGAGATTTATTTTTATAAAAAAAATTTAAAAGCGGAAAGAAAATTATGTTTGAGAGTATGTTTAATAATTTATGGAGCTATTTATTGCACTAATGTAATTATTTATATATATTAATATCTTTGTAATTGGCCTTCTGTTCTGTTTAACACAAATTTCATGAATGTGAAATGGAATCTGCTTTAAATTTGGTTTCAAAAATCTTCTTTTAATATATAATACTCCTCTGAACCTTTATTAATATATTTTATACTTGATAAAATATTTAAAAAATTCCCAATGCAAAGTTAAATAATCATTGATTTAAATTTCAAACCAATTAAAGGAGTAAGCAGAATTCAGAATTCTCATATTGTCAAGATGCGAAATTTTGCTTCCATACTTCATTCTGCCGTACTTTAAGAATTATAATTCTCATTTTAAATTACGCAAATTTATGTAAGAGCGCCATTTTAAAATTTTTTAAATGTTGCTTTTGTTACTTTTTTTGCACGCATTTGAATAAATTTTCACATTATTTTCTTCAAAGATGGTTTGGTGACAGCTGCCGACGTCGTCAGGGTCAATCCTTACATGCAAGTACACCTGAACTCGCCTGCCATCCTGCACTGCTACGCAATGGGCTGGCCGCGGCCTTCTGTGACGTGGTGGCGTGGCGAACGCATGGTTCCGATGGCCAGCAAGGGACATCAGCAGTATCTCAATGACTTCACCCTGCTCATCAAATCGGTCACTCCTGAGGACCTCGGACCCTACACCTGTCTGGCCTACAACGGCATGGGAAAGGCTACGTCGTGGACGATCACAGTGCAGGGCTACAAAGCAGCAGATGCCATCTTCTTGGGCTCGGAGGATTACTTCCAGTATCTGGTCGAACCATTTGAACCTGACCATTCTAAAATGACACTTCCAGCAACTACACCACTTTTTAGAGGTATGAAAAGTTGAGTCACTTGATGGCTCTATCTTTTTTTTTTAAATTCTATAAAAAAACTATTTCCCCTTTGGCATCATTTTAATTTATTGCTATCTGTTATTTGTTTTCAAACTTAATAATCATTTCATAATTCTTAATGTTCGTCCAACTACACTTAACAAATCATGTAATTAAAATAAATAATATTAATATCTTGTCCCACAATATTTTTTAACAAACAAAAGATCACCCAAAGATTTTTTTGTTTAGGGGTTATTTGACTTGCTCCGAAAATAAAATACATGTTTTATTTTTATCTTTTTTAGATTCAATGAATGACATCAAACGTTATCAAAGAATTAAATTTTACTAAAAAAAATTAACGCTCTGGTTCGTTGTTAAAATTACCTTCGTGCCCTCAATAATTATTTTCCTTCTTGATGCATGGCAAAATTAAGTTAATAAACCAGCCTTTCTCTTGAAAACCAAACAATAAATCGAGATGTAATACAAAAACGGTTTGCAACAACACACTGTCGGACTAGAACTCATTATATTGACAATTGACAAGCTGCGCTCTTTTTCAAATTAAATATTTTTAACCATTTAATACAATTTTAAAAGAACAGCATACCATTATAAAGGCAGCTGATCACTAAATATGCAGTGATGAGCTATTAATTTGTCCAATATATTGCAGTGCCTGTAAGAGTCAAACTGACGTCACCAAGAACTTTGTATGCAGTTTACACAAATTTGGCAATCCATTGTGATGTAAAAGGCTACCCCATTCCGCAAGTTGCTTGGTTCAAGGACGGCCAGCAACTTGAGGCTAGTACTGAGCGAACGCAGATCTCAGGTAAAATTAGCATAGAATTTAAAATTTGATCTGACATCTATTTATTCCATTTGTAAAAGATATATATATATATATATATATATATATATATATATATATATATATATATATATATATATGTATATATATATATATGTATATATATATATATATGTATATATATATATATATATATATAATATAATAGCAATATAAAAGCAAAAAAATTACTTATTTTTCCCAGACAGTGTGCAACCCGCAACCAAAAGTCTAAATAGCCGAAATGTAGCTTGGTTCTTTGGCAAAACACCCCTAAAATTTCAAAATTTTTCCTCCAGCCGTTTTTCCACAATCGCCGATTTTCCCGACCCCTTTTGGGAAAAATAAAACTTTTCCGGAAAGGCATGTGTGATGCATCATTCGATTTGGCACATCAAGGAGATGCTAGAAATAAATTTTTATCAAAATCGGAGCATTTTTCCAATTTTCAGGGCAGTTTTCGTTCATTAAAAAATATTGGAAATTCAAACTGCCCTGAAAATTGGAAAAATGCTCCGATTTTGATAAAAATTTATTTCTAGCATCTCCTTGATGTGCCAAATCGAATGATGCATCACACATGCCTTTCCGGAAAAGTTTTTTGTTGTGGAAAAACAGCTGGAGGAAAAGTTTTGAAATTTTAGGGGTGTCTTGCCAAAGAACCGAGCTACATTTTGGCTATTTAGACTTTTGGTTGCGGGTTGCACACTCTCTGGGAAAAATAAGTAATTTTTTTGCTTCACTTTTCCGGAAAATCAGCCAGTGTTGGAAAGTTAGTGTTCAAAGACAAAAGATAGGAAATTTAATCAGCTTTCAGAATCACTTGTTTTGTCTTTTGCTTCAGTAGAAGTTGAGATATTGAGTAAAACGTGGACCCCTTGTGAAAATGGGTTATTTTCCGGAAAATAACAAGTATGGAAAAATTAAGTTGTTGTACTGCTCATGAACTACCCCTCCAGCAATTTTCTAATTTTTATCTCCACGCGCTAATTTTTTTGGCACATTTTGCAAGTAATTAAAAATGAAGGGCAAAAATTAGAAATACTAAGAAATTTGAAAAACTAACCCCGGATTCGTGTTCAGGAGGGTCAATTACCCTAGAAAACATGTTTCACACTTTTAACTTCGCATACCCATTTTTCTACTACACGGGCGCTCCCATAAGGCAACTTGGCAGTTTTTGGTTTTCCTGGAAAATCTATTGGATTTTCAAATATGCGAAAGTTCTCATTGTGCCAGTCAAAAACTTGTGAAGTTGGGCTTTCAGAATCCGCCGAGAAATCAAAATTGGTCCATCCGTTTGCTTTTGGCGAGCTTTTGAAAACCTCCAAGTATTTATGGGCCACCCTGTATTAATATCTGTTATGTTTCTCGAGCATTCATATTAAATTTTTAATAATACTAATAGGAAATGAATAAGTAAAAAATCAATTATCATAAAATTTTTAAATCAGAATCATCAATTTCATTTATTACATTAATAATTTTTCCGGTTTTCCAGAAAAAGCCTTGTTCATCAAGATGGTTGAATTCACGGATGCTGGCGCTTACAAATGTGAAGCTAGAAATGAGAATAGCTACGACAGTGGCACCGTCACCATCACCATATTCTCTGGTAATAAAACGCTAAAAATCGTAAATAAAATTTGAAATTTAAGCATTTAAACTTTAAAATTTTCAGTTTTAGATCGACAAATCCACCCTGAATGCCGTGACTATCCACTGTTCGCCAACTGCAAACTGATTGTGAGGGACCGGTACTGTACACACAAGTACTACAAAAAATTTTGCTGCCGCTCTTGCACTAAAGATGGACAGCTGGCTCTGAACGGCGCCCACCTCAAAGCCAATTCTCGTTGAAATTTCCATGACGCAAATTGAGCTTATTTAGTAATTTTTTTTTCATGGTGTGTCAAATATTTTTTTAAGCATAGTCGTATTTTATCAATCAAACTTGATACCCAGTGTAGGTTGGTGTAGGTTTATTTCTTTGCTGCTTATAGTTAGTGTAGCCTTTGATTGATGCAAATAAGGGCAGTCAAATGCAAGCAATTAATTTTCATTTTCTTTACTATCATTTGAGCAGGTGCAAATGATGACCTATGTGCCATTTAATTTTTGATTGTGTAAAGTTTTAGGTAATCTTAATCTGTTTTTACTCAATGAAATCATATATTAATGCTATTTTACAAGAAGAAAATTTTTAGGAAAAATGAAGAGATTTTGCGATTTTACAATTCAGCCAAATTCAAGAAAAAGTTCTGCGAGCTTAACCAGATTCAACCTGATTTCATCTTTCCAGATATCTTTATGATTGAGAAATAAAATCATTATTTTAATCATTTATTTTGTATGCATGTTGTAATATCACCCATAGAAAAAATATTTAAAAAATTGATATTATGAAAATCAATGAATATATAAATAAATATATTTATTTCTGATTATTCTTAATATATTTTTATTGTTTTTTTTTATTTATATTTTATTCATTATTTTCTTTATAAGGTAATTTTTTAAATTAAAAGAAAGTTATATACAAGCTAACATTTTATAGTAAATAATGAATTGATTTTCTGATTGAAATCGTGGCAATGAACACAAGCTTTCCTGTCTCGCCTGTTTCTTCACGCAAATACGCTCTTTAATTGCCTCTGATAATATGACGTGTCTTATTTTATAATCGCAAAAGTAAAAATGGATAACAGAAATTAATAGTTTACAGATAAAAGAGGAGCAGGGAAACAAAACCGTCGGCCGCAGTGACTCTGCCATCAATCTTTCATCTGCTTTATCCTTTTAGCTTTTTCTAAAAACCAGTAGGTTTTTGACGATTTATTTCTATTATTAACTTTTTGGTCTGGAACTTGGTGAAACGCCTTTTTAATGTTCATTTTTTAGTTTTTGAATTGATACATAATAGGCATTATGAAGTTGAAATAGAACATATTATTGTAGAAATGTGGAAATTTTTGTTTATTTATTCTTAAATTTTAATTCCATTGAACAGTTGAGGCTTCTTTTAAAAACAGAATATTTTTGTGTTTCTTTCAAACAGTTTAATTAAAAATGAATTAATTATTAAATTATTATTGTTACTTAAAACTATTATTGTCGTTTATTTTTCCACATTGTTACATCTTAAATGCATTGTTAACTTTTATTAGTTGAAAAATATTTATTAAAAAAAAAAAACAATTTTAGTTTTACAAATTGGCACCATCCACAAGCAAGAATTTCGCTAAAACTTCCGAGATTAAAAGACCCCGTCCGCCGCAGTGAGCCTCTCAGTTGAATAAGTTTTTTTTTCTTATCACTGTTCACAAATTTTGTCGGAGAGGAAAGCTCACGTCGCTATGTTTTTAATTTACTGGCTTCATACAGTCTGATGAATCGACGGAGCATTTTCATTGTCAAATATTATAATATTGGGGACTAACCATGCTCTGTTTGATACACATCCATGGCTTTTGTACTGAACGCAAAGAAAACTAAAAATAGATACAGTACAATAATTAATTTTGAAATTAATCATTAGAATTAAAAATAGACTCACTCAAGACCACGACATTGAGCGCAGTGTACAGGAAGTGGTGTTTGTAAAGCGATATCAAGAGTACCAAACCTCTGTAGGGAATGAACATAAAGATCATAGAGCGCAACCACCAAAGGATTTTTGCTGCGCTGTCCTGTAGTAAATTTTCAGAATATTAACTTGTTCCAATTTAACATTTATTAAATAACTCACTGAATTTATTCCAGATATAAAAATGAGCTGAAAAGCGGCACACGCGATGTTAACAACTGCAGCCATCCAACAAAGGTGTATATCACAATTTCAGAATCTAAAATTTCACAGTAAGTTCAAGCAGGAAAAATTAAATTATATTAAGCTCAAAGCTCACCACTAAATAATGGCACGAAGCAAACGTGGGGCACGTACCACAGATCAAAGAAAACCCAAGCCTGCAAAATTTATCAAAATTATGTATTGATTTATTCTCCATTATTTTTTTATTTAAGTACAAGATTACAGCAACTAGATACAGGTTAATGAATATAAATTTTTTTTAAATGAAGTATTTATTCAAAGCGCTAATACGAAATATGAAAATAAATAATTTAAAAAAAAACTTACGATATTCACCAAGGCAATTATATAAGCGCCGTGACAAGTCGCAATTTTGAAATTTAGTGCAGAAGTAGCCAGTTCGGATATTTTTTTAATATTACTTATTTTATAAAATATCTTTTATTTTCAATCAGCATCTAATTTAAAAATGGCTCTATTGAAATTAACAGTAGCTTTTTATTTACAAATAAAATTGATGTTAACAATAATTTATTTACGAAGAAAAAATAATGAAATAAAATGCCAAGCAAAAAATTTATTATCAATTTCCTCTGACGGGGGGATTTTGCTGTCGCTATCGCGCGGCACCAATTCAATCGCTTTTCCGCGTCAATGGACCAAATTTCTGTTGTTGGCTGTTAAGCTTCAATAGGCATAAGATTCTCTTTGTCGTCATGCACAGAGCAGAAAAACAGCGCCGCATCAATACAACTACCATGGAATTGAATTGGCAATTGAAGTAAGGCACACTATCTCGTTTAAATTAAAAACTATTCACGGTTTGATTACTTTTTTTAATAATTATAACAAAAATGTTGTCAAAGTTAGTTCATCTTTTGTGTTCTCATTAAAAGTCAAATATTTTGTTTTGCGATAAGAATTGAAAGAAGTGATCAATTTTATACCCGAATTTAGCAGACAACCCTTTAGTAACTACAGTCTATATAAATTTGTAAGTCCGTTATGACTACACTCGAATCCCCATTACTCAGCACATTCTATCACTTTTTCCCCACATATTGTCAGGCGGAAATGATCGTCGCCCACACAGTCTGAACTCTGAAATGAACAATTATGTTCGCACGAATAAATATCATCGAGGTAGCAAAAGGAGATTGTGAAAATTTCATGTTTGAATATTTCTAAATAAAAAAGAAAGTTTGGAAACATTTTATTTGGAACGATTTTTTCTCTCTCAAACTTGAGTATCTCTACAAAAATCCACTATAATATAATATAGATGTGTGTATATGAATACATATGAAAGTAAAAATAATTAATTCATGCACTTTAAAATTTTCATTACTTTTATGATATTTTAATAGGTTATTGTCCCTACTGTATATTACAATGACTATTGATGCGATACAAGAAGTAGCGTATTGCTATAAAACTAAATTTGGCTGTTGTCAAAACATGGTGACACCAGCCCACGGACCCAACGGAGAGGGCTGCTGCATCAGCTCTAAATTTGGTTGTTGCCCAGACAACATTTTGCCAGCGGTTGGACCTAATCTTGAAGGTAGAATATATAAGTAATCTAATAAATTAACTCAAAGTTTCAAATGAACTCAATAAAAGATCATTAAACATGAATATTATCAAATGTGTTAAAAGAAGACACCATATGAAAATTAAGCTCTTTTTTCAGGCTGTGAATGTTCAAAAGCAAAATTTGGCTGCTGCCCTAATGGTGTTGACTATGCCAAAGGCTTGAACAGAGATGGTTGCGGCTGCCAGTATACAACACATGGCTGCTGCCCTGACGTTACTGAAGCCAAGGGAGAAATGTTCGAAGAACGCGCCGACGCACCTAAATTCTCTGGAGGTACTAATAATAGAATTTATAAAAAATAATTAAAATTAGAGATAAAACATTTTTTTAATCTTTCTTTAACCTGTAAAGTTATAACTTTATGATTATTATTTTAAAGTTATTTGGTCCTATGTGTTTTTTTTTTTTTTTTTATTTTATTCTGTATAAATTCCTTAAATCTCAGCATTTTAGTTCTCCCTATAACATATCTATGTGTGCAGATGCAGATGTTTGTCAAGAGACTGCGTCTTTCCCTTATGATGTTGGAAACAGAGATGTAAAATTATTGGCACTCTGGATGTTTGATACAAAAGCGAAGCGTTGCTTGCCTTTCTACAAGGAGTTACGTTTACCAATCCGTCGCAACAACAGTCAAACACCATTTGATGACAATTACTACAACATGAGCGTTCAAAACCAAAGTAAGAAAAATAAGTTTGGTATATGTATGCCTTGTGTTGGATTGGAAATTGTGCCGTTCAAAGCGGTTGCGGCGGCTTTTCAGTTTTCATTCTATAGTTTGGCTTCTCTATTATTAAAAGGCGGTACTATAATCATAGAGCATAATTATTTTTCCTCATAAAAGATATGAGGTCAAAGTACGTTGAAATTTCACCACATAAATATTGTTTAAAAATTAAAATGGCGAAATAAATTGAAAAAAAAATACTAGAGAGGAAATTTTCACGATTCATAAAAAAAGAGATATACACCTTTTACATTATTTAGATCACTAATCACTTTCAGGCCCATGTTGGCTGCCTAGAGACTCAAAGGCGTGTGAACAATATGAAATCCAGTATTTCTATGACTCGAGCACCGACTCGTGCCACTCAACAAGTGCTGGCGAATGCCTGTGGAACGCAAATCGCTTTCATAGCAAAGATCAATGTGAGCAGAGGTGTCGTCAAGATATCCATGTTTCAACACAATTAAGTAATTAAATGATTAAAAATAAAATGTTTGCGACACATTTTAGGGGCAATCATAAATTATAATCGAAATTATCATAAATTAATTTTTATTTAGGATCAACGACTGTTGAGAACAAATGCAAACTTATTCCCGATTCAGGCGATTGCAGCGAAGAGGTTTTGGCCTGGTTCTACAGTGCTAGTGAAAATTTATGTCATGCGTTCATTTACACAGGCTGCGGGGGAAACAGCAACCGCTTTGAATCCAAGCTTGACTGCCAAAAATCGTGCTCTCGAAAAAAAGGTACAATATAGCGATGCAACTTTTGACAAATAAATTTTGATCATCTTTTAACTCTAAAATCTAAATTTTGCTTTTCTATCAGATTTTTGCACGCTGCCTATTGAGACAGGCACTTGTGACGAAATCCACAGTCGGTTTTACTTTGATTTGGAAAAAGGCGAGTGTAAAAACTTCAATTACTCTGGTTGTGGAGGAAATCGAAACAACTTTTTTGATGTGGACTCGTGCATATACTATTGTGGTAGCAAAAAAGACTGTTCTAACTACATATTTATCAGCGAAAAGAAGTGCACCAGCAAGTTCCCACTAGCTTGGGGTATGAATATCATATAATAAAAACAACCACCCTCTTCATACTGAATCTAATGCCGCACAAAGTCTCTCACCAATATACTATATTTTATAGTGTTGTACTTGAGATATTAGACTGTCTCAGAGTACATACATATTTTGAGCCATAAAAAGATCCGCGCTTAAGGGAGTGCGAGAGACTTGAAATGTGCATACATATTTTATTATTATTAAATTATGTAGCGCATTCTGTATTAATCAGTCAAAACCGAAAGAACAGAACAGTACAGAAGATTATTGTAAATAGCCTATAGATGTTATAAAAATGAAATTATTGTTGTTGTTTATTTGTCCAAATTGTTAAATCACATTGTTTACATATGATTGATATGATGTAAGAATTTGGACAAATAAACAACAATAATAATTTTATTTTTACAATAACATGCTCAAACATGCTAATTAGAAAGGAAAAATTTATATCAAAGTGTTTCATGCAATAGCTATTTTGGAAAAGGCGGTCAGTATTTTCAAAAATTTGCTCCAAATTTTACTCAATTATCTAATTGAGCATCTCAATTTTTATTTTCTCTATATGTGTTCAGAGATCATTTGATGAGCACTGTTTGATTAATTTTGGTTTTTAAATTAATTCTTTTTCATGCCTATTGCCATTTAAGAGTCAAAATTAACGTTTCAGATCCCACTGTGCGCGTTGTTGCAGAGGGAGGTGAGTGCACCCTTAGATGCAGTTTGAACAGTGGCATCCCACATCCTGAACTAATTTGGAGGAAGGGCGCAAATAATCATGTAAAATTTTTTTTGCCCTTCAAAATTTACGTGATCCTTATTTCTCTCGTAATAACCAGATAAATGGTTCTCTTGGCAGACATCATCTTTTGCCTGACGGTTCTCTGCAGATAATTGGCGTAACTAGTGATGATGCTGGAAATTACACTTGCTCCGCTAAAAATGGAGTTTCTACACGAATTCAACTAGAAGTGAAAGGTTAGGATCAAAAACTTCAAACTATTTTTTTCTTTTTCTCACAAAAAGCTTGAAATTAACTTAATGCCGCAAGTTATTATTTTTTTTTTAAATTAAATATAACTAAACTTCCCGTTAAATTTTAAATCGAATTTTGAGGTTTTTTATTCGTATTATACTTTTGGCGGTTTATATTTGACTTTACTCTGAATGTGTTGAATTAACCGTTGCTCTCGAAAATTTCAAAAAAAAAAAAAAAAAAAAAAAAAAAAAAAAAAAAAAAAAAACAATAAAGCACGGAAGGTTTTTAGTTTTTTGACATGAAAAATTAATATTTTCGATAAAAGGAAACAAAGTAATATTAATATTATTTATATTAATATTATACTAGCCTAATACATATTTTCAAAGTTGCTCTGGGAGATTTATTTTTATAAAAAAAATTTAAAAGCGGAAAGAAAATTTTGTTTGAGTGTATGTTTTATAATTTATGAAGCTATTTATTGCACTAATGTAATTATATATATATATTAATATCTTTGTAATTGGCTTTCTGTTCTGTTTAACACAAATTTCATGAATGTGAAATGGAATCTGCTTTAAATTTGGTTTCAAAAATCTTCTTTTAATATATAATACTCCTCTGAACCTTTATTAATATATTTTATACTTGATAAAATATTTAAAAAATTCCCAATGCAAACTGAAATAATCATTGATTTCAATTTCAAACCAAAGGTGTAAGCAGAATTCAGAATTCTCATATTCTCAAGATGCAAAATTTTGCTTCCATACTTCATTCTGCCGTACTTTAAGAATTAAAATTATAATTTAAATTACGCAAATTTTTTTGAGAGCGCAATTTTAAATTTTTTAAATGTAGCTTTTGTTACTTTTTTTGCACGCATTTGTATAAATTTTCACATTTTTTTTTCTTCAAAGATGGTTTGGTGACAGCTGCCGAGATCGTCAGGGTCAATCCTTACATGCAAGTACACCTGAACTCGCCTGCCATCCTGCACTGCTACGCAATGGGCTGGCCGCGGCCTTCTGTGACGTGGTGGCGTGGCGAACGCATGGTTCCGATGGCCAGCAAGGGACATCAGGAGAATCGTAAAGACTTCACCCTGCTCATCAAATCGGTCACTCCTGAGGACCTCGGACCCTACACCTGTCAGGCCTACAACAGCATTGGAAAGGCTACGTCGTGGACGATCACAGTGCAGGGCTACAAAGCAGCAGATGCCATCTTCTCGGGCTCAGAGGATTACTTCCAGTATCTGGTCGAACCATTTGAACCTGACCATTCTAAATTGACACTTCCAGCAACTACACCACTTTTTAGAGGTATGAAAAGTTGAGTCACTTGATGGCTCTATCTTTTTTTTTAAATTCTATAAAAAAATTATTGCCCCTTTGGCATCATTTCAATTTATTGCTATCTGTTATTTGTTTTCAAACTTAATAATCATTTCACAATTCTTAATGTTCGTCCAACTACACTTAACAAATCATGTAATTAAAATTAATAATATTAATATCTTGTCCCACAATATTTTTTAACAAACAAAAGATCACCCAAAGATTTTTTTGTTTAGGGGTTATTTGACTCGCTCCGAAAATAAAATACATGTTTTATTTTTATCTTTTTTAGATTCAATGAATGACATCAAACGTTATCAAAGAATAAAATTTTATTAAAAAAAATTAACGCTCTGGTTCGTTGTTAAAATTACCCTTCGTGCCCTCAATAATTATTTTCCTTCTTGATGCATGGCAAAATTAAGTTAATAAACCAGCTTTTCTCTTGAAAACCAAACGATAAATCGAGACGTAATACAAAAACGGTTTGCAACAACACACTGTCGGACTAGAACTCATTATTTTGACAATTGACAAGCTGCGCTCTTTTTCAAATTAAATATTTTTAACTATTTAATACAATTTTAAAAGAACAGCATACCATTATAAATGGCAGCTGATCCCTAAATATGACTAGTTCCCACTAGCTTGGGGTATGAATATCATATAATAAAAACAACCACCCTCTTCATACTGAATCTAATGCCGCACAAAGTCTCTCACCAATATCACCATACTATATTTTATAGTGTTGTACTTGAGATATTAGACTGTCTCAGAGTACATACATATTTTGAGCCATAAAAAGATCCGCGCTTAAGGGAGTGCGAGAGACTTGAAATGTGCATACATATTTTATTATTATTAAATTATGTAGCGCATTCTGTATTAAACAGTCAAAACCGAAAGAACAGAACAGTACAGAAGATTATTATAAATAGCCTATAGATGTTATAAAAATGAAATTATTGTTGTTGTTTATTTGTCCAAAATGTTACATCACATTGTTTACATATGATTGATATGATGTAAGAATTTGGACAAATAAACAACAATAATAATTTTATTTTTACAATAACATGCTCAAACATGCTAATTAGAAAGGAAAAATTTATATCAAAGTGTTTCATGCAATAGCTATTTTGGAAAAGGCGGTCAGTATTTTCAAAAATTTGCTCCAAATTTCACTCAATTATCTAATTGAGCATCTCAATTTTTATTTTCTCTATATGTGTTCAGAGATCATTTGATGAGCACTGTTTGATTAATTTTGGTTTTTAAATTAATTCTTTTTCATGCCTATTGCCATTTAAGAGTCAAAATTAACGTTTCAGATCCCACTGTGCGCGTTGTTGCAGAGGGAGGTGAGTGCACCCTTAGATGCAGTTTGAACAGTGGCATCCCACATCCTGAACTAATTTGGAGGAAGGGCGCAAATAATCATGTAAAATTTTTTTTGCCCTTCAAAATTTACGTGATCCTTATTTCTCTCGTAATAACCAGATAAATGGTTCTCTTGGCAGACATCGTCTTTTGCCTGACGGTTCTCTGCAGATAATTGGCGTAACTAGTGATGATGCTGGAAATTACACTTGCTCCGCTAAAAATGGAGTTTCTACACGAATTCAACTAGAAGTGAAAGGTTAGGATCAAAAACTTCAAACTATTTTTTCTTTTTCTCACAAAAAGCTTGAAATTAACTTAATGCCGCAACAGTTATTATTATTATTTTTTTTTTTAAATTAAATATAACTAAACTTCCCGTTAAATTTTAAATCGAAGTTTGAGGTTTTTTATTCGTATTATACTTTTGGCGGTTTATATTTGACTTTACTCTGCTTGTGTTGAATTAACCGTTGCTCTCGAAAATTTCAAAAAAAAAAAAAAAAAAAAAACAATAAAGCACGGAAGGTTTTTAGTTTTTTGACATGAAAAATTAATATTTTCGATAAAAGGAAACAAAGTAATATTAATATTATTTATATTAATATTATACTGGCCTAATACATATTTTCAAAGTTGCTCTGGGAGATTTATTTTTATACAAGAAATTTAAAAGCGGAAAGAAAATTATGTTTGAGAGTATGTTTTATAATTTATGGAGCTATTTATTGCACTAATGTAATTATTTATATATATTAATATCTTTGTAATTGGCCTTCTGTTCTGTTTAACACAAATTTCATGAATGTGAAATGGAATCTGCTTTAAATTTGGTTTCAAAAATCTTCTTTTAATATATAATACTCCTCTGAACCTTTATTAATATATTTTATACTTGATAAAATATTTAAAAAATTCCCAATGCAAACTGAAATAATCATTGATTTCAATTTCAAACCAAAGGTGTAAGCAGAATTCAGAATTCTCATATTCTCAAGATGCAAAATTTTGCTTCCATACTTCATTCTGCCGTACTTTAAGAATTAAAATTATAATTTAAATTACGCAAATTTTTTTGAGAGCGCAATTTTAAATTTTTTAAATGTAGCTTTTGTTACTTTTTTTGCACGCATTTGTATAAATTTTCACATTTTTTTTTCTTCAAAGATGGTTTGGTGACAGCTGCCGAGATCGTCAGGGTCAATCCTTACATGCAAGTACACCTGAACTCGCCTGCCATCCTGCACTGCTACGCAATGGGCTGGCCGCGGCCTTCTGTGACGTGGTGGCGTGGCGAACGCATGGTTCCGATGGCCAGCAAGGGACATCAGGAGAATCGTAAAGACTTCACCCTGCTCATCAAATCGGTCACTCCTGAGGACCTCGGACCCTACACCTGTCAGGCCTACAACAGCATTGGAAAGGCTACGTCGTGGACGATCACAGTGCAGGGCTACAAAGCAGCAGATGCCATCTTCTCGGGCTCGGAGGATTACTTCCAGTATCTGGTCGATCCATTTGAACCTGACCATTCTAAATTGACACTTCCAGCAACTACACCACTTTTTAGAGGTATGAAAAGTTGAGTCACTTGATGGCTCTATCTTTTTTTTTAAATTCTATAAAAAAATTATTTCCCCTTTGGCATCATTTCAATTTATTGCTATCTGTTATTTGTTTTCAAACTTAATAATCATTTCACAATTCTTAATGTTCGTCCAACTACACTTAACAAATCATGTAATTAAAATTAATAATATTAATATCTTGTCCCACAATATTTTTTAACAAACAAAAGATCACCCAAAGATTTTTTTGTTTAGGGGTTATTTGACTCGCTCCAAAAATAAAATACATGTTTTATTTTTATCTTTTTTAGATTCAATGAATGACATCAAACGTTATCAAAGAATAAAATTTTATTAAAAAAAATTAACGCTCTGGTTCGTTGTTAAAATTACCCTTCGTGCCCTCAATAATTATTTTCCTTCTTGATGCATGGCAAAATTAAGTTAATAAACCAGCTTTTCTCTTGAAAACCAAACGATAAATCGAGACGTAATACAAAAACGGTTTGCAACAACACACTGTCGGACTAGAACTCATTATTTTGACAATTGACAAGCTGCGCTCTTTTTCAAATTAAATATTTGTAACTATTTAATACAATTTTAAAAGAACAGCATACCATTATAAATGGCAGCTGATCACTAAATATGCAGTGATGAGCTATTAATTTGTCCAATATATTGCAGTGCCTGTAAGAGTCAACCTGACGTCACCAAGAACTTCGTATGCACTTTACACAAATTTGATAATCCATTGTGATGTAGAAGGCTACCCCATTCCGCAAGTTGCTTGGTTCAAGGACGGCCAGCAACTTGAGTCTAGTACTGAGCGAATGCAGATCTCAGGTAAAATTAGCATAGAATTTAAAATTTGATCTGACATCTATTTATTCCATTTGTAAATGTTATATATAAAAAAAGAGAAATTTGCATCATCAAAAAAAGTGAAAAATTTACATTTGGCGATTTTAACTGATATAAAAATTCATAAATAATAGGATAAAAATAATTTACAAAATATTGTTCATATATAAATATCTGTTTTGTTTCTCGAGCATTCATGTTAAATTTTTAATAATACTAATAGGAAATGAATAAGTAAAAAATCAATTAATCATAAAATTTTTAAATCAGAATCATCAATTTCATTTATTACATTCATAATTTTTCCGGTTTTTCCAGAAAAAACCTTGTTCATCAAGATGGTTGAATTCGCGGATGCTGGCGCTTACAAATGTGAAGCTAGAAATGAGAATAGCTACGACAGTGGCACCGTCACCATCACCATATTCTCTGGTAATAAAACGCTAAAAATCGTAAATAAAATTTGAAATTTAAACATTTAAACTTTAAAATTTTCAATTTTAGATCAACAAATCCACCCTAAATGCCATGACAGTCCAATGTTCGCCAACTGCAAACTGATTGTGAGGGGCCAGTACTGTACACACAAGTACTACAAAAAATTGTGCTGCCGCTCTTGCACTAAAGATGGACAGCTGCCTCTGAACGGCGCCCACCTCAAAGCCAATTCTCTTTGAAATTTCCATGACGCAAATTGAGCTTATTTTAGTAATTTTTTTTTCATGGTGTGTCAAATATTTTTTTAAGCATAGTCGTATTTTATCAATCAAACTTGATACCCAGTGTAGGTTGGTGTAGGTTTATTTCTTTGCTGCTTATAGTTATTGTAGCCTTTGATTGATGCAAATAAGGGCAGTCAAATGCAAGCAATTAATTTTCATTTGAGCAGGTGCAAATGATGACCTTTGTGCCATTTAATTTTTGATTGAATGAATGTCTAAAGTTTTAGGTAATCTTAATCTGTTTTTACTCAATTAAAATATTAATGCTATTTCACAAGAAGAAAATTTTGACAAATGAAGAGATTTTGCGATTTTACAATTCAGCCAAATTCAAGAAAAAGTTCCGCGAGCTTAACAAGATTCAACCTGATTTCATCTCTCCAGATATCTTTGTCATTGAGAAATAAAATGATTATTTTACTCATTTATTTTGTATGGCGTAGTGTCACCCAAAGCAAAAATATTTAATAAATTGATATTATGAAAATATAAAAAAATATATATATTTATTATTCTTAATATAGTTTTATTGTTTTTATTATTTGTATTTTATTCATTATTTTCTTTATATAATGCATATAATGTAATTTTTTTTTTTATTAAAAGAAAGTTATACTAGCTAACATTTTATAGTAAATAATGAATTGATTTTCTGATTAAAATCGTGGCAATCAACACAAGCTTTCCTTTCTCGCCTGTTTCTTCACCCAAATACGCTCTTTAATTGCCTCTGATAATATGACGTGTCTTGTTTTATAATCGCAAAAGCAAAAACGGATAACAGAAATTAATAGTTTGCAGATAAAAGAGGAGCAGGGAAACAAAACCGTCGGCCGCAGTGACTCTGCCATCAATCTTTCATCTGCTTTATCCTTTTAGCTTTTTCTAAAAACCAGTAGGTTTTTGACGATTGATTTCTATTATTAACTTTTTGGTCTGGAACTTGGTGAAACGCCTTTTTAATGTTCTTTTTTTAGTTTTTGAATTGATACATAATAGGCATTATGAAGTTTAAATAGAACATATTATCGTAGAAATGTGGACATTTTTGCTTATTTATTCTTAAATTTTAATTCCATTGAACAGTTGAGGCTTCTTTTAAAAACAGAATATTTTTGTGTTTCTTTCAAACAGTTTAATTAAAAATGAATTAATTATTAAATTACTATTGTTACTTAAAACTATTATTGTCGTTTATTTTTCCACATTGTTACATCTTAAATGCATTGTTAACTTTTATTAGTTGAAAAATATTTATTAAAAAAAAAAAACAATTTTAGTTTTACAAATTGGCACCATCCACAAGCAAGAATTTCGCTAAAACTTCCGAGATTAAAAGACCCCGTCCGCCGCAGTGAGCCTCTCGGTTGACTAAGTTTTTTTTCTTATCACTGTTCACAAATTTTGTCGGAGAGGAAAGCTCATGTCGTTGTTTTAAATTTGCTGGCCTGGCCTGATACAGTCTGATGAATCGCAGAGCATTTTCATTGACACATAATAATATTGGGGACTAACCATGCTCTGTTTGATACACATCCATGGCTTTTGTACTGACCGCAAAGAAAACTAAAAATAGATACAGTACAATAATTCATTTTGAAATTAATCATTAGAATTAAAAATAGACTCACTCAAGACCACGACATTGAGCGCAGTGTACAGGAAGTGGTGTTTGTAAAGCGATATTAAGAGTACCAAACCTCTGTAGGGAATGAACACAAAGATCATAGAGCGCAACCACCAAAGGATTTTTGCTGCGCTGTCCTGTAATAAATTTTCAGAATATTAACTTATTCCAATTTAATATTTATAAAACACACTGAATTTATTCCAGATATTAAAATGAGCTGAAAAGCGGCACACGCGATGTTAACAACTGCAGCCATTCCAACAAAGGTGTATATCACAATTTCAGAATCTAAAATTTCACAGTAAGTTCAAGCAGGAAAAATTAAATTATATTAAGCTCAAAGCTCACCACTAAATAATGGCACGAAGCAAACGTGGGGCACGTACCACAGATCAAAGAAAACCCAAGCCTGCAAAATTTATCAAAATTATTTAATGATCTATTCTCCAAGTTAATGAATATAAAATTTTTTTAATGAAGTATTGATTCAAAGCGCTAATACGAAATATTAAAATAAAATTTAAAAAAAACTTACGATATTCACCAAGGCAATTATATAAGCGCCGTGACAAGTCGCTATTTTGAAATTTAGTGCAGAAGTAGCCAGTTCAGATATTTTTTTAATATTAGTAACACACATGGCTATTTCCCTTGAAATCTTCTTCCTTAGAGTAAATACTGTGGAAACCTAATTTTAAATTAAAAGAAATAGCAATGCGTTGTAATTAGATTTGCACAAAAATTACAAAAATATCTGAAATAAAATGCTGAAAGTTTTAGCAATGTCTCAACAAACCGCTTCCATTCACTCGTGTCTTTCAGAGAGCTCTGTTGGAAGGCAAACTAAAAAGTCTCGCATTCAAGCAATGAGAAACTGCGGATGTGATGAAGAATTAAGTCATTGTCGTTCTGCTGAGATATGTCTATTTTTAGATGGATCATTTCACGCTTCTTGGTGATATATTTTTGACACTGCTGAATATTGGAGTTTTAAAAAAAATGTTTTAAATAATTATTAAACAAAAAATATTAATTTGAATATTCACATTTTTACACATGTAATTTTCTTACAAAGGAACAAATAATTAGAAAGCGCTGTAAAAATATCCGCTTGTTAATATTTCGAAAGTTCTTAAGATTAATTTGGTTGCAAAATGGTATTTACTTGGGTGGTAATAAATAAATAATTAATGTTTTAAATATAATAATTATTAATTTGTATTATTTCTAGTAAAAATCATTCATTCTGATTAAAATTGCAGACATTAAAAAATTACTGGATTATAAATTTTTAGTTCTTTAAGTCTGTAGAAACAAATTGAGTAAAAATGATGTGGATTTGAATTTTATTCTCTTTGGCCCCTTTGCTGAAAAGGATTAAATGGGTTCGACAACTTTGCTTGTGGTTCTAAAGTAGTAGCGTGAAATTAACGCTCAGTGTAAAATTCTTTTGCAAATTTCCATATCACTTTCTCGCGCAAATTTCGTCAATTATTCACCAAATAAGGCCTTGCGTTGACTGCCTGGTCAGCAATGAAATGCGCTGAATCTCCTGGTTTCACCATCTTGTCTTTTCTGGTCCACAGAACATCAAACGGACGAGCCATTATAGCGGATACGACCTTTTAATTCACGCGTGTTTACCAATTTCGGAGCTCCACTATGTAAATCCCGTGTATACGCAAGAGTGCGCGTTTAAAAGATGCCCAATGCTTGCAGTGTGAGCACACCAGATTACTAAATGATTAAACGGCAAAAATGGAAACTCCGAAATCATGAAATTCGTCAAAATGATGACACTTTTATAAACTTGTGGTGCGCATTCTAAAAAAAATTTAAATGTTTTGGCTTTTTAAAAACAATCACGGCAATCCTTTTTTACAATTAGCACAAAGGAAGCTATTTGCATTTAGTGTGACCTAGAGGAGAGAAGAGATGCGTCGAATTGGTTTCAACAATGGGTAATAAATCAGGTGAGAATGCGATGACGCAAAATGTTACGCAGAAAAAAATTTACCCAAAATAATTATATATTTATTATATTATTGTTCAAGTACTTTAATCGCATATTTAAGTGTGCTTTTTTAATATGATTAAATTTAAATATTGCAATTCAATCATCTAAAAACAAAATTATTAAAAAAAATTTATCAATCATTTCAGTTTTATTATTCTTTTCTTAAAATAATAAATTTAATTTAAACTACAATTTTGGAATGAAAACTGAAAATCAAAACTCTGACTTTTGAATAAAAAGCAGCAAAAAAAAATTTATGACACAACTTTGTGAATCTGATTAATATATATGGTTTGGTTGGTTTTAGTATTTTTTTATTCTTTCATTCAAGCACAGCAAAAGTTTGTCACGAACAGAAATTACGTTCTCACGACCACTATTTATTTCGGATTATTCATTCGGCCGTGGTGATTTAAGGGGTATCCTGAGGATCGCGGCCTTACATTGCACACGTGCGTTGCTGCATCATCGTTTTTGCTTTTCCAATAATCCGATCGATAAAATCCCCAACGCAGCATTGTCTTTCCACATTGCATAATCGCTGCACCACGCACACAAAATTACTGTAATAAAATCGAAACTGTATAATGATGATGAAAGTGCCATTGACTCCTTGCAGTTCAATAATTGCGCCAGCTCGCTTCACCGAAAGTAGAGAAGCCGGCGGAGAAAGAGGAGAAAGAGCTGCGCCTTCTGCCACTGGTTTAGTTACCTCTGCCGCATGATAATGACCCGCGCCGCCAGATGATAATTACGTAAACAAGCCGCGCCGGCACCACCTTGAAATTCTTCCTCCACTATAAAAGAAGATGCGACCGAAGCACTCGTTTTATTCTCCGACAAATTTCGGCACCGCCAACATGCGTCTCCTCCTCTTCGGGGCCCTTCTGCCCTTTTTCCTCGGGCTTGTCGACGCCAAACCGACCTTCGGCCTTCTGCAGCATTTTTTGAACTTTGACGCCCCTGCCAGATTCACCCAGTGGAGGTCCAGACCGGTGAGGAACAACCACCTGATCAAAACCGGCCCTCCAAGATTCAGTTCCGGACCGGCCGGCTACTGGAAAGTGTCCGCACCCTATTCACCCTACCCGCCTCGCCCGCAGTGGAGCGCCCAGGTTGAGACGATCCCCGCCATTTTGGTCTTCGAAGAGCACATTCCCGCCCTGATTCCACCACTTATCGACCCACCGAACCCCACAGGCCAACCATCCAGTCCGGCCACCGAAGCGTCCATCCCTCCTACGGACGTTACAACTCCTGTTCCAGCCACTGATCCGCCTGCAGAGGAAAAGCAACCCCCTGCAACAGACCCTCCAGTTCAACCCCCTGTTGAGACGCCCGCCACTGAAACACCGGACAGTGTACCTGAGGTCACTACGGCTGCACCCACGGTCCCGACACTTTCAGGTGAGATTTCACCCTCGGCCAGTCCGGACCCCTCCCCACCCACGAGTGACCCTCCTGCAGAGACCACAACCGAACCCCTGTCAGAAATTATTGTGACGACGCCTGTGGAGGAAAACAGTACGGAGGTCACTGAACTTCCGGCCGACGACCAGCCTGGAAACACCGAGGTGAATGAAATCGAAGAGTACAGCACCCCTAGTAATTCCTACCTCCCGCCGTCTGAGGTCAACAAAAGGGATGTCAATGAAATCGTGGCGGCCGAAACAACCACAGTAAAGCCGGTGCCTCTTCCTGCCGAATTAGAGCCTACGCCGGCCACATCTGGTGCTCCGGAGGACAACATGGTCATCGTGGTCGAGGGCGAAGGGGGAGGCGAGCAGATGGACGTGCGCACCCTGGCCAAATTCGTTGACGAGTTGCTCGAGTTGAGGGCGAAGACCAAAGGAACCGCGTGGTGACCCTGAGGACACTTTGTTTATTTTAATTATTTATTTTAATGAATTGTGTTGACTTTCTTTCTCTCTTAATTCTTAATGGAACTTGTGACAATTAGGATTTTACATTTTGCAATAATTTTTCTAGCTCAAGAAAATTGTGTTCGAATTAAAAAAATTTCTGCTCAATGTTAAAATATGCTTAAGAGGGGTCATTAGTATTAACCGCGCCTAGATTTTTTTCGCTACAGTCAGCGCGTGATTTTTGCACTTGACAGTTCAGTGCAGTTGCCGCATACAAACGAAGTTACCATTTTAAATATTTTTCTAACTGTACCTGCTGTGCGAGCGTGTTATTGTTTGTCACCTCGTTAGCAGAGTTCACATGATGAGTCAGTGAGACTTGTGGTTTATGGTGCATCTCTCGATTTTGGATGCAGCGCGCAGCTCGAAGTGTTGTTGACCTTGGGCGGGAACAAAGAAAGAGTGATGCAATATAGAGTTTACGCACCTGCGTTATTTTCGACCATCCTCGCGTTTAAATTAATTACCTTCTAAGAGAATACAATTTACGAGTGGAGATCAAAGATATCTCCGGATGAGAGGAGACGCGAGTTTTTTTTTCTATGCTTGCGCCCGACAGCATTGTTTTGTAATAATACAAAATAACCAATAAAAACGAAGAGTATAAAATTTCTCTGCCCTTTTATTTGCTTATTTTAAATTGCCTCAAATTAAAAATGATATAAAAAAAAATATATATATATATAAAAATTTCATTATCTCGTAAGTCAGATCAGAAAAATTCAATGCCAGAGAAAGAGTAAATAAGCGTGATAGGATCTTTAAACAATTTAAGCGCACTTCTGCGTGCGTATTTTCACTTTCAACGAAGAGCAGTGTGTCAAGGGTCTGCGCATTTTAACCAACAATTAAACGCGCCAAATTCATTAAAAGTTTCCTTGATGGCCGGAAACAAGCCAAAGTATTGGAAATGAGATAAATTCAAATTATTCAGATTCAATCTCCCTTTCTTAGGAACAACATAAAAGGGGAAAGATTTTAATAAATTATGCTTTGAAAAAATGAATAACAGCGCAGGCATGTCAATGTCATTGCCACTCAAGTTGAAAATGTCAAAATAGAGATAATATATATCCTTCTTCCCGTCACGCCCCGCGCTCGATGCAAATTACGCCGTTTGAGCAAAATCATGCACCCACGCAGATATAATGCGAATTTAATTTCCAGAGCACGCAGCGCCAGGGGTGCAGTCGTGAGGTGCTGGGTTGTTTGATACGCCCGCATTTTGACTCGCAGGGCGCAAAACGTGTTTATCCCGGATTGACAGCCGACCCGGACCTTGAGATGTTGGATTTTTGCTCGACTTAATTCCCAATTAGGGGCATAGCATTGCTGTTTTATGGTCGCGGCGTGGCTCTATTTATTTGCTTGACAATGAATTCATGCGCCATTCCGGAGCAGACCGACGGACAATGAGGACCACTTTGATCGCCGCTGCAGCCATGGTGCTCGGATTTGCGTGCGTTGTTTTATCTTTGCCGCAGCGTGGAGTTGATAATAGAGGAGGTAACTTTTGTATTTATTATAATAATAAATATATTAAAATACAAACTATTTGTATTTAAATTCTTTTTTAATTAAATTTTGATATCAAAACATTAAAATTTTAAATAAAATAAAATAAATAATAACAATAATGTTAAAATATTGATATGTGAATATATAAATAATTTTTAATTATTTTATTTATAAAATATTTGACAATATCGACAATATTTAACTATAGTTAAAAAAAATATAACCTTATTTGAACGTATTGAAAAAAAATTTATTTGTGATTATTTTTTACACCAATTCACAAAATAAAAATGATTGAAAATAATTAATTAATAACAAATAATAATAAAAATTTATAATTTATTAAAATTAAAAAATATTTATTGTAAATTTGATAGTTACCAAAATAATGGCTTTAATTAAATTTTTCTTCTTTTATTGTATTGTAAATTTCATTATGATGTTTTTAAAAATTTATGACGTTATCTTCTACTTTTTCCACGCACCACGCATGCATTTTTATAAGCTCTGGATGTTGGTTAATTGAATTATAAATATTCGGCCATTTGAAAATAAATAAGAAAATATAAACTAGATCAGTAATTTTTTGCTTCCTTAGCGTTTTGATAGGCTCAAGCTTACTTTTTTTCTTAAATTAGAGAGCAGTAATTTAATTTAATTTAGTTCAATAAAACTAATGCATTGCTCTCTTGAATCCATGCTAGAGAGACCTTTCGTCGACCAGTTCCGAGAATACTACCCCGATTACAGGAAATTTTTCCACAACTACACGTTCGGCGACAACAGCAAAAGAGTCTTTTTTAGATCGGGCAGCGCATTCAGTGAGTACAGAATTAATTTTCTGCAATTTAATATACTGATGTAAATATCTTTGTGAAAAAATCTGAATAATCATTTTATTGCTGCTTTAAGCTCGCGAGAATCCGATCAAGAACAAGCAGCCTGCTCAGTACATATCTGACATTGACGACGGCTACCACTATGAAAAACCCAAAAAAAGAGGACCTCTTCCCTACAAAGTCCACTTCAACCTCCACAATGGTAGAAACAACAACGCCTACTGATCGAGTTTCCCGTGGACTATGAAAAAAATATTTGCAATAATATCAAATAAATACGGATTATTCTGAAATATATAAATCATTAATTTTTTTATTCTAATATTGCATAATTTTTCATTGACAGTGCCTCCCACGGCTTATTTTATTCCCAGCTATTCCATTGAATGAAAAAGAAAAAAAAGCTACTCTCAATCCACTACGCATAAGCAGTCGTGCACAATGCATTATTCAATTAAATCGCCAGGTCAGATCAGCGACCTTTATGGTAGCGCTCAAAGACAAAGAGTGACGCAACCAAACGACCACAGATGTAAAAAAGCCCTTCAGCTATTGGCATCACGCTTCAGGTGAGGCCAAAGCAAGAATAAATGATAAAAAGCAAAAAAAAAAAAAAAAAAAAGGAAAATTTAGGGGATTTTTCAAATCAATTATCAAAAAGCTTGATTTGATCTTTTAAAAAATATTGTAATTAATATAAATTTATTATTATTTATTTTTCACACTTTTTTCTTTTAATCATCACACTAGTTCGAGCTTCTCAAATTTCACTAATCATACATTTATTATTAAATTTTATTAAAATGAAATTTAGGGCCACACTATTCGCCTCATATAAATATAAAAACTTATCAACAGCCTCTGCCGCATTTTTTTTACAAATCTCTTAGTAAATCCATAATCAGCCGGGACGATCAAAACATACAAATTACACTTTTCCTCTCCAACAATGATAAAAACATCACACCTAGGTGTGCGTGAGCTGCTGACAGGCGTAAGAGTTTCATGGCCACCGGGGCTCTAATGATACCAGCACTGTGAAGTAAACACGTAAATGGTCCCGCAAATTAAGGAAGGCTCGCTGTTATTCAACTCCTTTTTTTATCCGTCCTGCATCTTCTTTGTTGTTGGCAAATCTGAGAAGAAGAGGTGGATTTGCGTCCCCTGCGTGGCAAAATGAGGAAGACGCTCATTTGAATGCCCTTGACGAATGTTGCGAGTATAAAAGAGCCGGTGAAGCCAATCGGTCGCACACACACACTTCATTACTCCTCGTCTTTGCAATGCACAAGCTGATCGTGCTGTTGATCGTCTTGGCCGCCCTGATGGCCGTCTGCCTGGCCATGCCGTCGCCTGAGGTCAAAATCGTCCCGTCCATGTTGGTGCACGAGGAGCACCTGCCGAACCAGGGTGGCCAGGCAAGCGACAAAACCCTGGAGAAGTTTGTCGAGGAGCTTCTTGCACTCCGAGGAAAAGGTGATAATACCTATAATTTAATTTTTTTTATTTTTATTTTTTTTTTTAGAATTATTCTACTTAACATATTTACCTCTTCATTTAAAATCCGTTAATTTTGAGCTTAAGATGAAATAGTTTAAAATTTCGTAATTTTATTAGAATTTTATAAATTATTTATTATAAGCAAAAAATTTTAGGATCCAGTGATTCAATTTGGCTATGCCAGTCAGTATTTGTAGTGCAATAATATGTTATTTCATTCCACGCACCTGAATATTTAAACGCATAATAATATTTTCAAAATAAAATTTCACGGTAACTCTTCTCCTTTAGTGTCACTATTATTAATAAATATATTATTAATTAATGAATAATTTTTCTTTTTCAGCTCTGTGAGAGAAAAAACGCTACATTCAATCAACTTACTATTAGTTCTCCGTCCCTGTGCCTGGTTGTGAAAGAAAAAGTGACAACAAAAAATTTAAATAAGAAACACATTTCACTTTTGTATTTACAATAATTGTCAAGCTTCATAATAAATATTGTAAAATGCGTGCAAGTACAACAACAAAATAATACATTTTAAAGCAACAAATAATGTTGTCCGTTCAGAATGTATGACGTGATATAAATACAAAATAAACATGCATTAATAATCACAAAAATGTCTGTATTATTGGCTCTTATTCATTTCCTTTAACAAAGGACCCACACAACACACGGACAAACACGCTTTAGGAAGCGTGATTGAAAATTAACGTCATGTCAAAAACACTCAGGAGCTTTTTTCTTATAATATTTCTTTGTGTGTGTCGGTGTTTATTATTAACCTGTGGCACCGGCGGGTATAATTAATTCAAGCAGACGCTTCTCGAGTGAGATGGAAAGTGAGCGAGAGTCGTTTTTTCTTTTAAGGTACCGCGTCAATTATGTTACATAAACATCTGCAGTCAAAGAGGCTGAGGCACCGCCGCAGCTAACCTTGATGGATCGTCTTCAAAATTCCTGCCACGTACATATACGGCTCTTCCTGAATGGACATTTACGTACGAGAGAATTGAAAATAAGTTTTTTTAAAACGCTGGAGTGTTTTTTATTCTATCAATTTATCTACTACGTCTTAACAGAAGCAGAGGAGACGTAAAATGTAATGTTAATGCGATAAAAAAAACCGTCATTGAAATGAAATAAATAAATTTCAAAGGTTTTTTTAACGAATTTAGTAAAATATAATGTGCCTTTTAACTTTTAATAACACATTCTTGAAAGCCTAGATTATTAAATAATATCTTATTATTCTAAAAATTTATAAAATGTCTAATTTTTATTTATTAAAAAATATTTGTTAGTGCGCAATGAATTAAAACCCATAAAAAAAAAATTGTAAAATAAATTTAATAAAATAATTATGCAAAACTTATTATTATTTATTGCTAAAACGATTTCATAAAAGTTTTTTCTGTTTTTTCAAACTTTAATTTTTTTTACATAGCTTTTAAAAAGCAAGCCATATATTGGGCGAAACGTGCACATATACATTTTTACTATGAAATCGTAATTTTCTTTTCTGCTGTTTTCCCCGAACTGGATTTCAAAAGGGTGGCTTAACTAGCCATGAGAGTATCACGTTTAAGTCATTAAAGGATAATAATAATAATCAGGAATTTAGGAATTGAGAATAAATCATAGAAAATAAAGATTTAAAAAAAAAAATATTTTAATATGTAATTTTTGATTCGTAGCTGAAAATTTCAAAATCTTCTTATCTTATTATTGTGTGCATTCCCTCAATTAATTCATCGCCTAGCATATTACAAGTTTAGTTCAACTTAATTATGCTAGCTCTAATTTTAAACATATGACATATAAAACCTTGTTGTATTTAAGTCATGCACAAGCAAGTAAAAGGACAATTGACCAGATTGACCTCAACGTATAAGGATGTTTACGAGTATTCTCATGAGATAAGATAATAACGGATATGCAGAATGGGTTTTTCAAGCAATTTTCGTGCATACCCAATTAGGAGAAAAATAAATGTGCAATTCAAGACTCACGCGTGAAACGAAGAAAGAAAAAATGATGGACAGCGGAGGATACCCGGATGAAGATGCTCCTTTTTAAAACTCACTCTGATATCATCGCCAAATGGAGTGGCATCAGAAAAAAGCTTATTACAAATAATGGAGTCGTGATTTCGGGATACGGCGAATCGCGGGCAGTCAGCCTTGGCGCGATTTTAATGAATAATGATTCAATCCGACTTCAGTATAAATACGCTCAGGGTGTTTTGTGGTGCATCAGTTGGTCCAGATACGCTCTGCCCGGCGTCATGTCTCGCCTCGCGTTCGCCGTTCTTCTGGCTGTGTTTTGCGCCTCCGCCGAGCCTCACCCGTGGGGTGGGCAGCAGCAGGGTTGGGGAGGCACCCCACAGCAGAGAAGCGTCGGACGCCAGGACAGCTACGCTCAGGGCGCGAGCAGCGAACGCAGACAAGGCTATGTGCCCTATGGTCCGCAACAAAGGCCGGGACAATCATCAGGGTAAGTTAAAATGTTTTTAAATAATTTTTAGAATAATTTAATATAATGCGGAACGGAAAAGATAATATTGGTTTAATAAAAGTTTATGTAATTAAAACACTAATGCAATTACATAATATATTTTATAGATAATTCATATCACACATAAAGAAACTAAAAAAAAAACATAACTTATTATTATTCATCAATACAATTTCCATTAATTTTTTTATTTTTTGTAAATTGTTTAACAAAAAAATTTCAAATTTCAAATAATTTGAATTTTACTTAATTTCCACCTAAATCTTGCCTATTTAAAAATAAATTGTAAACTAATAATTAGACACAAAATAAAATTAAAACAAACTGTCAAACATTATTTACAATAATTATACTAATTAAACAAATACGAAGCATCATTAAAAAATTTATAAAATTTTTAATAAATTAAATTTAATATTTACATTTTCAACATCACCCAACTTTTTATTCTCTGCTACAGATTTGGGCAACCGTCCAGGCTCGGTAACCAGCAGCTCCAGCCAAGTGCCAGCAATGCTTTTGGCAGGTCAACTGGAGGATGGCAAAATGACCAAGGCTACGGACAAAGGTGATAATAAAAAAATTAAAAATCACAAATATCCTATTCCGAGACTCCTTGAATTTAACGCTGAATAATTAATTAATCATTAAAAAATATTATTTTTATTTGTTCAGATCAAATCAGGGCGCGGGTATCGGAAAGTCCAACCGAGGTGGCCAAGAGCAGGGTTGGGGTCAGCAGAGTCAGCAGCGATCAAACCAGTGGGCAGATTCTATTACCAACAAGAACTATGGTAACTAATTATTATTTATTTATTTTAGGACAACCGTGAAAACTGTACTATATTTTGTCCTTAAATAATGAAGATAAAAATCAACGCGTGACTATTAAACAATTTCGCTGCAACGTTTTTTTTCTCAGGCCAACAAGGCCGGTCTGCTGAGGGTCCCATCCAGTCCAGAGGCTCTGGCAACTACGAGAGGAAGGGATACAAGTGGATGACCGACGCAGCCAACGTCGAGCACTACTTTGATGTTCCCCGCCGATACTAAATAAAAATTACTTTTCCTATTTCTCTAATTTGCCATTATAATTTTATGAATAAATTGAAACGATTCCTGCATCAATAAACTTTTTCTTCTCAATTTTCAACACATTTCACAATAACATTTATTTGCAATTTTTTAAATAGTACGAAAGTACGAGCAAAACAATTTCTCCTTGTTTCAAATTGGCCTTATGACCCTGTGTGCGTATTTATTTTGATACGGTCGAGGTGCAAACTATGCAAAGAAGGTCGGCGTTGTTATGAGAGAAGCGCGTGAGAAACTACATGCAACGCGCATTATACCTTCCCCCCCCCCCCTAGAGCACTAAATTAATTAAGAATTCCGCTTTTTTATCAAAAAAATTAATTCAGCTCTTATATTTTTATTCAAATTTTACTTCCTGCGTCCGAGCAAAAATGATTATTAGTTCTTCCGTTTTGGCAGCCTTCGTAATTAGCGGTATATAAAGAAGCTGTTCTCTTCCTCTTGGTTTCATTTGAAAAATATGTTTCTCGGAGTGCTTGTGGCGAGCTCGGTGCTGGTGGCCGCGGACGGTGCCAACTTTGACGTGATTCGGGGCCTGCTCGTCCACGAGGAGCACATCGCGCCCACCCAGAGGACGCTGGCCAAGTTTGTGGACGAGCTGCTCGCGGCCAAGCTTCATCGGGTCAAACAGCAAGGTCAGTGCCACTTTCCTCTCGGTTTCTCCTTTTGTAATTTGTTCTTTCCAAATTGAGCAAACTCCTTTATTGTTTGATAATGATAATAGGCACGCAGTGTACGAGTGAGAAAAAAACCATCACTCTCATGTCTGCGCTTCAATTTTTAATCACGCACAGTTTGGCGCGCACGCAGACTAATGAGACTAGCTTTTGAAATTACTTCGCGTGTCCATTAAAACAGAAGCATTCTTTTTATATCTAACGGTTCTACGCTAGCTCTTATGCAAACAAAATGCAGCAGAAAATAAACCTTAAAAAATATTGAATTCATTATTTCTTTTAATTTCTTTCGACTGTCTCAAGTTTTTCTAACAATAAAACATTATTAAAACTTTTCAATGTGAAATAATATTTAATTTTTTGCAATCATTGTAAATCTCAACTATAAATATAAACTCTATGGTTAAAAATAAATTATTAATTTATTTTTAATTCATTGTTTTAATAAAATTAAACTTTTAAATTTCCTGATTATCCAACATTATTTATTAATTTTTTTCTGTTACTTAGGAATATATCGCTACAACTCGCCAAAGCCGCAGTATCAATCACCCCCGTTGAGACCCACATACCCTTCGACCCCATCTTATTCTCCGCCCCCAACTTCACCTCCTCCTGAACCAATAAAACCAACTTATTATGTGCCACTTCCTCACACACCGCCTCCAACACAAACCTATTACAACCCACCGCCCCCAAAACCAAGCTATTACACACCCCCGCCTCCATCAACCGAACCAACAACCTCTGCAAAACCAACTCACGACTCGCCTCCTCCGCCACCTGAAGAGACTGAAAGACCTTATTATTCACCACCTGAACCTGCAAAGCCTGCTTATTATTCGCCGCCCCCTCCACCCTCAGAACCTGAGAGGTCAAGCTACTATTCACCTCCGCCGCCACCCCCAGAACCCGAAAGACCAAATCATTATTCACCGCCCCAACCACCCCCGGAGCCTCCGGTGCGTCCGACCTATCGACCTGAGCCTGCGAAACCTACGTATTTCTCGCCGCCTCCAAAACGGCCAGAACCACCTGCCCCCAGGAGGCCACAATTTTATCCACCCCCGAGCAGCACCCCTTCAACTGAAATGGAGCCTCCGCATCTTCCGACGTTCGAGGAAGAAGAAGAAATAAGGCGGCCAGAAAAACCTCAACTCGCGCTTACAACCACTTCGTATGGGGCGCCTCCGACCCACAAGCCGGTCATCACATACAAATCTAGACCGAGGAGCAACAGTCAAAGAGGTATCAGATTCAACTTTTTATTTCTATATTTTATTGCGTAAAACGAAAGGAAATAATAAATTTCATTTTAAAAAACATGCGATTTTAACAGTTAGGTATAAAATAGTAAATTATTAATTTTTAGCACATTAATGTGCCATTAACAGAGTCAATTTTTTAGTAACAAATTAAAGTAGGAAAAATCATAAATCAAATATTCCAAGAGAACATATTAACAGAAGGAGCTTCAAACTCATTTGTTGATTTTTGATAAGGGCATTCACCGATTATTTTCCTTTAATTTTCAACAAATTATGAAATTAGAAGGAAAAGTCGTAAAACTGCATATATTTTAAAATTGACGGTTCAATTAAATGTTGTGGTGATAATCTATGTACACGACTTACTTTTACGAGTTGGTGCTGATTGTGAGCAACATTTCCAAAGATAATCTACGTTGCCATTGTTTCTACTTTCGTTGTCGCGAGTGTGAAAGTATTTATTTAATAATCTCGTGATCGCGCGTTTCAGGTAGCAAGAGCGTCGACACGAAGAGCAAAGTAGAAGGCGCCTTTTCCAAAACGCCGAGCCGGGAAGAGTACAAGCGACTCATCAAGTTCTTCCTCACGGCATTTGACAGCAGATACTAAGTTTTGTATTTAATTCGCACCGGCGTCTAACAAAATTGTGGCAAAAACGTTTTCTCTTTGTCGCGCGAGAGAGGAAAAAAATGTAAAATTTCTCCGCCCGCTGCGTTCCCATCAACGACACGCTTACACTAATTACACTTTTTATGGAGCACACACACTTAATTTGAGGTGACAAAAGAAGAAAGAGAGTTTTGTTTTTCTTTCCGACAGAAAGTATCAATTAAAAGAAATGTCACCGTGTGCGAGAGGTGCAGTATGTGACTGGATGTGCTGCAGTTGCGATGCGTCTTGTCCTGGTTGCTCTCGGCCTTGTGCTTTTAATTTCAAGTCCAGCTCGAGTGGCCAGTTTTACCTACGAAGTTCTGCCTGCCGTGCTCGTCCATGAGGCGCACTCAAGGAACAACAATGACCAGCCCGGAGGATACCGAGTGATGATCAGGGAGCCCGCTCAACCAGCAAGAGGTACAGTTTAAAAACTTTCAGAATCAAATGAATCAAATTTAATCCCATTAACGGTTCAATAAAAAAAATGTATTCCGACAGTGCTTTCATTTAAAAAAACAAAAAATCATTTAACGCCACTACAATTTTTGATTACACTCTGATTAAATTGAAAATTATAGAAATTGATTTGATTTCTCAGCAAGGTTTTTCAGCGTAAGCAAGATTTCTGAAAAGGCAAACGCGTCAAATATAAGAGCAAAAATTATTATATATTATATAAAATTATTACTTTAATAAGAATAATTTAAAATCTTACATTAAATTTGCAAGCCCTCAGAATGTTGTTTCTTATTATTTAAATAATAAATGATAAAAAATCAAACAATTATAAGTATCAAAAAAAAAAAAAAAATTAAACATTAAAAAATTATATTCATAAGTAAAAAAATTTGAATTAATATAAATAAATTATGCATAATTATTATGAATTCCTAATAAGACAATAAAACAATTATTATTTTATTATAAAACAAAAATACTGACACGCGTAAATAATTTATTGTTTTTAACATTTAGCGTAGCGTACAAATATTAAAAATTAGTTGCTTGTGTAAACATACAAAAATTATTAATAAAAATGAAATATTAAATGTCATTTAAAATAAAAATAATAATATTTATAATCATTAAACGTATTATTCACTATTTGTTTATTTTTTATATTATGATTTCTAAATAAAATATTAGTTTTATTTATGTATAATATAATTTCATAAAAAATATAAACGTAGGACTTAATTAGAAGAATAAAAAAATTGTATTTCCAATTTTAAATTTAACAGTAATTTAATGGTATTTTTCTGCAGACAAAAGAACCGAATGAATAACTAGAATATTCTTTTAAATTCAAATTCCGCTTGCTATAAAACCCAATTAAAATTTCCGTTCTCCAAAACACATATTATCACATTTTTTTTTTTTTTTTGCAATAATATGTGTATCCATCTTTCAGGCATGTGCAACAACTGCAATAATGGACCTGCACCGCAGAAAATCCTCGTTCGCAACCCTGGTCCAAACTCGTTTCCCCAAAGACCCCAGCAGCCCTTGCAACTTCCGCAAATCTTTCAACAACGACAACCTCCTTTTCAACCACAAAGACTGCTTTTCCGACTGCTTGATTTTCCGCAATCGCTGCTGCCTCAAATTTTCCCCAGGGCGCCTCGACAGTCGTTGACACCAAGTCGCGGATTTGCGCCGCCGTCTCGGCCACCACCTTCGCGACAACCTATTATGCTTCAATCGCAACTCCGTCCGCCAGGAAATGAAAACATGATGTTACAGTTTCGACTGATGGACAGAACAAGAGGAGGAAACAACCAAATCCAAAACTTCTTAGGAACGATTTTCAATTACTTGAAATAAATCTAGGAAGTTTGATTTACGTCTATAGGAAGTCAATATTGAAATTTTTTATTGAAGAGTCATTTGTGTATGCTTAAAAAAAATGAAATAAAAATTCTGGTCACTGGTCTGATCCAGTCTGATCAATACCAATAAGAACATTATTTGACTTTGTTTTGCCTCTTTATTGACATAGTCAAATCAAGTCTTTGCAATAATTGGAGTCATTTTATCGAAACAATTAGAAATTTTAACCACCGTTGTAAAGACTTGATTTGACTATGTCAATAACGAGTCCTTAATCACTGCTTCTTAAATTAAAATTATGTTGATAATTTTTTATACATATTAATTCATTTCTTTTTTTAAGCTTATCATAATTTGATGATTTTTCTCTTTCAGATACCAGGATTAACTAAATATGAAATTAATTTAATTTTTGATTATTTTTTTCAATTGCATTTCCAAATTAAATTCATGCGTTGCTGCTTTTTATATTCCCACAAAATCATGAATTGGAGCTTAAATTTGTTATCATAACAAAATTAACAGGGAACTTCCCACTGCTTAATTAACGCACATCAGCATAATATATTGTATGATAAAATGTTGACTTTTTCTCATCTCCATATCAGGCCATATAAAAAGGCACCTGTAAAAATTATCATAAAATAAGACCGAGAGCGGTTCATGCGTCTGAGAGAATTGCACGCGAGTTTATGCAAAGCATGGCGTGCGCTCACGCCGCCCGTTCTAAAATAACGACACAAAGATAGTTTGCATCACACTTTTGCAAGTTCCTTCCCTCCCCCTTAATTGATGTGTTCCCTGAGAACGCACGCGGGTGGTGCGTGCAAAGGCATAACACATCACACAGGAAATTATGTGTATAATTTTGGTGGGCGCAAAAAATTATGCATCAGTCTGGCCGCAGCTCGTCGTAGACATGGAGGTGCTCAGCTTTTTTCTCGCCCTGTGTTCTTTGGTCTCGGCCAAGCCGTACTTTGGGCTGTTCGACCTGCCGTCCCACAACTCCATCGTGCAAATTGTGCCGTCCGTGCAGACCCACGAGGAGCACTCGTCGCTCTACTACCCATTCAACTTCGGCGACCTGCACGACCACAGCCAGTTTGTCTTTCTTGGCCAGAGCAAATTCATTGACGACATTATTGGAAACAAGAAACCCCAAAGTGAGATTTTAGTATTTTAAATCTAGCTATTTTTTTTATCATTAATCTTATTAATTTGATTTTGTATTGATTTTTTTTTTTAAAAGAGCATTTCTGGTAGAATTTTTTGATAAAACAGCTTCCTCAGAAATTTTATCTCGATACTAATATTGCACGCAGATAATTGAAGAAACTAAAGGAAATAAATAATAGAGATATCCTTCAAAATACTTACAACAGCACAGCACCTTAAAAGTATGCAACTTGTGGGACGTTAAAAAAATATGCGTTGCATAATTTACAGGACACATTACATTTTTAATAAGATTTAACGAACATTTTTTTTATTTTTCAATCTGTAAAAACTTTAATTACATTTTTACACTTTTTTTTAGCTTCATTTTAATTAATAAAATTAAATTACGAGTCCAGGATTTATTACTCGCATCAGTAGAAAATTTTGGTTTTCATTAATTTAGATATATTATTATTATCAATACCCTTTCTTGTGTCCATCATTTTCAATTATACAATGGGCGGGCCAAACTTTTGTTCAAATTGTAGTTCAAAACCAATTTATAACAAGAGAAGATATAAAAAATAAAATAAATTTAAAATCATACAGTTCAAAAGATTTTTACTTGCAAATATAGATAGGTATATTACAAGAAATTAATCAGCTTTAGTTTGATTTTTAGTATTAAATTTACTATAATTTATTTACAAAAATAATAGAAGGACCAAAGATGCCAATAAAGCAATAGCGATTACCCGTATTAACAAAAGCTGCGTCACGCGTTAACATATTTTCAGCAACCAAATACAAGCAAAATGATATTTTTACGAATGTTAATGCGCTTGTTACACTTTCAAGTCTTTCAGAAATTTATTCACACCTTTAAAATCCAGAGCAAAGGCTTAGAACGTGACCACGTTGAATTTAGTGGAATAAAAAAATTCAATTCAAGGAAATCGTAAAAGTGCTCACAGGTTTCCCTCGACGCAAGAGGAGAAAATTATATTATTCAAATGACACATTCATGTCTATTTTTCCCATCGCCTCCATTATTTTCACACCGAGAAAGAGGAAAGTCATTTTTCTAAAGAACAAATTCAACAATGAGATCTTTTGAGAATGCAGAAAATTTTCTTTATTAAAAAATAATAATAATAATAATAACCCTATTATTCTCACGACTCTTAAGCTGAAATCAAACAATCAACTATGTTCCTAAAATCAGGCTTTCTTTGAAAATGTCCCTTTCTTCGAAGACCGCTTTTTGAAACATGCACGACGTAGGCGGTATTTAGATTATATTTTGCATAAATAGTTTTCGATGCCATACACGATTCTATTTTTTCTTGCGCGTGTTTAAAAAAAGTGTCAGACGTTTGGCTGATTGCAGAGCGCTAGTGAAAGATTGAAAGAGCGCTCAATGCATTCGCAACACCATCGAAACGCAATCTGTCGGTTTCACTAAATGTGAGCAAACACGCACTTCCACAAAGTTTAATAATTGTTCAGATTTCGACATTTCGCTACATTTAGTCGGCGCGAGTCGGATGTGTGCAGATGATGAGCCTTTCCACGCTTCTTATTATGAAAATGCACACTCCTGATTATTTTATTGCCTGCGCCAAAAGACCATGCAAAAATTTATTCATGTTAACTGGGATCAAAATGTCAGCAAGATGGAGAAAGTATCGATGTACTATTTTATAGCCACGGAAAATTGGAATAAAGACATTTATGAAATGTGTTGATTAATTTAATTTCTTTCGCCACTTACTCGGCCTTTGTATTGTTAAAAACATTTTAATTTAAAGGGAAAATTTCGTGATACAATTATATACACGACCGGCCATGGATCTAATTGTCATTCACTTGAGGCCAAGTTCTTGTATGTCATGACACAATTATAGTGTTCAACACACGATGGCGACAAGACAGTATTTCCGTTAACATTTAATTTTTAGTGCACAATTGGTGTGCTGCAAATTGTGACATGGCCACATGGTTATTGCCTTTCACCTGTTTCATCGCGTGCGAATTATAATTTTACATTTTAATTAGGAATTTATTAATTAAAAAATATAAATGTTTATATGAGCTCTTGGAATTATTAGATTTGAATATTATTTATTCTATTTAATTCCAACACTTATTGTTAAAATTATTTATAAATTTATTATATTTATACCTTTTGAAAAATTATATTTAATTCTATACAAAGAACTTAATGATTATATTTTGATTGACTTTTTTCCTTTAAAGGCACCTAAACCTTTATACATTAAATCAAGTTTGGTAAGTTTAAAAAGTAGATTAAATTAAATCATTTTTATTTTATCATACTTAATTGTAAAAATTTGCATAATTATTACATTCATCATGATTTATTAAAACACGATTTAACTGGGTACATCCAAGTTTTGTTAATTTTGTTTCAATATTTCCAGAGTTCCAATCGGCTGACCAAGTTTATTTCACCTCGACCGCGTCTCCCCTTCCACGTCAGCCAGCAGTGTCCAATTTGCCGGTTCCTTCGTTGCCCTCGCCGTTCGCCGCCTTCCTGGCAGGCGGCCCCGACCCTTTGCCCTTCACAGCGCCCATTTTCGTTTCCGACTTTACGCAAGCCTTCTTCCAACCCCACCTGGTGCCCTATAATGACACCCTGCAACCTCCCCCGTCTCGTCAGCCCTCCGCCGGTTCACTGACCTCGCCGCAAAACGCAACCGAGCAGGTTTCGTTGCCAGACAAGACGGCGCCGACGACGACTGAGCCCATTTTCGCCCATCAGCAGCAAGAGGCGTCCGAGATGTCGTTCAACGGCACTGAAGCCTTCTTCCAATCCCACCTGGTGCCCTACAACAACACCCTGCAACCTCCCCCGTCTCGTCAGCCTTCCGCCGGTTCACTGACCTCGCCGCAAAACGCAACCGAGCAGGGTTCGTTGCCAGACAGGACGGCGCCGACGACGACTGAGCGCATTTTCGCACTTCAGCAGCAAGCGGCGTCCGAGATGTCGTTCAACGGCACTGAAGTTCCTCCCAACCAGATTGACAGCAACGCAAACAACAATCGCACCCAAAGAGACTCAAGAGTAGAAACGCCACCGAAATCAAGTAATCCTTCTAATGAATCTGACCTTTTCAATACCAAAAATTAAGCAGCAACTTCCAATGTCAATAATTTTTTTACAGACCCCCAGATTTTATGTATATTTTGCAGATGTAAAGATTTTTTAGTACAATATTTTAATATATTTTAGCAATTTTAAATAAATGCATGAATGATCCATTTAATTTGAAATATGATATGAAAAAAGTACTGTACCTTTATTTGTGTGATATTTTTCATATCTGGCTTCAAAATTTTGCGTGAATTTCCTTTAGTTGTTTAATAGTATATTATATTCAATGCGAGAATGTATGAAACATGAAGGAGAACACATTTTGTAAGAAATTGTCTTGGTGTTTTTTTATTAGACGCGTGACTTCACGTTGTATATTGATCCAAATTAAGCTATTAGAATTTAAAAAAGGGATAACAAGAAAGAAATATTTCAAAGTTCATGTACATCTCAATTTTATTTCAAATAAACGCTTATTCACATTATTTTGCAAAAAAAATTGAAATGTCAGGAAGTGAAAATTTTGTGAAATACTTATATTTATTATTTCTTGACATATTCATTTATGTTTATTACAAGACGGAGTTGGTTATTAAATTCCTATTTATATATATCCTTATTATTATATTTTACATGATTTTCAATTGAATCCCCCAAATACTAATCTTTGTTCATATTTTCAACAAGAAAGCCAATGATAATTTTTTATTAAAACCCGCTATAGAAAATGACTAGAACTCAGTCGAGATCAAAATTATTAGTCTTGCTCAAGAGATCATTTCCATGAAAATAAATATTTCATTTACATGATGATTTACAAAAATACAAGTTGAAGATGACACGTACGCACAAAATTCAGCGTTTGCTCTGCACTTTTCGTAAAATCGCAGTCGCTGTACAACCATAAACTCTTTTATTTTTCTCGACATATTGCGTGGAAAACAAAAAAAATTAAATGTGATAAGAGAGTTTTTTTACCATCTGTGTGCAAGTGGTCGCTGCATGAATAAGGTGGGTCAACAGTACGTGATAAAAACCTTTGCAGCAGATATGAGGAACATGAAGGAAATCAGAATTATCAGCGCGATAAAAATGAAAGGAAAATTTAATTCAACGACAATTTACAAGCGACACTGAAACTGCGGACACTGATGTAAAATTTCCGAAGTTGGCATTTACGGAACGACAACAAAATTTGAGAAAATTCATTTAGGTCTGACACGTTCCACTACATTAAAAAAAGTCACGGGTTGTATGCGTTCTGCGGGTTCTCTCTGACCGTGACCGTCTGAGTTGCCGCTGTGCCTCGCTCCACTCCTGGCACCTCCGCTTCATTTGCAGGTGGATTTCGGCTTTTAAAAATTGAACAGAAAGGGCAAACGTTTATTTAAGTTCCAGAATATGAATAATTTTTATTGTGCAGTGCAACTGATTGTGAGTTAAAATATAAAGAATCTTTTTAAATTAAAAAAAATCCCAAAATTCATTTGCGGTAAAATAAAATTTGTTTCGTAAAAAATCAGATAATGGCAGTTATGTCATAGCTGGAGAAGAGTTCTTAATTGAACATAAAATTTACATAAGTTTTTCATGGTGTCCCATATACCCACTCATATAATACAAGAATTTTACAATCTAACCCGCTAAATTCAACCGATGGGAGAAAACAAGTACTTTACCCGAGCCTCAGAATATGTGTTACCCCGATTGTGGAACTCTTTGCCAACTGAATTATAAAACTTAACCAACAAAAATTATGTAAAATAAAAAAAGTTTTTTTGCACCAGCATAAAAAATATAATAAAAAATTGTGTAATAATGTGCACTAAGTGTAGCTTGCGGTTGTCAGTCAAAATAAAGCAACAGCCGATAAGCCCTCTGGCTTGGCTGGACTTGTAATATTTGAATCAATAAATTGACTTGATGTAATTAAGATGTTGTGTTTTTCATATTGTATCTGAATGGAGAATAAATAAATAAATATCTTAAAAAATTTAAAAAAAAAACCGCTTAATCATGTTTCAGTAAGTAAAATCACAAACTGCTTCGATATAGCATTATTAAAAAATGAAAATATGTAGTGGTAGAGTGATGACAAAGATTTTTAATTATTATTAATGCAAATAAGAATTTTTAATGCAAAATTGTCAGTGTTTATGAAAATTTCACGGAAATTGAAAATTAACCAATTATTTGATTATTTTGCAAATAATACTCACCACATGATGTAAAGGGAGAGCGCGACGAATACCACAAAGACGCAACCAACACCAATCATGGCGAACATCCAAACGCTCATGTCATCTTCCTCTGTAAATTTAAAAGAAAATACCGCATACATTAAATGAATGAAATAGTCACAGAATTAGACTACAAGATTATAAAGCGTGGTGTACGATCTAGAAAAAAATTCTTGTTATAAAAATAACAAAAAGGTCCTTAATTTGAGATTAACATTTATTTATTGGCTCATGATTTGCCACGATAAAATCGAATAAATAAAAAATTATATACAAACAAATTAAATAAAATTAACTGTTTAGTAAATTAGTTATAGTATATTTGCATAGTATAAAAATGTTGCACGAATAAATAAAAAAAATTGATTAAAATTTCTTACTTGGATAATAGAAACGCGCTTGGATTTCGGCCTCTTCCAGGGCCCGGCGCGCCTGAGACATTTGGACGTGGGACATGTCGACACAGGCCTTGAGCTGCCGGGCGGACTGGCGGCGGTTGGCCTCCGAATAGCGGCCACCGAAGCCCGTCACGCAGGCGCACACCCCCTCAGGGGTGCACACCGAGTTGGGCACGGAGCATGCGGGCACGCACGGACGCCTCTTGCTCTCGCACCCACCTGCGGACACGAGCGGATTTTCAACCATTAACATGGAGACAATGACCACTGTGGAATGTACATCTTGATTATGGTTGTGTAATTAACTCTATCTAACAAATGCATCTTTTCGCTATTATAATCTTTACTGCTGACGTTTGTTCATAAGGGTGCATCAATTGTTGTTCTCCACTCCTTGATAATTTAAAATCAAACTTTTTTATCCATTTGATTTGCTTGCTGGGAAAAATTCACCCCTATAATAAAACAATAAAGGCATAGAGACCAACCGATCATGGCTCGTCGATTAAAAAAATTGAATAAAGATTTTTTTTAATAATTCAGATACTTGTGTGAGAATTCAGCGTTGTTCAAAACTGGCTTGAATCAGCAAAAGATAAATAAATTTATTTTTAACTTCTTAAAAATCAAACTGTGGAACGGTTCATTTATTTTTAATTGCGCGCATCATACAAATTTTTTTCATAGCCGTTTTTTTACATTGCGAAAAATTATTCCATAATTAATTTTAATTAAAAATAGCAATATAACAATAATAAAAAAGCACTAACCTGTCACTACCTCTCCATCGGATCGCTCACAAATAATTTTCTTGTCTTTCACCACCCAGTCGTAAGTGAGACAGGGCCCGGAAAAGCATGGTCTCGTCTCCCAAAGCGCTGCCGGGCATTGCTCGCCGTTTTGCTTTGGCGGCTTCAGAACTGCTCTTGATCGCGTCTGATAACCTCCTGCAAAAATTCAAAACCAGGACGTTAAAGGTTGCTTGCAAATAATTAAAAAAATTTTAATAATAGTATTATTTCGTTTCATTTTATTAACTGTTTTTCCTGGCGTATTTATTATTCATCATCGCGTATAGTCTTAAAAATTGTAATAAAAACCTGAGGGCAACATTCTTTTGTTTTGTTTTAATCAGCCCTTTGTCATTCAGTACCAAAAAAAGTGTCAAACTCTCAATAATGCAACGACACATTCACTGATGACTGCTTTATTGATTCTGTCCGTCACTCCAAATTGTCAACTTTCTCAGTTCGATGACATTAGGAGAGCCAAACAAATTTTTGTATACTGAAACTTTCAGATCAAACAAATCAAGATGTCTAAACGCCGCGTTGCATTTCACACTTAATAATACAAAATTCTTGCATCAAGATTGAAGTGGCGACTTAGACGCAAGTTCCATAGTGTAATAAATAAGTGTAATAAATTACACGCACAGCTTTGCAGTGGCAATGAAAACCTTAATTCAGCTCCGATTAACTGATGAAAGATTGATCTCTATTGGCAGTCAATTAAACTGAAACTCCTCTGCTCACTCCCGAAACAAGTTCAAGAACACACCTATTTTACTTTGATAACCTAAAGCTCTTATTCTCTAGGGAGATATTTTTTGTGTGCTTTTTGTCCAGCGAAAAATGAACTAGAAGAACATAACAAAATGCTTTTTACTGATCATATCTCTGAGCTAGACTTTTTCAATTATTAATAATTAAACTTTCTTAAGAACCACCAATAACTTGTAATCAAATTTTATAAGAAAGAAAAATGTTTCAATTTACCTAATTCACCGTCTTTACAGCTTCTGTGGCAGTGACTCCATCGACTCCATTCTCCAACTTCGCAGTCTCCGCTGCATGGAACGTAACACGCGTCTTCTTTTTTCAGATCCAATGCCACCTATTTTTGTCAAATATTATTAAAATCTAGTTAATCAGTTGTGAGAGTTCAAACTGTACCTGCAAAAAGCTCCTGTCGTTGAAGACTTGTGGCAAATTTTTGAAACCTGTGTAGCAGAGCTCTTCACTAATGGCCATGGGCAGAAGTTTTTCATCGGCCTGCGTGATGGTATATTCTCTTCTGCAGGTAACATTGCGTCTCACAACTCCGTGGCCACAATCAGCACCCTAATCACACATATTTTTAGTTCATTTAAATTAAATTTTTAAGGAGGAACAATAAAAATATTGGCTTTATTAAACTAGATAAATAAAGGCGATCTGCCAATTTCTACTTTCATATAAAGAAAAATAATGACAGCACAATATTTATTATTTAATTTTCTTCTCTAGTCTTAATGGAAAATAATATTAAATATATTTGCATTAAATTTTAACTCACATAAAGGTTGCACTTTGACCACTCATCCCTGACCCATGTAAAGCAGGGCACAACAGGGCACGGCTTGTACTGCTTTAGCTGCTTTGGGCACGGCCGTCCAGTTTCACTGGGGTTGGTCAAGATAAACCTGGAGCGCCGCATTTTCGAGCCTGTCCCTCCACAGGCACATTGGGTTTCATTCCACGCGCTCCATTCGCTGACCTCGCAGTCAACTGGACAGTCGACGTAACAGTACTTTTCAGTTGGAGTTGACTTTTGCCGCACGGAACAAAAACTGGAAAGGAAAAATATTTTGAATTAAATTTTAGAATAAACCCAAATTATATTATTTTTATTACTTGTCCTCAACTGCTCGTCCATCCGATCGGACGCAGGCAACGCTTCTGTGCTGGATGCCCTCCCCGCAGGGAGACCCTCCGAGGGGAAGGCAACTGGACCACTCGGTACTTTTCCACTCGTACGTGAAGCAAGTCAGGTTCAAAATGCATTCCTGAACCTGAAAATATTGACAACTTATGCAACTGGCTGCACACCCATGTAACGCAGGTTGCATGCTTCAAAAAGTCTAAGGCGTATTACCTCGATGAGTGGTGGGCATTTGTAGGTGGCGTGGATTGCAGGCGCTCTGAGAATAGACCTTGTCCTGTCCTGTTTCGATCCCTGCTTGCAAGGAGCCTCACAAGGTGACCAGTCGCTCCACATGCTGACGACGCACTCGCCAGGGCAGGTGACATGGCATGCAGTGTAGTTTATGGGGCGCGTCTCTTGGTCACACTTCAAACTGGAAACCTCAATAGCCGTTTGATGGGGAGGCTCATACAAGCACCTGCAAAAAATTTATTAATAAAAAATAAATTTTAATAATGTAAAAAAATATTACAAAACAGTAATAAATAATTGGATTTGGAAGTTAGAATCAAATTTTACAATACCTAACGTTTCTGCGTTGATCTCCAGCGCCACAACCCTTAAGCTGATCCTCCCCGTCCAATGTGCAGTCGTCCCAGCCATTGGCAGCCCATTTGAAGTGAGAGCAGGGCGTGTTACACAGTTTTGTTTGAGCTTCAGGCCCGCAAGGTCGGCCGTTGTTCAGAGTAGGCTGCAACATCTGTGCACAAAATTTAAAGATCTGCCTTTTCCATGATGGAATTTTGACCTTTACTTCACGTTGTCTCTTTTGAATTCCGGGGCCACACGGTACACTGCAAACTCCCCACGTGCTCCACTCTCCCATCACACAGTCTGCGGAACAGGGCACAAAGCAGGGTTCCTCCTCCAATCCAGTATCCCCACAGTGACTTTGATGGAAAAAAGTTATAATTATTCAAATTAGAAAAGTCTTTTAATTTTTAAATACCTCGGTTCAACCAAGTTTCCAGCTTTATCTCTGCAAGCTCTTGCGCGGAATCTGCGCCCCGCACCGCAAAGGGCCGTCCCAAGGGGTCGGCCGTTTGCCGACTCCTCAGAAAAGTTGTTTTGATCCAGAATGCAAATGGACCACTCTCCCTCGGGCTTTGATTCATACACACTGCACGGGCACGGCTGCGTTTGGATCAGAGGGAATTTGAAAGTGTCCCTGCAGACTGGTCTTGAAGCAGAAAGCCCTTAAATTGAAAATTTAGTTCATAGTTACAACTCATGCGTTTTATTGCAAAAAGGTATAAATTCACCTAGAAGTGAGCGCCTTCTGACTGATGTGCCTCCGCACGCCTGCTCGCAAGTAGTCCACGACGACCAATCCGAAAGGACACAGGGCTCTTCACAGTCCATGAAACAGGGTTGCGTCATTACTGGCATGGGTCCACTCTCTTGCATGCATTGGCTTGCATCCACTCGCGTCTTATTGTTCAGCAAACAGGCCACAGCTATTTCAATTAATTCAAATTTGTTAATTAAATCATTTTCATAAAATTTAATAAACCTCTTGTCCTGTAGCCTTGTCCGCATTCAACATTGGATGGTAGTTGGCACTGCGACCAGTCACTTATTAACCAAGTGTGTGATTTACACATTTCTCTTTTCTGGGGACAGATTTTGATCTCTTCCAGTTGAGGGCACGGTGTTCCTCCGGCCCTGGGCAGTTTTAGAACCACTCGGTGTCTGATTTGGGTTGCTGGCAGCTTGATTCTGTGCTTCGCTGTTATATCTTCAAAAATGTTAAAACACATAAAATTATTATTAAAGATCAGTATTTATTTTTTTAAATAATTACCGGCAATGCATTCATCGGGGCAGTGACTCCATGCTGTCCAGGAAGATACATCACAATTTTGAGGACAAGGTGCATTGCAAATTCTCATATCAGCTGGTTTCATTAAATACTGGCATCTATTTTTAAAATTGAAATTTTATTATTTAGTTAAAAATATAATTCATAAATTTTTACTTTGAATCTTTGACTCTTTTCTCATTTCCTTCCATGCACCAAACGTCCCGTTTTTGGATTCCTCTTCCACAAATCGATTCATCTTCACCAAGTTCATTATTGAATGTGGGGCTCTGTTGCAAGACGGTATTGAGAGTGCTTGTGCTGTTTTGCAATTCACACTTTTGCCACGGCATGGTGAACCAACTGTAGCCGTGGCAGCTGTGAAGGTTGCACGCTTCGATTTGCAACATTTCATCAGGGTCTGGACAAGGATGGCCTCCTTAAAAATAGAAATTCATTTTATTATGTAGCTAAAAAAACTAGCAAGAAATGTACCGGGTCCAGAGGGTGCAACAACCGTTCTGTTCCTCTGTCTTAGGGCGCCCTGCCGATTTGAAGAGCAAGGGTGACTACACGTTGACCACTGAGACCAGGGTGATAGGACGCAGTCAAAAGGACAGGGTTGCAGACACAGCTCTTCGACAGGGGGCTTCAGCTCTTGTTTGGCGCAAATGAAATCGTCCAGTGCCACCTTAAAAAAATAGAGAATTTAAAAACTTTATCATGTTTTTTTATTTAATCGACAAACCCCATCAATTGACTCGCATATGACTGATCTGATTTTTCGTCCTTCTCCACATTTGACAAGACCAGGGTCCAATTCGCAAGGGCCCCATCGTCCTAATTTCCAACCAAAACAGGCAGGATGGGCGCATGGCTGCACTTCTCGCACTGCCGGACACTCTACGCCCTTGTTGCTGGCGCTCACCCTGACCATCCTTTCCCTCTCCCTGTAGCCTTGAGAAGGGAGCTCTGCAGATATGTCGCTACAATGTGGTGATTTGCAGACGCTCCATGTGGACCACTGGCCAACCTCACAATCCCGAGGACAAGCAACCTCACACCTTGGGTTTCATAGAGTGGCATTATTAATTTTTTTGATAAAAAAAAAAAAAAAAAAAAAAAAAAAAAAATGTATATTTACCGCTGAACTGTTGGTGCTGGATCCAGAGAATTGCACATCTCTTTAGGCACTGGCCTGTCACTTTGAGACTCAACACAGGTGAGAGTCCTCAGCTGGACGCCTCCACCACAAGCAACAGGCGTTATTGAAGTGCTGGACGAGTCACCCCTGGTCACAACACACGGACTCCACCTTGATGGCAGCCAGTGGTATCTTGAATAAAAAATAAAATCTAAAAATCCATAATATGATACACACAAATATAAATTACTTGTCGATGCATTTCCCCAAAATTTCCGGATCCACTACTTTCCTTTGTTCAATAAGGTGGGGGCACGGCTGTCCGTCTCCTTGCTGAATGCTGACCACGCTTCTTTTTCTTTTGTGCACCTCAGCGTGAATCTGATGATTTTAGTATTAATTATTTATTGATATTAAGATTGCAATAATTTTATACTTCATTATTTGATGAAACACAGCCGTCTTGAATTTTACTCCAAACCGACCATGGTCCAACTGCACAATCTTGAGACACAACGCATGGACGAACTTTTTGCGGAAAAATTTGATTTTCGTGATATCCCAAGCAAAGTCTATAAATTAAAATTCATTGAATAACAGTAAAATGTAAATTTTCATAATGTTTGAGTAAAAATTACTTGATGTCCACAATGTCTCCGTGCAGGTCGCGGCACGTCACCTCCCTTGACTGATATCCAACTTGCGGCTCGAAGGTGAAGTTCTCCAATTTTCTGCTGAAATCGATTCTGCCCTGTTTCCTCTGGCCAAACGCCCTTGTGAGTACGTCGGCCGAAACCACTCCCGCCGGTGCCTCGCACTGTCGCCACTCGCCCACTTTCAGTTTGTACTCGTTTATGCTACTTTTGATTTCTGCAGTCAGTTTTATTTGGCATTTGGACACTGAGGCGCACAGTCTTGTTTCCATCAACTGGAACAAAATTAACAAGGTTTACACTAAATGTTTTGCTCTTTGAAATTCCATTAAAAATCAAATTCCATACCTCTGGGCAAGGTTTTCCTGCATTACTTGGGGCGACCAAAACTGTCCTTGTTCTAGTTTCGTTCATGATACCACAACCGTCAGGACACCTTCCATCCCAGTCAGACCAGTCAGAAACAATGCAGTCCTAAAAAAGAAATAATTATAATTAATTAACATTCTAAGAAACTTTACAGCGGAAAACAAATCAAAATACCTGTGGCGTCTGAATTCCGCAAAGTCGCACAGGGTCTGGTTTTCTTGCAACTGTGAAACAGTTGTCGTCGTCCACTGTCCGATGGGTCTTTTGCAAATCGTGAGAGACAAGAACGCAAGCAACTTCTCTCTGCATAACGCCGAGCGCCTCACCGTCCTTCTCATCCAGGCTGAAAAAGAAGTCGGATCTTTTTGATCATTAGAAAAAACTTCAGCTCCACTATTCTTTCAAGAAAAGAAATCACAGTTGTTTCTATGAAAGCGATGTATTTTTGACCCTCACCCGTGGTTTCCAGCGGCTTCGAGGTATTCCTCTATTGGAGTGAGAGCAGCAGAGCCTGACATGCCCGGATATATTTCTGTCAAGGGAGAAAATGCCCTAATCTGGCCGTTGATGGTGCTGGACGGATACACCGGCAGACATGGACCCCATGGGCCGACTTGCCATTGGAGTTTGTCTAATAAATTAATTACAAAATTTTTAATTTTCTTTATTTTTCTAAAAATGAAATATATAAAAAAATACCTTAATATAAAATCATTGCATTTATAAAAAATATAGATTTAAATATGATAATTGGTCTAGAAATAGATTATTCATACATATTAAATCTTTAGCCATTCATTCAAAATAGAAATATTGTTCTTGCTCATCTCGTATGCATATTTTACATTTATCGATAATTTATCTATAACCACAGTTAACAATAATTATATAAAAAGTAGCTAATTATTTTGCTTACAATAATGAATAAGTAAATACAAATTAAAAGTAAAAATTTTTATAAGATAAGTGAAATATGCTGCAAAAAATTTAATAAATTAATATAACGCACAAATAGATTTTTAAAATATAAAAAAAAAAATGTTTAAAATTTTAAAAGTTATATTAATAATTAAAGGTTATAATTATTTATATATATAAAAATAAACTTAACATTTTTTTTTAAAGGAAGTAAATTGTTTATTAAATTATGTTGATGTCGTACCTCTGTGGTGTCTGCAAGCAGTGAAGCACGGCTTGGCAGTTTCTGGTTTTTCGCTGGGGTCGCACAGGTAGTCAAGCGTGGATCTTCCCTCGAGATCTGAGCACCAGATGTGCCTGACCCTGGTGCCTTCGCCACAGCCGCCAGGTGCGTTGCACGAGCCCCAGTTTTCTGTCAAAAAGTTTCCATTTTTATCACTTCATCTAGCTATGGCAGCATGCAAAATCAAATCATCTCGGTTTACAGCCGAAGCACCTGCTCGAGGGCGTCAACTTTTCGCCCTCAACTTTTATACGGCACAGCTTTCAGATTATATTGAGATAACTTTGTCGCGAAAGGGTTATTGCTTGGCAATAAACGAAAGCAGTTAAAAAAATCAAAACGATGTTAAAAAATAAAAAAAAAATAAAAAAAAAAAACAAAAAAAAACAGAAATTTGTAAACTTATATATAAATAAATAAGTAAGTAAATTTTTTTAATATGCATTCAAAAATTTTGAATTTATCTTCAAATTTTCTTATCAAGATTAGGGTTGAAAGTTCATTGGATTTTCTCTCCATCTCTGAAGCTCTTGGGGAAATTTCTCAGGAACAATTAGCTTGAAGTGGATTAGGAAGGAAACTTGGCTTTTACCTATTCTCCATGTGAATGACTTGGTGGAGGGATGGGGGTGCTTCACGGGGGGCGCCGCATCTTGTCTACTGGAGACGCCGCCGCCGACCAGGAACACACAGAACACCAATGAAAGGACCAAGTCACGCAGATACCTCATTGGAGGTCTAGGAAAGCAGCATTTCCATCACTTTCCTTCCTCCAGTCTGGAACAAAAAATAAACATAATTAATATTCCATCAAATTAGAGAGTTATTTAAAAATTTCAATTTCGCTAAACAAACACATTGAGTGGAAAAGAGAAGCTTTTATGTCGAGATTAAAAAGTGATTTTTAATCTGGCTAATTGTTCCCGACTGCAGTGAACCCGCCATTCGCTCTCAGTTAGTCCAAACAGACCGGGCAGACTTCCAAATTAATCTGCGAGAGAGAAAAAGTCGCGTTTTTGAAGCGAGAACGGGTAGAGTCGCATCCTCTCAGTTGGCCACTCTCGGCTTTTAAAAACAATCCGCCGCTAAAAGCATTCCATCATCGCGTCCAGTCCACATCTCTCTGTTTTGCCAGTCTGCTTTTGATTCATTAATTCTCTCACACAAGTGCAGAATTTCGTCCAATTTATTTCCGGCACTGCGGGATTTGCTATTTTCCTCCTCATATACGACTTTAATTGCAATCCATCTCTCTCTGCGGTGTTATTTTTTACAGAAAATTTTCACCAATTCTGCAAAGGGGTTTCAACTTTGATGCTGGAAAAAACCGATCCTTTTTTTTTTAAATTCTGATATTCACCAATTCAAATTGCGTTTTCATTGAATTTAATTTAGCTGCTAAGTTAGAGGCTTGACGTGTAGCTTTGTTTGCAGCTGGAATTTAGCCGCGTGCACGGCACAGGCAATTAATCCAAAATGCAGCCGACGCATTGGACAGGTAATAAATTTGCAAGCGCCGCGCGTTGAAACTAGATGGAGAACGGGCACTGGCATATAATCCCTGATTAAATGACTGCTCTCGAGTGAAAAACCAACCCTTTCCTTTTGCAACACCCTCGACACGCTCGTGTTCGGAAAGTTAATTAAAGCGTTTCGATGAGTCGCATTGATTAATTGCGCAACTACATCCTCTTCCGTTTTGTGTAAGATTAATTTGAAAGTTTATAACAAAGTGACGTAATTGATTGCTCTTTTCAAACGGTAAAGTTGTGTTGAATTAAATTAAAAATAAATTTGAATATTCTTACAACAGCACTATGCTGTATAATGTTAATAGTCTCATGAAAACCATAAATGAAAATATTGCAAATTTTTTTTTAATAAATAAATTTTATAAAAAGTTTACAGTTCTTTCTCTCATAATTAATAAAAACTAAATTAAATTGAATACAAAAGTTTTTGTCATAAAAAATAATTTTTGAAAAAAAATTTCATATACAAGAAAAACTTTCAAAATTTATGTTGATAAAGTTTTTTTGTATCATCTGTGATTTTTACGAAATTTAAATAAGATCACAGGAATATAATTGTCATGTGAATTGAAAGTCCAGTAAAGTCAGATATGAATCTGAAATTACACGCACACGTGACACATCCATTTGATTAAAAGCAAACAAAACGCGCAGAGTGTAAATTTTTCATGCAGATCTTTTCACAATAAAAGCGGTGGCTCCAGCAGCGACAGAGAGATTGAATTTGAATAATTGATCATAAAAAGCGAGCGAGTGCTGCGAACAAAAATTGAGTGCGTGTGTGTGTGTCTGTCCGCCCATCCATCAAGCCAACTCTCATCATTTTGCGCGACATCAATAATTTTTGCGCCACGGACGCTCAATTATGCGACAATCAATTTCACGCAATTAGAGCAGCTGCTCGCGTGAACATTTATCATGGGTTATAATCCGCAACATCCACAGTGGGCGTGCAAATTATCTCTGCCAGTCCGACTTGGTTGCAAATGTTTTGATGGATGGCGCCGTCGCCGATTCTGCTGAGTGTTTATTCGGTAATAAGTAGGAAGCATATCGTGCAATTTCACCTTTTTAGAAAATTTTCAATTTATTGTCAGAATTATCTTCTACACTAAAAAAAAATCAAATTTATTCTTTTATTAGCAATTTCAAAATAAAATTGAAGTGTTTAATTTTGCGAAAAATTGGCAAAAAATCAAGCTTTTAAGTAACATTTAATATCTTTGCTATATATTATTAGTGATTAAAATGAAAATATAATAGTTGAAAAAATTGAGACTGCATTGCATTATTAGAGATTTAATTGAGTTCAATTTGTATGACAATGATAATTTTGCTCGACAGTAATTTATTATCTTAAAAAAGGTTATTTAATACAAAAATTAAAGATTTAAAATTGTATTTTTTACAATGTAAAGATTAAGATTTTCAGTGTCAAATTTCTTATTGTGGCTCTCTCTTGACATAAAAGATTTGATATTTTCATTATCAATTTGAAATATAAACCAAATAATAATATAATTGATTAATTAGCAGGAACATTCGGCGATAAATGAGTTTTAAGAATTAATGTTTAAACGCATGTATTTTGAGCGCGTTGGATTAGTCATGGTTTCCTTACTAACCAAGCAAATAATCTGCAACCGTATTTCCAATTAGCATAACGTCGTTAACTAACTAACCGCGCATCTCTATTAGCATTTTGATCCCTCTTCCTACACAACCACTCCATTATTTGTACTCACAGCATTATGTATTATGCTTGATGTAAGCTCTGCTAATTTTCACCCACACGCGAGTACAAATGTCAAATTGCGTTGTGAAATCCGAATGTCAAATCAAGCGGTGGATCGTGTTTTGTGTGCGTTTTTGTGACGGAAAATTGGACACTATTCCCTGTCAATGTGATCGCCGATTCGTGTCCTTTGGGACTGCAGTGGTACATTTGAGGTTTTTATTTTAGGGTTTTTGGCTACATTTGAGGTCAGCATACGGAATCAAAAAGGTTAAAGCTGAAGATTGAGCTTGATGTTTATATAATAATTAAATTCACCATTCAAACAGATTTAATGTAGTGCATAAAACAGGGATAATTAAGTAATATTTTTCAATGTTTCCATTATTTCTAAAAGTAAAACACGTTTTTCGCGTAGAAAATAGAAAACAGCCTTGTTAGTTATAAAATACAGAGCTTAATTTCAAACATGATTTAAAAAAATTAATATACTCCAGCTCGGTTGGAGCAAAATGTCCACCAGTACACAGCGAATAACTATTGCACTTTGTATACGCCCATGTTATCTGGGTTTAAGGGAGGAGAGACTGCAGCTCTAATCAGATTTGCAAGCAATTTTCACGGCTGCAATTTGCATTCACCGAGAGCTCACAGGAAGGGGGATTTTAAAATAAATTCATGCAGCGAGGGTCACTCGCCTAAGAGATGCTGATCATGCAGACTGAACAAAATCCATCCGGTGCTGGACCCCCACTGTTTTGTCATTAAAATCTGGCAAACAATATTAAGCGAGGGGATTGGAGTGACAAAAGCCAAAAAGGGGTTCCTAACGTCCTGTCCCTGTGATATTATGAATATCATAGGAAAGTCCCTAGAGATAAATTTATTTCTGCAGTAAATAATGACACGATCTTGCGTAAAATTTTCAAAACTTGTTTTAAATATTAAAATTTGTTGATATTAAATTTTATTTTCGACCCATATTCCTGAATTTAATAGCCATATTCAGCCATTTATTTTTTTAATAAATCAGCTGCTTTAAAAATTTTTGCGTTGTTCATAATGCTTATTTAAAAATAATAAACGTGTAAAAAAATTTTAATTCAGCAAAATTAAAGAAAAATCAGAAAATGAAAAAAAATTTAATTTAATTAATTATTTGTTTAATTAGGGAAATTGATACTCCAGGGTCTCAAGGAGATGATCATGGATGTGAAGAACTCCGGATTTTTCCTTGTTGTAAACAGTTGTAAATTTCTTTTATTAAAAAATATAAAACTGCTCTACCAGTTTTGGTCACGGTCTGTGACCCTATTTTACAACGAGGAAAACGCCTAAGTTCTTCACTTCCGAGTATATTAATAAATATCATCACAATAAATAATAAAAATTACCATTTTTTAGAAATAAAAGTTTGGCAATTGTGTATTAAACATACAAAAAAAAAGCCAAAATGACGTGAGCGTCTTTGAGCTGGCATTAGGATCTGCTTTTTCTCTCTCTCACAAAAAGCTACCCACCAGCAACAACAATTGATCATCTCAATGATGCGGGTGAGAACGAGTTGCGCCGCCCGTCTCTCCTCGCTCTAGCGTCACTTCCACTTTTCGTCCAGGTTTGCAGGACGCGCTACTTTTTTTGCGAAGGATTTCAATTTGTCTCTTTCGCTCAGAAACGAGCTGTCACTGCGAAAAATTAAATCTGCGAACTTTCATTCACTGCGAAACTTTTTGTGTGACAAAAAGGTTGCGCGTCGCACGCAAGACTTTCCGGGAAAGTGCGACAAGGAAAAACTTCGCAGACGTTTGCGTATAATAGAAGAGCTGCGATTCATTAGTTTGCCCTTTCCAGGGCAAAACAAAACTGGCGGTCGTAAATTTCGCTTTTTTAGCTCGGCGAATCAAAAGAGAATAATGAGTTGATGATCTTGGCGCGGTTTCAAAGTGGCCAGCGGGCCATTACCATTTTGAGCAATTAGCTACATTAACAGGGTCTCGCCTCGTAAATCAGCCCCGTGGGTGCGGAGGTGCCGCGCTAACACCCTAGCTGCGCTTTATCGTGCTCAACGCTCGCCTGGTTAGGTATGAGAGACCCCAAGTCGTCTCGATTGCTGCACCTGGAACGAGGGACGCAACCAGCTGGAAAAGTGCAAGTAATTTAAGTCCTGTCATTGCCTCTTGCCTGGTGAGAATAATAATTGCTAGCTCAATTAAGGATCTGCATTGAACTTAAATTTTATTTGAACCTATCCTAAAACCTTTTATTTTATTTTTTAAAGATATATTTCCTGTCTTGCAAATGTGAGATAATTTTTTGAATTATTATTATGACACATTTGAGCAGTAAAAGAAAAAAATTATTCCAAAATTTTTAAAATGTACGTTAGGAAATTATTATTTTAGAAATTTTATTTAAAATCTAATTTATTTTTTATTCAATTGTGGAAAATGTTATCAATATTTATGATGCGAGTAAAATTTAAGCTGTCCCTTTTGAAAATTTAAATCTAT